TAGTTGGAGAATCGATTTGGGAATCGATTCGGATCTTCGCCTACTTTTTCTTGCTGCTGCTCCCCTTGTTTTTTGATCTAAGGACGAATTAGCTCTTGAATCGATTCGAGAATCGATTCGGTTAAAAGCCTACCCTTCCCCCTTCGCCTCCTTCGCCTCCTTATGTCTCTGGAACATAGCCGCGAAATACTCTTCTGCCGCTGCTTTTTTGGCGTCACTGTATGCCCCCTGCCTTCCAGCGCTAACAGTGTATCCAGGGCGCTAAGTCGTTATTAGTTCCTATAAATCAATCCTCGAATCGATTCTCAAATCGATTGGAATACTAACATCGTGTTTCTTGATGCAATGAGCCCGTAGTGCCCCTGCGGCGCCGAATTTCATTCCACAAAGTGGGCTCCAGCTCTCTACTTCTTCATCCGTTTGTTCCAAGGGAGGAATATTCTTCGCGCAGCACCAACGCTCGATGGAATGGATAGTATACTAAATCCAGATTAGTAATTATTCTATCAATCAATTCGTGAATTGATTCACGAATTGATTAAGGATTTGAACTTACCTGTCCATACTCATCCGCCTCCCAGCATGCCATTCCCAGAGGCATTGTTCCTTGCTCCACCATCTTCTCGTACCATTCCGTCGCAGGTGTTGGAGGCATTCTCAATTAGTACCTAAATCGATTTGCAAATCGATTTGTGAATCGATTCGGTTGAATGGTGTATCAGGTAGGAGAGAGATGTGAAAGAAGATTAATTCAATTGATGAATCAATTGATGAATTGATTCAGTGGAGTGGTGGTGGTGTGGTGTGGTGTGGTGGAGATTGGTGGAGTGGAGGCCACGGTGGATTGTTGTAGTGGATGAAAGGAAAGAGGAATTAATTCAAGCTGAGATGCTTCTTATATGGTACACTGACCTCAAAGTGGGGTACACCCCACTTCGAAAAAAACCTTAAAATACGCTAGCACCTGAACTCAATTCAATGGTACACCGACCCGTGAACACCATCACATCGCCCTTCACCGACTTGGGCAAGTCGACGAGCTGCCTCCGCATGTCTTGCAGCAAATAGCCAACTTTGCCCTCTTTGACGATCATGATCGACTCTTTCCACTGCGTCCTACTACGACTTCCACCGGCGCTTCGATGCAAGCTGACGAAGGCCACTTAATAATTGCAAGCCGTGCAGGGAGGGCACTGCAGGCAGGTCTCACGACATGCTGGAATATGCTGCACAGAAAGATGGCTGGAAGTAGTTCTAGCGTGGGAGAGAGGTGGACACGGGAGGCGTGGATGTCCCGATACGCATGTGTGATATTGCTATCATTTCTTTTTTTTCCCTCCCCGTAGGAGCCAATCCCGTCTGCTGGGAAAGAGAGGGAATGATAGAACCACAAGATTTCAGCAGGACGCGTCTCCTACCCATTCGAATACAAGCAAGTAAACAAGACAGAAGACAAACAGAGAGTGAGCCATGGAGCTCACACGACGATAACGATAATGCAGCTTCAAGTACGCAACCACCAGGACATCATCTGGGTGTCCCACGTGCCCTGCAGGGCAATCTATTTCACTGCAAGCTCCAAGCAAAAGTACCTGCCGGAAAGCGAAAAAAGCGGATAGTCTCGGAGTCGGAGACCAAAACATCCAGCTGGGATGAGCTGCTGCTGCGCAAGTCAGTCAGTGGATCGATGTCGTGATGATGTTGTGCGTGCACAGCGTGATCGAGGCCGGGGACTTGCTTGCTTGCTTGCATCCAGCTAGGACGAAAAAGCCAACATGTCAAAGGACCACTTGCTGCTGTCTGTCCCCTCTTCTCGCTCGTCACTTCGGCCCGTCTTTTCAGACTGACTGTCTGGCAGTGACGGGAGGTGTGACTCTCTAATTCCTCTGTTCTAGCAACTATCTCAATTGACTACAAGACACAAGCTAACCAGAACAGTCTTGGGTATCTCGTCGTTTGAATCATCTCAATCTGCTCCTTCAAGACTCCGTTCTTTTTCCATACACCAAAAGAAAGCCATTCAATCCAACAGCTCTTTTCCACATACCAAAAGAAAGCCATTCAACCCAACAGCCCCTTACCATACACCAAAAGCCAGTCAACCCTACAGCACAACACAAGAGAAATCTCACCATACACCTCAGCAAGTCTCATCTCACCTCAATTCCATACGCAAGTCTTTCAAAATCCTTCTCTCTTCCCTCTTCAATCAATTTCTTCCTGAGAGCATCATTGGACAGCACACAATCTCCAAGCGCCTTGACCACAAAGCCCAACGGGATCATTCCTTTCTGCCCATTGGCATATCCAACCACCTTGACCGGATGACCCCGTTCCAACGACCACACCGCGTCATCTCCATGTCTTTCCGGGTCGAAATATCCTCGAATCGACCGCGCCGTGTGATCTCCAATAAATTGCACTTCTCCACTTCTGATATCAGCTATGAGCGTGTCCGCGACAAGAGTATGCATGAAAGAATGCACCACATAGGCGTGGTCGCGCGTGAAGATCCACTTGTAATCAGTGACTGAGGTGCAGATGGTATTACTGATTTTCTCGAGTTCCCCTGACAGGCGGCCTTTTCGAGGGATCAAAGTATCCGATCGGCCGGAACAAACGGAGTTGAGCATGCGATGGAGCGTTCGTTGATGCGCCATGGTCCACGGGAAGCATTCGGAGAGGACACCGTAGCGAGAACGGATTTGAGAGCGGAGTGTGAGAGTGAACGAGTCGTCTCCGAGGTTTTGGAGCTGTGGTGTGGCAGGCACCCGTGCTGGTGCTGGTGCTGGCGCTGGGACTTGCGCTTTCGCATCAGCATATACTTCTGCAGGTCCGGAGGGTCTGATGACAGCCTTCCAGAGACTGGTGCCAAGCTTGCTGAACAGGCTGGTCCCAGGCACCTGGAGCCGCTTCTTTTCGGGAAGTGTCAGTTCTGGTCGTTGCAAAGCTCCTGGCTGAAGTCCGTTGTCCGTGCGTGTCTCGACAGAATCCTGCACGTCTGCAACCGTATTGAAGAGCGGCGGACGTCGTCTGGCCTCCGCGAGCCACGAAGATGTTGTTTGGTTGACATCGTTGCTAAAGGACAACGTGTCGTTGAAGTTGACCTGGATCTTCGTTGGAGAATCGAGGTTGAGATTTTCTTCGTAGCTGCGAGTATGATCGGGCTGGAGGGTCGACTCGTCTTCGTATGTGTATTCGTCCTGTTCGTGCAAGACATCCTCCATATGCCCATGAGTGCCTTCATCGTCAGGCATGTCCGTGTTACTGTCGACATCACTGATGATTCGACGGTGCCCATTGACACGCTGCTCCTCCGCTTCTTGGTCATCGTGTTCATCGTCTGGATATATCACTTGAACACTGCCCCGTTGTGGTGCTGCGTAGTCGCGATGCCCGACGCCAGTAGAGGGCCGATCGAGGTCGCCGGAACTAGCAGCCTCCTGGGCTCGCCTTTGCAGATAGTTCTGCTTTCTCTTGATAGCGCTGGATTGCAATTCCCGCGACCAGTTGGTGATCGCTGGTGGCGGCTTCTTCTTGACAGCGCTCTCTTGCAGAAGCTGTCTCTGGTCACTAGCCTTGCTCGCAAAGCTATCATCCATCGATACATCCATCTGTGACTCAGTTCTGGGCGCCGGCTCACTTTCCTTGCTCGCAAAGCTATCGGTGACAGTACTCTCCGTCTGGCCTTCATCTCCTACTTTCCTCCTTCTGCCTCTTCTTTTTGGCTGAGCCAGTAATTGGCCAGTAATCGGATCGTGGGTCAGCTTCGGTGGTGAGAGAAAGATTGCGTGTGCGGGTGCCGCAGGCCGCTCCAGTTGCAGCGGCATCGCCAGCTCATCCTCATCACTGACCTGTGACACACTGCCAGAGACTTTAGTGCCATTTGAAAGTTTGCTATGCCCAGACACTTCGAGCGTTCTCTGTTTCGCTGTGCCACCAGAAGGACTGTCCTTTCGTATCTTGTTCTCATGGCGGGAACTCAGTGGACTCGACCTCTTTTGGGCCGAAGATGAGCCGGACTGAAGAGCGCTCACTCTGAACTCCTGAGGGGTCGGCTTTGCAGGACTGCTTGCCAGCCCAAGCAGCTCCGTCAAGTCCGTGGTTGGACGCCGCGGAGGCCGCTTTCGAGGCTTCTCCTTGTTGGTGGCCCCTTGAGGCATGTTATTGCTCACTTCAGCGTGGTCGGACCTCTCAGCGGAAGTCTTCTGTGCTCGGCTTCTGGACCGACGCTGTCGTGTTGGCTCGAAATCGACATCACTTGGGAACGACCCGTTCATAATGCCTCGCTCCAAAGCACTCCCCCGGTTCCGCGAGCGCAGTGTGCTTTTGGTCGAGGGTGGTAACATGGAACGTGCAATAGCCTTATCGGCCTCGTCGGGACTTTCAGCTTCAGAAATTGGGCTTTTACTGTCGTTTCTGCTTGGCACGTATTCTTCGTCGCGATTCGAGTTCGTGTGACGGCCTGAACCTCGCTCGTGTTTTTCACTTTCGTATTCGTCGTGTGTGGTTTGCTGCAGCTCGTCCTCTGCATCTTCATCCTCAAGCATCAGCTCATCTTGATCGTCTTCCTGATACCTCGTTCCCTCAGTCTCAGGTTGCGTGAATTCGCTCTGGAGTTGATCGTTGGCTTCTCCTTGCAAGTCAGCGGTGCCAGCTGTTTCTTCTATTCCTTCCTCTTCTTCTCCCTCATCGGTGCTTGGCGGAGTCAGCACCCCACTACCATCTGTACTGTGTCGGCGATCATTCGTTGGCTCTGCTATTGGCAAATGACCAGGCGAGTCAACGTATGAGAAGTCCATGCCGGATGATCGACGCCACGTGCGAGGTATCTTAGGCCGTGCAGGCTTCAGTGGTATGTGCGCAAAGAGATCTTCCACTCTCTCGGATCTTTGGGAATCGACTAGCTGGTCTCTTTGGAGGTCTGTGTGTCGCGTGTCTTGCGGTTCGATCTCTCGCGAAGCCTCAGTCTGCCACACGTCCGCATCATCTCCAACATCATCCTCATCATAGCTCTCAGCGTTGCTCATACGCGCATCGTCTTCGATCTCCACGACGTTCTCCGGACTCGCCTGCTGAATCTGCTGACTCACAGCCTCCCGCTCTAGTTGCCACTGTCTCCTCGTCTCGCTGGATACATTGGCTGACTGGTCTAGCGGAGTCTGCAGAACAGGTTGTAATCTGCTCAACTTGCTCGACGAAGACTTCATTTCTGCAGGTAAGGCCGGCTTCCAGCTCATAGCATCGATACTCTGCCGTAAGCCAGATTTCTTCTTCTTAGCAGAGCTCGTGGGCTCGAAAGGAGACTGCAATGTCGCCTGTGCAGTAAGACGATTCATTGAAGGCTGCCAAGGTGACAGGATTGTTGTCTGCGCCTTTACCGTGCTGAGATCTGGATACTGAGGAATAGTCTGCCCCTTAGGCGGACTACTCGGCAAATAGCTCACGCTCAGCGCGGACTTCTCTCCTTGTCCTTCACGTACGGTAGATAGGTGGCTCCGCGCCAGCTGCGAGTTGTGCAAAAAGCTCGCCTCTTTTGTCGTATGTAGGCTCTCCAACGAAACCATGGTAAAGTCCTCAGCTCTACTAAGTGTCAAATCTCCGTGGCCGTCTCCTACAGCATCCTGCAGCGCTTCGTCCAGCTCTTCTCTGGCTCGACTCAGTCGCTTTGTCCTCCCAGTTCCATCAGACCATTGTGCGTTCAGCCTTGTCAATCGTCCACTAGCTCGACGATGATTTGGTGGAGTATGCGACTCGGAATCCAAGACTTGCATGGCCTGCTCGGCTTCCAACGCGGCAGCCTCCCCATAGATACCCTCGCCGTCCTGCGGCTCCTCTGGCTCTTGCTCTGGCTCTGGTTCCGATTCCTGCTCGGGCGCTTCAACACTGTGCCCCGCCCTCAACGGCGGCGCAGTCCTCTTCCCCTCGATCGGCGCTCCCTTCCTCTTCCTTCCCCGCTTCCTCTCCTCCACTTCTCCCTCTTCACTCGCGACATTCTTTTTCGGCGTGGCCTTCCTCCTCTTCACTGGCGAAGCACTCCTCCTCCTCTGACTCGGACTGTCCAGCAACGGGATGCTGGTCGTCTTCGTTATCATCTTCCCCGGACTGTCCCTCTGCTCAGCCTGCACAGTCACCTTGATCCTCCATGGACTCCCATCATTCGCGATGCCCAATTGTGGTGTATTCAGAACAATTTCTTTACTCGGCGTGGCGCGTGTTTGTTGTTGCGACAAGCGGGACTTTCGTGGAGTGACTGCTTTCTTGCGTGTACTGCGGACCTTGCGACCGGAGAGGGGCGAAGAAGGCAGGACTATGGGGTCGGGAGAAGTTTCGCGACTACTCGTTCCATCTTCGGTAGCCATATTGATAATGTGCGGTAATGATGCGCCCCGCGATCGTCGCGTTGGTATGGAGGTGATGCGATTATAGAGCTATCGAGAAGCACCTATGGAAGTAAATGGTCCAACTGCGTGTCCATTGTCACGCTTTTCGTAGAGTCAAGATGCTACGACACGCGACGAGCTAGGAGAACAACAACATCGAAGTGCTTGTCATTCTGGATAATCGCCGGCGCGCACTACTGAAACAATCAAGTTCACGTCTAAGCATGTCTACTCACGTGATTGTCGTGTCGTTTCCATGACGACCGAAGCGTTATATCGAACTTTATGTATAGGCACCTTAGGCTCGGTACATGTATCTGATGTCTTGGCTATCGACGAGCTCGACAATGAAGTCTTTCGGGTGCCAGTAGACTTGATATTGGGGAGGATGGGCGTCTCCGGCCTGTTCAAAGAACTCGGACCTGGCCAGCGGATCAGTGTCGCAAAACTGAGCGCCACTCACTTCACCACTCATGGCCGTCCACTGCGCCTGGCAATTGACGTCTCCATCTGGCTGTTCCAAATACTCGCGTCTAAAGGGGGCTCCAATCCGGCACTGCGCACATTCTACTACCGACTCCTCCGTCTTCTGAGCCTCAACATTCATCCTCTCTTCGTCTTCGATGGACCGAACAAACCCACATTCAAGCGCAACAAGCGAGTTGGAGGGCCGGGCGTGAGAGTGGCGAGTGTGCCCGAGTTCTTAGCAAAGGAGCTGCTGCGGAAATTTGGCTTTCCGTGGCATGTCGCTCCTGGCGAGGCCGAGGCTGAGTGTGCTTTGCTGCAGAGAGAAGGAGTCGTTGACGCCGTCTTGTCCGAAGATGTGGACACTCTGATGTTTGGAAGTGGCGTACTCTGGAGGAATTGGACAGCAGAAGGCAAGGGCAAGGTACCAACGCATTGCAGTGTCTACAATGCGAAAGCGGTGAAAGAGAAGAGCGGCTTGGACAAAGAAGGCATGGTATTGGTAGCATTGATGAGTGGAGGGGATTATATCGTGGAGGGGATTCCTGGATGTGGCCCGAAAGTCGGGTGTGATGCTGCGAGAGCGGGCTTTGGTAAAGAGTTGTGCGCATTGGCGAGGAAAAGAGATGTTTCTGGATTGAAGATTTGGAGGGAGAAGCTACAGCATGAGATCAATACGAACGAGAGCAAGTTCTTCTCTCGTAAGAGTAGCAAACTGGTGATACCTGACGACTTTCCTGATAGAGAAGTCCTTGGATATTATACAGACCCATGCGTGAGTACTGTGGAGAAAGTAGCGAGATTGAAGGCCGAGGTGAAGTGGGATCTGGATATGGACTTTCCGGCACTTCGGGCTTTCGCAGGCGACGCTTTCGATTGGAGATGTCTTGGTGGCGCGAAGAAGTTCATCAAAAATCTTGCACCTGCGATGCTAGTGCGAGAATTGAGGCTGATGGGACACAAGGATCAGCGTTTGGACACTGATGAGCAGGCTGAGAAGGAGCAAGAATACGTCCGGGCAATACACAGCAAGCGAAATCATGCCACAACAGACAACGAGCTCGAGTATCGAATCTCATTTATTCCACAGAGTCTCGTGCCCATCGATCTCAGTATTGAAGATGAGGACGACGACTTTGTCCCTGCTGGTGGGGCAGATGAGCTCGAAACCGAAGACGAGTGGGCACAAATCCCAAGCAGTACGCAGGACGAGTCCGATGCGCCGACTTCACCAACGAAGAAGCGTACATTCAAGCCATATCATCCCGATCAGCCGGAGAAGGCTTGGATGATGCGCGACTTCCTTAAAATGGGCTGTCCACTCCTGGTCGAACAGTACGAAGACAAATCGCAGGATCCCAAAGAGTTTTTCAAACAGAGGCGAAAAGCAAAGGCTGCCGCTGCAAAGGGCGACGGCAATGTTCATGCGAAGAAGTCTCGACGGAAGAAGAATGAGAGCGACCCAACTCAGATGCCTATTGATGTATTTGGCACCATCACAAAGTCATCGCAAACCTCTGTGCAAGGATTGAAGTCATCGCAGGACCGAGAATCACTCAAGGCCGTCAACACAAGTGCCAATGTCATTGCCAAGAAGACAAAGAAGGTGGTGACAGCTGATACTGTCAAACCCAAGGTGCCGGGCTTCAGGATGCCCACTACACAACTATCACCGACGGCTACACAGGACGACGCGAAAGACCTGCTCGCGCACGCTTTAGATACTGATGACGAGGAGACGCCAAGGGCTTCGAGGGTAATACCACCAGTCAAAGATACATCCCGACAGAACGCAAAGCCTGAAAAGCCAGCCTCCCAACGAACGCCGCTGCGCCGTAAGAGGCCTTCGGACGACCTTGCGAGCCCGGCTATGAGTCAAATGTCTATCAAATCATGGCTCTCGCCGTCTCCCAAAAAGCCTGTAGCACAGCAATGTGTTAGCGAGGTGATCAGCCTCCTTTCTTCTTCGCCCGTCATACCGGCAGACCCTCCACGGCCAGACTCGCCTACGCCAGAACGACTTCGCGGTGGCTTTCTTCGAACGCACCGTGATAATGAGGATCTGCTCAGCTTCTCTCCCGGCAAGCTGCCTGATTCTATTACGAAGAGGAGAAAGAAGGCGCCACTGAAGAGAGCCAAGACTGCACCATCAATAGGCAATGACGATCTCGATCCACCACTGTATAGAGCAACAAGCAGACCTTCTACGCCAGACTTAGCAACTCCCCTGGGCGACACTGTTGAGGCCATGGATCTCGCAAGTCCCATACCAATTCATCTTACATCACCACCCCTGCCTGCTGCACCACCATTGCCTCCTACACAAAGCAAATCTCTCGAGTCATCCAGCTCATCATCAACAAGCGTAAAATCTCGACCTCCATCTTTGTCCACCACATCGACTGCAGCAACCCTTCGTCGTTCACCCCGCCAATTTTTACCCCAGACCTCCTCCTCCTCAACAAAACTTTCCACTCAAGCAACAAAAACAACAACAACAACAACAACAACAACAACAACAACAACAACAACAACACATCTCGCCACCCAACAAGTCCCCAAGACTAAGATGAGAATCATCGCGAGGGAAAGTCTTCCGGGCGCGTGGAAGGAAGTGGAAGCTGAGACGTTGGATTTGACAGGTGATGGTAGTGGATGGAAACAGAGTAGAGGTAGAGCTGTCTTGGTCAGCAGTAGTAATGGCAGTAGTCAGATGGGGAAGACTGGGAAGACTGCTGGAAAGAGTTGGAGGAAGAGTGAAGTGGAAGTATTGGACTTGACTGGTGCTTGATTGAGAGTCTCAGGTAGCCTTTTTTTTTCTTTTCTGAATCTGCTTGGGTTAGCGATGGTGTTTTTGTGTGGAGGCTAGGTTGCTTGGGATACCCCCCCTCTGTTGAATATCATGATGTTTGAGCTGGCTACAGGTAGATGGATACCAGGTATCACGAACAGACGGCCTGGAAAATGAAAAAACGAGTGATGATGGAGAGATGTGGAATACTCATTTTGAAATTGACAAGTCGTTTGATTCACACAGTCTGAGTACACCTCATTCATTCTTTACGTATTTCTCAGGTCCCTCGACTCCTCCTTATTATTCACGTATTTCTTGAGTCCCTCAACTCCCTCTAGTAAGGCTATGCCAATCACTTCCTTCTCATTATCAATCTCCGCCTCCTAGACCACGAAACCGTCGATCCTGTTCATTCTTTACGTATTTCTCAAGTCCCTCTCCTTCCCCTCCAGTAAGGCTATGCCAATTTACTTCCTTCTCATTTTCATTATCAATCTTTGCCTCATAGACCACGAAACCGTCGATCCTGTTTGAACCGCTCTATTTCCTGACGGGTAGGTCTAGCCTCGGGGCCGTCGCCGCCACGGATAGGGCCTTGACCGGGCTGACGCACCAGCTTGAAGCAATAGCGCTCTTTGGCCTTGTCCTTTAGCTCATAGCTAACGACATCATACAGTCCATCATAGCGGAAGCCTATCGGAGGGGCAAATTTCGAATGGGATGCCGCCTTGCTCGACCGAATGAATCGGACAGGAATCCTGTTCACTTTATTCCTCTTCAACATGGCTGTTCCGCGCGAACTTTCGCCTGGTATGGTAGCATCCTGGCCGTAATAGTATACCACATCGCCCTCATCTTTGTCGGGATAAATGTGGTACTTGCCGCCACTTATAAAGCAGGAGTACGCCCCGACATTAGTATCTCCAGAGATGCCAGCCTGGCTATCGCCGTGCGCACCGTCGCGTAGTGCACAGAGCAGTGTGGGCCACCACTGTCCATTTACAAGATTGCCATTGCCTGTGTATTTGGAGGATACTTGACGATTCTTGTCGACCGTATCACCTTTTCGGTCGTCTTCGCCGTTCTTGCTCCGGTTCCTTTGGGCCAGAATGATACCAAACAGCATGTCGTCGTCAAAATTCTTGGCACTCCACCTGTGATACATCTCCTCGGCGTCAGACTTGATGTCCCACGGCCAATGACCTTTCATTGAGCCTGCGTATCTGTCGTCGAAGAGCTGAGGCAGCCCATCGTTGTTGTGCAGTAGTCTTTTGTTTCTCAAGAGCTGCGGCCCCGCAGCGCCCATCGCTAGAAATGGTGCCTCGTGGAGGGACTCCCTGAGCTTATTCAACTCTTCGGCGTTGACACTAGGGCCGATCTTCTTGATAACTGCGATCTGGTCCTTTAGGCGGTCCAATAGTGCGTCTGCGTTACCAGTGTTGGTGCCACGCTTTGCAACCAAGCTCATTTTTCGATACCATTCCGGTGGCTGAGGTTCTGGGTCGATATCGTTTCCTCCAGCAGTTGCTGGCGACCTCGGTGGAGAGGTAATCGAGTCAATAGACGGTCTGGCTCGCTTCGGCATGTGAGGACCTGATATATCGCGTCTCCCTGAGGGTACGAAGCCCGAAGCAGGCTCGATTCGCTTCATAGACGCCTTTGTAGCCGTCTCTTGGAGGACTGGCCTTGCAGCGGGAATATCCTCTGTTGGTGCGATCGCGCTGCCTTCTGAATCTTTCCTCTTCACTGCCTCATTCAAACCTACGCTCTTCTCCCGAGCAGGCGTCTCTTGGTTTCCATGCATTCCTAGAGACTCCACATCCGGAGAACCTGGTGGTCGTCTATGACCGGTCTGGCTATTGGCGCTAGAGCTCTTGCGCCGGGGCTCTTTCCTAGGATTCCAGCCAGCGAGTGTGTCCTGGGGACTTGTGTCCTCAGGAGCCTCCACAGCTGCTGCTACCTCTACCACTTCCACTCCCTGGATATGACGAGCTGCGGCGTTGTCGTCTGTGTCTTGAAAATTATGCAGAAAGCTGCCGCTCCTGGCCTCTTCTTCTTCTTCTGATGCAGCCTCTGTCTTTACTTCGGGCCCTTCTAGTATGGCAGCAGCACGTCTACCATCTTCACGGCCTGTCTGAGTGGCAGTCACAGCTCGTCGCTCGTCAAACTCTCTGCCAAAGGCTTTGATGTCTGCGAATATTGCACTTAGCTTCTCCGTATCAGTAGGCTCAGGCGGCGGCGGCTGCTGCTGCTCGGTCTTGGAGTTCTCATTGCCCATGTTTCAACATCAGGCGGTTTGATGTTCAATTCTTGTCTTGTGCGCAATGTCGTCGTGTGCAGTAGGCGCGTGTTGGTATTATTTGTTATTGATCGTCACCGGTGACCTTGTACTTATCGCCGATGCGAAGGTTCCAGCTGGCAGTATTTCTTTGCGAGGTACATGAACCTTCTCAATGTTTGCTGCTGAATATCCAATTATACAGTAGGTATGTACCGCAGTAGGGATATACAATCCGTGTTGATGTAGAAGTCTAACGCTCAAGTGAAGGTAAACAACGCGGATAGTTACTGCCCGTCGCGCCTGCCTCCTTAACAAGCTCTATCTTATGTTTCTATCACTATCTATCCCTAGAAGTCAATAACTTCGGGTCAAAGTGGATATATCGTAGAATTTTTTTGAAAATGGAAGAGTTCCACAATTTGACGAATAGATAGTGGAGGTAGATAATGAACTGTATACAGTGGATTGGCGCCTGGAGGATGATCCACTCGGCTAGCAGCTTTGACCAGCTGGCCGGCGGGCCGCCAAAGCCAGATGATCAGTGCTTTGCCAAGAACAAGACCGTGTTAGTCATCATAGGAGGTAGTAGTCGTTCCGCTGGGCGTGTCCGGGTGACAAGCTGAGATGGTGCGGCGCTCTATCCTCTGCAGGACTTCTTCGGGATCATCAAATCGAACAGACTCGAGAAGACCATCGTATAAGCTAGGTGGGAAGACGACGGTGTCCATTGCTGATTCGTGGCCGCTGGGAGAAGTGAATTGAGCGGACTGTTCGGAGGTTGTAGGAGTTGTGTCTTTAAGGAGAATGGTATTCAGTAGGTTCTGGCTGGATATGCGCCGACGTCTGACTCTGAGATTCGTGGACAATCTTTCCCGGCAGGGTGAAGGGCAGACCCCATTCTGAGTTACCAAGTAATCACCAATCTCAGCAGCTACGAACAACATAGGGCTAACAATCATTGGGATAGCAGTTATTGGATCAACAACATTGCTGTTTGTATACTGTACTTTTCAGAGCAATTATCCCTCAAGCCGCGCGCTGATCTAGAAACTCCAATCGAAGCTCAACTGCACGACGGTGAGCCTCTAATTGCTCCACCTTCGCGAGCTGCATAACGGCCTTGCCGACATTACGGAGGCCTTCCGGAGACAAGTTCGACGAAGTAATGTGCTTCACGTAGCTGGCTAGATTGACGCCAGAGTACTGCTTCGCGTAGCCATATGTGGGCAAAGAGTGGTTCACGCCAGCAGAGTAGTCGCCCACCGACTCAGGTGTCCACTCTCCACAGAATACAGATCCAGCGTTTTGCACCATTTCGCGTACAGCGACAGGATCCTTCACCTGCAATATCAGGTGCTCAGGAGCGTATTGGTTGCTCAACTCCATAGCCTCCTCAATGTCCTTGACGATCAACGTCACAGAGTGGCTAATAGCACCGCGCACCATGTCCACACGAGGTAGTGCCATGGCCTGCTGGTGTAGTTCATCTTCGATAGCTTGCACCTCGGGCTCGGTCAAGCCGACGGCAATGAGGACCACCTGGGAATCGACACCGTGCTCGGCCTGTGACAGAAGATCACTGGCAACGAATGCTGGATTCGCCGTCTTGTCTGCAATGACCAGCACTTCCGATGGCCCGGCAGGCATGTCGATGCTAACATTCGCGCTCGTATCATTGCTAACAATCATCTTGGCAGCAGTCACAAATTGATTGCCCGGTCCCAGAATCTTGTCGACTTTGGTCACGTTTTCGGTGCCGTATGCCATAGCAGCGACGGCCTGAGCACCACCAGCAAGTACAATGCTTTCCGCGCCAACCTTGTGAGCGCAATACACAATTTCAGGGGTAAGCTTTCCGTCCGCACGTGGCGGTGAGGCCAGCACTATCCGCTTGCAGCCAGCAACTTGAGCAGGTACGCCAAGCATGAGCGCGGTCGATGGCAAGACAGCTGTGCCACCAGGAACATATAAACCGACGTTCTCAATCGGCCGCACGAATCGTGAGCAGATGACTCCAGGCATCGTCTCCACTTCGAGAGGCTTAGTCTCCTTCTGCGCTGCGTGAAACTTGCGGATATTCTCATACGAGATATCGATTGCTTCGATAGTTTCAGGCGGCAGTTGCATAAGGCTCTGCGGGAATGGCGCCTTCAGTACAGGCGTTGTCAATGATGTGGCCTTTTCGAATTTGTGCGTATACTCGAGCAGAGCAGTGTCGCCTCTCTCGCGAATGTCCTTGATGATAGGGTTGACAATGCCCATGATCTTCTCCGTCGATCGCTGCGATGGACGCTTGAGGGCCTCACGAACGGCCTCAGGAGTGGATTCCGACGTGGTCAGTCTGTTCATCTGGATGCGGCCGTCCTTGTTGAGTCCGGCAGGATCGTCCTTGCTCTTAGGCTTCGACTCGGCTTCCTTGATTTCCTCTTCAGAAGCTTTGCCATTGGATGCCAGCGTACCGTTGACAGGTGTGGACTCGTTGGCAGATGGGATGACGCCAAACTTCTCTGCATATGGTCCTTTGGCATCGCCTTTCCTTCGTTTCACCTTGACACTCTTCGCATCCAAATTTCGCTCGATATCTGCCAGACTGACGCCCGCAGCCACAGCTTTGGTCAGGGTGAAGTACAGCACGTCAGCTGCCTCGAAGGCGATGTCCTGCTTCGTCTGCGCCTCTGTCAGTTCGGAAGCCTCCTCCATGATTTTTGCGTTAAGCATCTTCGAGTCATTAAACAGTCGCGCTGTGTATGACCCCTCAGGCGCAGAACGTTTCCTGCTTTCCAGTGTCTGCTGCAGCTTTGACAGGCCCCGGTAATGACCAAAGCACGTCGCTGTCTGCAGGTGGCAGAAGCCGTGCCCCTGCTGCCGCACAACAAAGCATAGTGTATCCTGATCACAATCGGCATCTATCCTCAATAGCTCTTGCCAATCTCCGCTGGTTTCACCTTTCCTCCAAAGCCCTCGCTTACGACTGTGGTATACACCGCGTCCTGTTCTCAAACTCTCGGCCACGCTCTCTTCATTGCTGTACACCAATCCAAGTGCCACTCCTCGCTCGTCCGTAACAAGTGTCGTGTACAGTCCATCCGGTCGGTCGCTACTTACTTGGGCCAGGAGTAGTGAGGCTACGCGTACGTGTTCGGCAGACGGCTCGGGGTCGGTGGTCAACTGCGCGGCGGGTATGATAGGTACAGCATCTTGTCCGCCCAGCTCTACCGCTTCCTTTTCAGTAATTTGCTGCTTCGAGATGTAGACGGGCGGCCTGTTCCTGCCTAGTTCCTTTAATATGCTGCTGACATGCTCGACACTAGCCACGTTCTGCAAGAAAAGGCCAAAAGATGTGCCATCCACTGCCTGTGTGTCCTCGCCGACCGATGCTGTGGGACAGTATACGACTCGCGTCAGATCCAAGCCTTTGACATTCTTCAGGTCAGCGGCCTGCTGGCTTCGAACAAAGACCTTGGCAGCGCCGGCGTCAAGAAGATCGATAATGTCTTGCTGTGATTCCAAGCCGAACACTACCAGATAGACAGAAAAGCGCGCAACGGTATCCTTCAGTAAAGCGAATGCGGCATCGATATTCGAGGTTGTGACTGTGGCAACCAGTCCACCGGCGTATGCGAGTTCCTTGGAGGCCTGGATCTGCTCAACGCCGTGATACGAGGCCAGGTCAATGGCAGCCAGGAATGGTGGCGATCGTTGGGAGGCCATGGTCACTATCGACTTTCAGTGTATAAGACAAACAGAGGGTCGGGTGCCACGAAAGTGACTGGACGAATGCGAAATAATCTATTTCAGCATGACGACATCTCGGCTGCAGGGGTTCACGTCCAATAGCATATCGAATACGCCAAGCATGCCTTAGGTATATAATATACAAGTTTACAACGGTACATATACCTGTATATATGTACCAGGTGCACTACATGTGCTCTATCACGACCGCAATGCCTCCCTGACCTCGTATCGCCAGTCAGAATGAACCAATGCGCGCTTCATGCATCAATGGCCTACGCTTCCGGCCGAAGGCGTTGTCCAGTGCATCCCGTTCAAACACGGCTCACCGATCGCGTACCATACACCACCCATCATGCTTGTCTACGCTGAGGCAACATGGCAGAAGCCGGCCTCGAATCGCATTATTATCCACCTCGAAATGTCCACCAGCATCCAGACGCGCCTTCTGGGGCGGCCTTCCCTCGATCCTGGTGCCTCCTGTAGTCTTCACGTCTCTCCTCGTGGGCTTGTGGACCTACAAATGTGTCATGACTGTCTTGTTCCAGGATAAGGTGATCTACATGCCCTATATGCCACCATTCGCGCGCAGAGAGAAGATTGAAGACTATGCCGCGGTCTGTAAACCTGTAACGTGGGAGCACCTGCATATCAAGTCCATGGACGGGACCAAGATTGCGCTGTGTGTCGGCCAGTGCATACCGAGTGAAGATGGTGCGACTCAGAGCAAGAAGGCCAAGAAGAAGGTGGTGATATGCTATTTTCAAGGAAATGGGAGCAGCACGCCGCCCAGATTACCATTGCTGAGCAACACTCTGAAAGCTATCAAGGCCGAGGCGAGCATACACGATGGTGCGGACGGGGTCGAATTTGTCCTAGTAGCTTTGTCCTATCGTGGCTACTGGACATCAAGTGGGCGAGCCTCTCAGACAGGAATCGAGAAAGATGCCCAGGCAATGCTAGCTTGGATCTGCAATACCCAACCTGTACCACATACCAAGCTGGACATCGTTCTCTGGGGTCAAAGCATTGGTGCAGGCGTAGCCGCTGCTGCCGCTGCCTCTTACTCCTCGCAGACAGAGCAAAGACCACAGATCACCGGTCTCATCTTGGAGACACCATTTACGGGAATCAAGAGTATGCTACTTGCTCTGTACCCACAGAGGTGGCTGCCATATCAGTACTTATGGCCATTCTTGTGGAATCATTGGGACAGCGAGGTCGCGTTGCGCAATATCGCAACGGCCAAGTGTCTGCCACATGTCCTCATCATGCCTGCAACGCGTGACGAAGTCGTGCCTGCCAGCGAGGCCGATAAACTAGAATGCATATCCCGAGACGCTGGCCTGAAGACGACGAGAACAGACATCATTGGCGCATTACATACCGAGGCAACGATGCGCAGGGAAGGCCAATTGGCCGTGGCTGGATTCATTGTCGACGTGGCCAAGCAAGCGTAGTAGGTAAGCTGCCCATTGGAAAGTCCTTTGGCAGGGTGGTCCCCAGTCACAGTTGAGCTGCCCTTTAGAGATGTGCTATTTATCCTAAAGGTGGAAGCTGTATCATGCAATACATGCACCCCGAAAAAGAGCACGTGCTTGGAGGTCGCTTGCACGTGCGTTGATAGATGAAGAAGAAGTGTGCATGCACACGATCATGCCCCTCACTAACGGCAACGATATCGGCAACATCGGATAGCTTCAGTTCGGCTCTGGTTACCAAATGCCATGAACACGAGCTTGACCAATGGGCCCCGGGTGCACCGGTTGAAGAGCTTGTGTGACATAATCAGGGCCCGGGTCTTCAAGTACACCCACAAGCCGGGTCTCGTTTCTTCACTTTCTGGATAGCAAGCTTGCTCGGAACAACCACTGAATCACTCAGCTGCAACGTTTACCCACAATGGCACATATCACAGACTGGTCTTCAATGTCTCCGCTAGCAGAAGAATGGAACGAGGCAGTAAAAGCCGCTGGCGGCTCACCAGATCTAGGACACTTCAAAGACATTCCTACCCTGCGAGCATTCCTCGAGAACGGCCGAGCAGCAATGGGCGAAAATGCCAATGGCAAGCCCCTATCCAACGTCAAAGAACAAGATCACCAAGTGGAAATGCGAGATGGCCATAAAATCACCGTGAGAACCTACCAGCCGCAAGACGTCCCAGCTGGAGCACTAGGCATGGTCCTTCACGGAGGTGGATGGTGCGTCGGCGGACTTGCCAACGAAGAGAATCTCTGCCGACTTATGGCCAGCAAGTTGGGCATGACTGTCGCGAATGTAGATTACAGAATGGGCCCCGAGTGGAAATTTCCTACTGCACATTATGATTGCTTTGATGCTACCAAATGGGTTCGTTTTCTCTCCACCCTGATACCTTCGTCCTCAGAATGATCAACGAACTCTACCACTAACCCACTCCTGATCATATATGAATAGGCTGCCCAAAATGCTTCCAAGCTAGGTGCCGATCCCTCCAAAGGCTTCACGATCAGTGGCACATCCGCAGGAGGAAACATCACAGCCGCAGTATCTCACCTCTGGCGTGATGAAAAAGTCTCTCCGCCACTGACCGGTTGTCACTTGATGATTCCCGCTCTCTGCGACATCGTCGCCTATCCCGAAAACTTGAAAAAAGACCTTTGTTCACGAGAGCAGCTCCCCGATGCACCCATTCTGAGCGCCGCTGCCATGAAGCTTTTCACGGATAGTTTCATCCCTGTGCAGGAACGAGGTGATCCATTATTCAGTCCGCTGCTGTGGAAAACAGGACACAAAGGTTTACCTCCGCAATTCTTCCAAATCTGTGGCTCGGATCCTTTGAGAGATGAGGCACTTGTGTACGAGCGGGGTTTGAGGGAGAAAGATGGAGTGAAGACTAAAGTGGAAGTCTATCCTGGTTATCCTCATGGGTTTTGGTCGATTTTCACAAATTTGAAAGCCAGTCAGAAGTTTGTGGAGGATTCGATCCATGGGTTGAAGTGGTTGTTGGAGCAAAAATGAGCTTCTCTTGCAGGATGGGGCGTGTGTGTTGAACTTTCTTGCTTTGGCATATTGGGGTTTGGAGATCATGATGTGAGAAGAGAAGCGTCACACTCCCTCGCGCAATAAAAGTCTCATGCGAACGAACGCTTTCGTCGTCTTGATCTGGGCGTGGCTGTTATACATCTATACGTCCATACATCTATACATCCATACATCTATATATGGTAGGTACATTAGCATTGCCTACTGCGAAAAAATTGGACCTTCTCTCTAGCCACACCTGCTCAAAGGTCAAACGGGAGGCGGATATGGAAGATGTAGAAGACTGGGTTCAAGTCAGTTCGCCGTCAATGGTGTTTCGTGGGCGGTAGCAAAGCGAAAGCTAGCAGCCACGCAGCCAATGTAGAATACATGTAGTTCTGGCCGCGATCAGCAATGTCATTCAAGGCTATAGTGTCGATGTGGAAGTTCGGGTACTGTGCACATATTGGTATCGTACAATTGATAATTATATGTACAGTGTGCAGGTCTAGGTACTTTGTAGCACCACTGGAACCGTCCCTATATGTTGGCGTGCAAATGATCGTGCACTCACACTCGCGTGATGTGATGGAGGGAATCACTCATCGCTACGAGTGCTGCAAGCTGTGTTGTTCGCCAACAAGCCTGCCATCCATATTGCTGCAATCGCTGGCTTCTCAAGCAGTGCCAAATTCTTCAAGAAGCAATGGCTTGCTGCAGAACAGTTCTCGCAGCACCTGAGTTGACGGAATGTGCTGCTGCGTAGACTGCCTGAGATATACACTTGTCCCTCATCTCCGTGGGTTTGCCCCAGTTTCTGTTCAGCCCTCCTGACCCCATAGCTTCTTTCTCTCCGCCCTTGCTACTCTTGCTTCAATTTTCCGTCGTCCCCATCTGGCCTTCACAGCCTCCACCTCCGCCTCCTTCTCCTTTGCATGTTCTGGCGCAGTGACACACAGACTGATGAAAAATTGCGAACAATCGAACTTTTCTGCCAGTCTTAGACGTGACCAGTATCTGGGATCCTCCTTCCGTAATCTCCGAATTTCATCAATATCCTCTTGGGTCAGATGGTATTTCTTCTCATATATAGGCCGTATAGGCTTCAAATCCTCAACTTTGGGTTGTGATGCTGCGCGTTGTGCCGCTATTGTTGCGAGTACTGATGAGGGCTTTTTGGGTGTCCCTGCAGCTGCCATAGCCTCCGCTTCCAGATGCAGCTCTCGTCGAGGGTCTGACGCCGGGAGAAACTTTGGTGGAGTGTGATATACATTCGGCGCACTTGGAGGCGGATTGAAGATGATGTGCTCTGTCGTTTCGGTGGTGGTTGGCGCGAATGAAGGATCCTGCTTCACGCGAAGCATCTTTCTCGTTCGTCTGTAAGATGCGGCATTGCGCCGGCAGGTCGTGCATACATATTGCGCGGCATCTGATGATATCAGAGAAGGTCGGAGGGAGGTTTTGAGAAGAGATGTTGCCATTGCGTTGTCCGTGTGATGCTGCTGAACATTTACTTTGGCCATGTACATTGGATTCTAAAGGAGGAACACGGCTTTCCCGCGGCGACGATGCCAAGACATTGCTTTGTACAGCACATATATATACAGCCAAGTCCAGCACCACCTATTCCACCCTGCGAACACCAACAATATTTCCCAACCGATGCTCGATACGTGTAAGCATAGCCTCCGACCTCTCCAGTCGAGGACCACTCTCATACGCGAGCAAACTGAGCCCACCAACCTGTCTCGCAATCCGCCGAATCTGCACTCTACTCAACGTCGAGAACAATTCTTGACATTGCGACTTCTTCTGCACCCAATTATATCTGCACACTATGCCGAATTGCTTATACTGTGTTCGCTGTGCCCAGAAGGTATCAGCATCATCATCTTCATCCTCATCATCATCCTCATCATCGCCCTCATCGCGTTGACCTTTCCGCCTCCTTCTCCTCCGACTATCTCCTCTTGACCTCGCTCTACTTCCCCTAGGGTTTGGAGGAGAAGGAGGGGGAGGAGCAGCATAAGCAGAATGCTCATAATACGGGCTAACAGATTCGTTCCTTCTCCTTCTACTCCGTCTCTCATGCCTCTGATACCCTCCAATCCCTTCAGATCCTTCTGCGAGAAAAGGTCTCTCCAGCTCTTGAAACTGCTTAATCAAACGCTTAATCGTATCCGCCATCGTCTTGAGCGAAACGTCATCTAGCCCAATATCCATCAGAGTATCCCCTCCATCATATCTCTTCTCTAGCCGACGCTGGTATTTTCGACATTGTTTCCGCATCACACGAATGCTCGCTCGTTCTTCGAGTAATTCCGTTCGGAGATTCGTCAAGTACGCGTGCACTTCGTGAGTTGCTTGACCTGTAGTGGGTTTGAGAAAAAGTTTGAGAGAGAGAGAGATTTCCTTCTGGTCATATTTCTTTCTTTCTTCTTGACCTTCAAATGATCAGGTATACCGGTAGTTCTTTTTTCTTTTTTCAAAATCAATTAAAAAGAGAAACATATACGCGATTCTATCGGAAAAAAAAAGAGGGAAAAAAAAAAATCATACCAGCTGTTGTGAAGTTTCCCCATAAAACTCTCAGCCATGTGGTCAAAGTGAAGACAAAGGAGATCAGACCGATGATGCCTGTGACCAGGGAGAAAGGCGCATATCGGGTAGTGGATAGTATGATACCCATTCTTGTATCAGGGTATCGATCGCGACCAGCAAGTGTCGTCACGCCGACACATGCTCTGTCTGTGAGAGGAGAAACGCATGTCTCCCGTCGTGTGTTGTTTGATTACACGGCTATACCTTTGTAGAGCGGTTATGCAGTGAGATTGGAGGATGGAGTGCAAGGTTTTCGGCAGTCCGAGGTCTGTGGAAAGGCCGAATCCGAGCTCATATTAATTCTACGGAGAGAGGGAGTGGATTAAATTGCCCTCTTCTTACAGACAGTACTTCATAGTCGGATTATATCCACATTGTCGTAAACTCATTATCTGGGGTATCTCGCTCGCTCATCAACATCAATTATGTCTTGCTGGTTCTGCCAATGCAATCAATTCACCTACTCGTCCCACGGCAGATCTCTCGTTTCCACTCTGGTGCACGTCAAATATCCCAATCCTGCTGGCCCAAAGTCGCGAAGATCCAGCTCGAGAAAGTTCCGCATTAAAGGCTTCACAACATCACGAGCCAAGTTCTTGACTTCTTCGACACGACGCTCCAAGCGTCGAAGATTGTCGCGGTTGTACAGGTCGGTGCCTAGCTGTGCTGCGGGACTTTTGAGAAAGCGCTTCAGATCATCCCGTACCAAATATGCTGATGTGTCTGCTGATCCTATCTGTCGATATACTCGCCCAATATTGATGGGTTGCGAGGGCTGTGGTGGGGGTGGTTGTACTCGTTGCGAGGCGATATGGTGACTGCTCCTGCTTGCCGCTCTCGTAGTATTTTGTCCTGTTGTGCCTGAACCAGGCCTCGTATTATCCTTGAGAATTCCAGCAGGCGCAGGAGTTGTTTTTTCTGCGAACCATTGTCGAAACAATGATACCGCAAGCCAACTCAAAAAGTCGTTGTTCGGGTTGACTCTTTCGCCTCTGCTAGTAGTCAGGTTCACTCGCCACAACTTGGCTTCGACCCGTTCTTCGACCTCGTTCAGCTCATCAACCTTGTCTTCCAGAAGCTCCATGACGCTAGAATCTACTTGGCCGCGCAGTTGTGGAGCGGCAAGCGGCCACTGTCCAACAACATGTATGAGAGCTTCTGTGAAGATGGTCCTTGAGCGCGCAAGATAGCCAAGTTTCAGATATGAAGGCGGGTATTTAGCGATCTGCTTGAACAGCCTGGCACCAAATCGCAGGAGGTGATGATCCACGCGGTTTCCTGCAATCTCCAATGCATCGTACATATCGGCCAGATGGAGCAAGGCCTTGCACTCAGTGTAAGCTGTAGCGATGTTCACAGTGTCGAGGTTTGGAGGGTACTGATACATCGCGCGAAAGAGATTGTCGTAGTCTTTGAGCACTTCGTCTCCAGGCTCCACTATTGTACTCGGCTGATCTCTCTCATTCAAGTTCAGCGACGAGAGATCCGATACACTGCGAAAGAACTGGTCGTTGCTCGTTGGAGGTCTGCTGCGAACTGCAGGTGGCCCATCCGCACCAAAGATTGAGCCTGTTCCCGTGTCCTTCTGGACCAACATAGGGGGCACATCCGGATCGCCAGCAGCAGCATTCCAGTCCAGCTCATATCTCCAGCGTTTCTTGGCTTGCTCAAATGATGGTCTCCGCTCCTGGCTACTCGTCCGCGAGCTACTCCCAGCAGTCACACTATCATTCTCACTAATGCGTGGTAGCCCTCCGCCTGTGACAGGGCCATTCTCGATTGTCCTGCCGCTCCATTCGGCTCGTGTGCCGGCCTCAAAGAATCCCGAGCCTTGACTTAGGATGAGGCGATGTAGGAGATATCTGTTGACCTTCCTGCCATTGGCACTACTCACGACAATCTCGACATCTCCTGTATGCGAAAAAACGGGAAACTCGTTCTGGGAGAGGTGCGTGGAACCGCCGTGGTGCGACCTCGCGTGTCGATGTCGCCGCGTGTGGGAACGGCCTGATGTGACTGAAGATGCTCGCGGTGCCGGCGCTGCTGCTGGCAGAGAAGGCAGCGCTGGATGGCGACCAAGGTCCGAGTATGGAGGTGGGTGATGGGACACCATGACTTGTGTCTTGTATCCTGTATCCTGTTCCTGTATCCTGTACTACACAATCCTCCGCTGGTCTTCCTGCTCTTTATCTGGTCGCATCTCCAGAGAGTCCTCGTCCCTCTCAATGCTGTTGATGTTGCTCGGTGTCGTGTCTTGTCTACATGTAGCCTTGTCGTCTCTCGAGCACGCGACGCGTTCTGGTGGGCGTAGAACTACTTTGGTGGGGCCTGTTGCTCTTCGACTCGCTTCTCTTCGCGGATCCGCAGTCTCTTTCTCTCTTCAACAACAATATCAACATTCAACTCACCGCGTGAGGGGCATCAACACGTTAACAACAAGGACAAGTGCATCGAACAAGTTTTCGCCGAGTCCACCGCAGCGCCATCTTCTTGACCTCTCACGGCGACGCCGTGGCTAACGTTTAGTCGGCACCACCTTGCAGCATTTCTCAAGAGGGTGCCACCCGACCGACGTGCATGGATGGATGCACCAATAGCCGCGTTCCATCGCGGTGGCGGGTGAGCTTCTGAAGCAGGACAGTACAGGTCCCGCCATTTGATTGGCAGGCGATGATTGCTCTATAGCATGTCCAGGTTTTCAGAGAAGCATGTTTAGAAGTATATCTCCTCGATTAGTTACGGTGGTATTATGCTTCTTGAGGACCATGACCGAGTCCATATACAGTTATACACCATCACCTGACCCCAGACCTCAGCTCAGCTACATCCTAGGGCCCTTGGAGAAACGCCTTTTCTCGCCTAGTCCGGCGGCTGGTGTGGCTGTGCCGATGGAGCGAACATCGGCGAGCCCAAGACTTGGTTCAAGACATCCTCGCTGCTTGGAAAGTCTCCGGTGCCATCGGAGCAAAAGACTCTAGGCTCTAGCATCCACCATCCTGGCTTACCGGTTGGAGGCGATTGCCGTCTTTCACAGCTTGAGTTCAGCTTCGAACGGCTCTTTGCATGCCTCGTTCGTGATGTGGCTACCCTCCCAACTGATCGATACATCAAAAGTACAGGTTACATGTACCAGCATTCGGATCCTTACTCTAGGACCAAGGTAGTTCCACGACAGCAACAGCAGCATCGTCGTTCATACATTCACAAGATTCGAGCATAATTCCAACATGAGACCAAGCACGAACACAAACATTAAGATTTTTTTTTCAACTCAGTTCCATTTCTATCTATCTGCTCTGCCTACCCCGACTGTGCCCACCCCGACTCTGCCCACCCCGACTCTGCCCACCCCGACTCTGCCCACCCCGACTCTGCCCACCCCGACTCTGCCCACCCCGACTCTGCCCACCCCGACTCTGCCTACCCCGACTCTATCCGAACCGACGCGAACCGTTGGTTGCACCGCCCATATTTCGTGGAGCACAACGGTAGTTCACCTCTGGGAAGACGTGTCTGGCGTACGCAAAGCAGTTGGAACAACCGCTAGTGTTGTGACCGCAACTGTTGCACCACGTGCTGACAATTCCTCCCGAGTTCGTTGCGCTGCATTGGCAGCAGGACCAAGGCATATTGAATATCTTCTCTGTAGTCTCTTTCTGTAAAATGGTGTTCAAGCTTGGTGTGTTTGAATGTGTTTGACTGTAGTAGTTGGAAGATTGTACTGGAGTGAAATGTTTCGACTCCTTAAGTAATGGGAGTCGCTTTGAATCGCACCGGCTCCTGTCATTGTCAAGCATCTCTTTGGCAGTCAGTCAGATCAGAGGCTCTAACAGCCCAAGCACAAAGCCCAGATCCAGTCCAGCTCACGCTAGGTTGACATGTTCCATCCATGTATCGATCCATCTTTCAAAATCTCCATTGTCCAAAGGGAATAAAACTTTCATTGTCAAAGACCCCTAGTTAGCTCGGCTCTTGTCTCTTTGTTCCATGGAACATAGGCATAGAGCAGACTTTCAACCGGATAACAATAACAACAATCACAACCAAGAGATCTGGCTGGCTAGTTGACTGAGCGGACGCAAGAATCTGGACTTCACTTCTGTCTGCCTATTGGGCATAACAACTTACGAAGATAAGGTGGGTAGGTCGCCACCTGTCTTCTTTCTTTCCACTCCTCTGCATGTGGGCAACTTCGCTGCTGAAGGGCTTGTCTAGCAATGCAGACAATGATACACCGCGGTACAATGCGATCAGACAGGAAGCGAAAGAGTATGCAGTCGGCTTTGATAGGCATGCGTGTAGGTATTCGGAGGTCTGATGTGTTGTGTTCGTGCTGCAGCCGAGATCAGCCGCAGTTCCCGACCTCCTACCAACGCTCTGGTCACTGTCCGCAGCGCTTGAAATGACTCGGTATTTGTGTTGGCAATCCAGGCTAGGTGGCAAACCGTTCTCTTCTACTCCGCATAACGATCATGCCCTATGTGGTGTGACGCGATCAACACGTTGAAGTCATGACTCCTGCAGCTCTTTGACATGATCGCCATGCCTCTTGATTTGAAGATGCCGCATGTCAAGGATCGTGTGCGGATCTTTGAGTCGTGCCTTGCATCTCTTTACAATCAATGCACCGAAGGTGTTGTACCAAATTGGTCGACATCGATGTAGCTGTCGCGGGCCTTGAGAGGATGAGCAGCTGTCGAGAGAAAAGGGAAGGCAAGTCTCAATACTCCGCGCCCCTTTTGGTTCGTGATGTTATCATACACGACCAGCACGCGTCTGTTGTGCTGTACATCGTGATACAGATCTGTCCTAACTTTTTCTGGTCTTCATCGCCCCCTCTGTGCCGGCATAGGAGTCCACCCCGCCGGCTGCCAATTCTCACCAGCATTTCCCTTCGGCCTCGCCTGGTCCCATGGATTAGGTTTCCTATCCTTCGTCTTAGTCCCTTTGAACCTCCCTTCATCCAAGCCCTCCTGTTTTCCTTGACTCGCAGCCTCCACCTTCTCCGGCTCATCTACAGCACTTCTTACACCCTGCTGTTGTTCAGGTTCTGTTTGTTCCATATAGCCTCCAGGATCTTTCACGCCAATGGCAGGTTGGGGTTGATTCCGTGAGGGGCCGTCGAGGAAAGAGGGCTTGCTGTTCCATCGTTCGTCTGCTTCGGCGGCGAGGCGTTTCATCATGGCTTGTCGGGAGATGTCGTGCTGTTGTTCCTGGATGGTGGGAGGTTCGTCGCGGGTGTTGCGGAGCCATTGATGCCATTGTGCTAGGTCAGACAGCAGTGTCAGTAGGCGACAACGGAAGTAGTGAGCAACAAGATCCAAGACTGACGAGTGACTTTGACATCGGAGTAGTGAGGTGTTTTGTTGTTGTACTTGACAATCCTACGCATGCGATTTGTGTTTAGGGCATCTTTGAACTCCCAGAATGTGTTGCCGCTGAGGTCGAAGCCGACGAGGAATGTCTTTCTCCATGGCAGTCGTAACGTCTTCCATTTGAACCATGCTCGAGCTAGAACACCCGGCTGAGGCATTCTTTTCGTTTGTTGTGTAAGGTAGGTTGGATTGTATAGGAGCAAATATTGATGATGCGGTAACTTACACTTTGATGCAGTTACTTCGAACGGAGCCGAGTCCGTCAGATATCCACTGTTCAAAGTTTTGATCCACCACGGATACCCCAGATTCTGGAGCTCACAAGCTGTGGACGGAGTTTATATACACAATGTGTTCGTGTAGAAGTTATGTGGACAGCGCGTACACCCCTTTGCCCCCCGTGTGGGTGGTTCATCTGACGTGACGTCGATCTGGCCCCGCTGACTTCAAGCTACAGGTCAGGTATGCCTAAGTTTACTGGTAGCTTCTAGTCGGCCACAAGCTTGCTTCCAGCTTCCATTCTCTGGTCTAGTCAACGTAGGCAGTACACTACGCCTCTCAATAAACACTTCCACCTCCTGAAACAACTCCTTCCAACCTACCTGACCTATCCAAAATGGCCGACGAAATGGAGCCCTCGCTTCAGCCCATCGTGGACCAAAAATCCCTCAAATGGATCTTCGTCGGCGGCAAAGGAGGAGTGGGCAAGACTACCACATCCTGCTCTCTGGCCGTACAGATGGCCAAGGCACGAAAGAGTGTCCTCCTCATCTCCACCGACCCAGCACACAATCTCTCCGACGCCTTTGGAGTCAAGTTCGGCAAAGATGCCAAACCTGTTCCTGGCGTGCCAGGCCTCGCTGCCATGGAAATCGACCCCAACGGAAGCATATCAGACCTGATCGCAGCAGGAGGGGACGATGCACAAGACGCCATGTCAGGTCTTGGAGGAGTGGGGAACATGTTCCAAGACATGGCTTTTAGCATCCCTGGTGTGGATGAGGCCATGTCCTTTGCAGAAGTGCTAAAGCAGGTCAAGGGCATGGAGTACGAGCTCATCATCTTCGATACCGCACCTACGGGACATACACTTCGCTTCTTGCAGTTCCCTACTGTACTGGAAAAGGCTCTCGGCAAGCTCAGCCAGCTGTCTTCGCAATTTGGTCCTATGATCAACAATCTGATCGGTGCAAGAGGTGGTCTGCCGAATGGACAATCCTTTGACGACGTGATGAGGAAGATGCATGACCTGCAAGAGACGATTGGAGAGGTCAACAAGCAGTTCAAGAACCCGGATCTGACCACTTTTGTTCCTGTCCTCATTCCCGAATTCTTGTCCCTGTACGAGACGGAACGCATGATTCAAGAGCTTGGCACATATGAGATCGATACGCATGCCATGGTTGTGAATCAGCTACTCTACCCAAAGAAGGACAATCCTTGCGAGCAATGCAATTCGCGGAGGAAGATGCAGAAGAAGTATCTGGAGCAGATTGATGATCTGTATGGGGAGGATTTCAATGTGGTGAAAATGCCTCTGCTGGTGGACGAGGTTCGAGGTGTCGAGGGTATCTCGAAGTGAGTGCGACCAAAGTCAGATGACGGTGGAATGTTGTGCTAACAATGACCTTGTAGATTCAGCGAGATGCTCGTCAAGCCTTACCAGCCTCCAGCTTAAATATCGGGCTGAGCAGCATCCCATGCAGTGGAGGCCTACCTAGCAAGTGGTGCAAACCGCTAAAACGATTACGACAGGTTGGTGGTGTATATGTGGTTGAAGGCGCAATTACGATACCCTTTTCTAGAGATGGAGAAGTGAGCGTTGATATGGCATTAGGAAGGCGTCTAGGTATCATGAACAGTTGCCAAATGACTGCACACCTCTCAGCGTTTGTTGACCGTTCGTATCGTGCTTTCTCCGAACCCGATGACATGATCGCTCGCCTTACAACGCACACACACCAAGAGAGACAGGTAGTACCCCTAGTCTCTCGTATCATCAAACGCCCCCATGAGCTGCCAGGGCAGCCTCTGCTCGCGTGTTGGTGCCTTATTCTCCTCGTCGTCTTCAATCACAATCACTTCTGGCCTCTTCACCTCATCGTCTTCAATCTCAATCACTTCTGACTTTTTCGGTTGGCAAGGCGTCTCATAGATACACCAGAGACGCGGGCACTCTTCCTGCACTTGATTAGCATCCTCGCATGCTGTCCCCATGGACAACGGCTCCACGCCAACTTGAAAAGGCAACCGCAAAAACTATTGGAATGTTCCCCAAAGAGAAGCTGAAAACTCACTTCAACATGCCCAATCTTACGACAGACATCACACGGATCGGCGCCCCGAAAACTTCTATTCCGACACGTAGCAGCATCATGGCCACGCTTTCTGCAGAGCCCACATTTGCGAATGATGGGGCACGCGTTGGAAGGGTGTAAGTCGCGTTTTTGACAATGCCTGCAAGTTCGCGTTTCACAGTCCTTGGCCATGTGGCCTTTTTCACCACAGCAGAGACAGCGCACCACTTCTGACATGTCCGTAATGTTGAAGTATCGGCATTGTTCTATTTGGTCGTTGGGGGGGATGTTGCAAAGACGAATCATGCCATCGTCATAACCATCATCACCCTCATCTGATGAGGTGTAGTTGGCGGAGAAGGAGGAGGAGGAGGAGGAAGTTGTCTTCTTTTTCTTTTTCTTGGATGGTCGCTGCTTCCATTGTGCGGCGCTGATTTCTTCAATGTCGCTGTCGCTGTCTTCTTCTTCACTGGATGATATCTCGCCGGATTCTTTGCTTGTGTCGCTGCTGCGCCGACTGGCGGTAGTAGTAGTATTGGTGAAAGTATGACCGTACTTACGCTTCCGCCCAACAGCTGTCGCCCTCGAATCATTCTCGAGGTCCGACATGACGGAGATGATGTGCAATGTACATGTAGATGAGGTGGAGAGCTTTGGTGTTGACCAAGATATGTAGGTAATTAACCTTATGGGGACGGAGCTTAACCTTAATAGGCGGAGGTTCGCGGAGCTTCGCTGCTTCAGGGCCATGGCATTATTCTCTCGATACCTACCTGGTATGTGCAATTGTGCATCTCCTCAACCACAACACGGCAAGCAAACGTCAAAAGCGGCAACGCGAGCCCCCATTGCCCGCCCGTTTGAATCGTGCCGTCCAACCAGAATTGTAAACCGGCGCCGCCCCGGCAGCCGTCAGCATTGCTCAAGTACGAGAGTACCCACATTGGCTAGGTAGTGAAACACGTAGGAGGTAAGTTGCTATATAGACCTTTGTGTACTCCCTACATTCCATCAGTGCCCCTGTTCGATCCCATCTTCACCAGTCCAGCAGAATCACCACAGGGCGGCAGCGCGCTTCTACCTTCGACATGGAGTCCTTCATCCAGTCCTCGGACAGCACCAGGACGAGCAGCAGTGCCTCCGAACAATCCGAGCAAAAACATCCTCGCTATCCGCAGTACCCATTGGGGGGCTTGAGAACCAATGGCAGCAGGCCTACAAGCAGGGCAGCCAGCTACACGCCTTCCTACATGGCCATGTCCATACCACAAGCACCGGCAGCCCCGAAGGGAGAACAGAATGGGCGAAGCATTTCGGTGCACACCCCACAGAGTAGAAGTGCCTCGACGGCCTCGAGTGTGAACATCTACCCGACAGCAGGGACGGGCGTCTTGTTCGTCATAGTTGCGAGCTCACTACCCCCCTCCCTTCTACAGTACCTGGAGACCATTCTCAGCAGACAGACTTTTGCTGGAATCGTGCTGGCAGCCAGGCAAGAGCATGAGGCAGAATTGAAGCAGCTCAAGATGGATACATATGCTTTGATCGGCAAGCTGCGAAGAGAAATGAGCGTGGAAACAAGGCTGCGAGAAAGTTGGAGCCCAGCAGAAATGACTTCGTTGCTACAAGAGGGCACCAGGCAGGGAGCAGGTGTCCAGGGCGTTCTCTGCTGTCCCGACTTTGCAATCAACGAAGTGGCGGACATTCTCAATTTCAGCGAACATAACTTGCAGACGTCGTGGCAAGAGAGTGTTGCTTTTGTGCATGCTGCAAGCAGGACCCTCATACCACATCTACTCACTACGGCCCAGTCTGTGAAGAGTGCAGCCAATGGCAGACCATCGAAGGAACCTCGAGGCCCATTCTTTCTGGTGACAACTACGAGTAATCCCACATCTGCTTCGGCTGTCACGAAAGCAGCAGTGGATGCGCTAGTGCAACAGCTCGTGGTGGCCACCGAGTCTACAGGGCTACTGGTCGGCCACGCCGAGTCAACTCTTATCCCTGACCCGATCGGAAAAGACAATTTCAAACCTCAGCTCGAGCCGATGATCACAGACTTAGACTACAATGGCCATGTGCAAGATTCAACTTTTGCAGCAGGCGAAAGCCCGACGAAGCTGTGGAATATGTGGGCTTTACAGGAACAGCTTGATCGTGCAGATTGACTGCAGGAGGCCGAAACAAAAGCGATCACCGCCAATGATGGAGCCACGCTGCAGTCTGTGAAACAACTCACTCGCTCTGGTGCAGTGCGAAAGAGGACACCGTCACCTTCACTCCTGACAATGCCAACTGCGGTTTCGGATTACTCGTCAATACTGCAAGAGTTCAGCCCGACGGTGTTATGGCAGATGTGGATGACGCAGGGACAGAGCGAGGTTTGAGGCGCTCATATAAATCATATCAGTGCTTTGCAAAGACCACGCTACTTGTACCAATTCCACCGCTTTTGACACCACTTTATCACGTATACCAGGGCCACGAGTACAGGCACCTCGATCAGTGGTCCGACCGTGGCCGCCAACGCTTCCTGACTCCCCGCGCCATATACGGCTACCACGACCGCGATTGCGAGCTCAAAGTTGTTACTGGCCGCTGTGAAGCTCTGCGTGCAGCTGACCTTGTATCCGAAGCCCGCTCGCCACATTGCCCATGCTGTCATTGGGAATATCGTCAAAAAGTAGACCAATAGAGGCGCGCAGACTCGAAGAACGGACGTAATCTGCTGCACCACATGTAGTCCCTGCGATCCGAATAGCACCACGATCGTGTATAGCAGGCCAATCAGCGACCATGGTGCGATGAATCGAATGAAATAGAGCTGATAATTCCGCTCTCCGAGAAGATACCGTAAAACCAGTCTCGTCACGACAGCGGCTCCAAGTGGTATACCTAGAAACACTGCAACACTGGTCGCAGCCTTCGAGTACAGATTGGATCCAGCTTTCGTCGTCGAAGTCGGACTTCCAGATACCACATGTGTATAGAACACTGCCATAGGCGCGAACAACACAATCTGCAGGATCGAGTTGAAAGCCACCAATACTGCACAATAATCTCCATCGCCTCCAGCCAAATCCGTCCAGATGAGAACCATGGCAATGCACCTCGCCACTCCCACATAAATCAAACCATCCCTCAATTCTCTTCGATCCGGCAAAAAAGCCCACGCCAAACCTGTCATGTACAAAGGCGCGATGATCCAATTCAGAACAAACGAAATGGCGATTTGCCTCCATAGCTCTTTCTCCTTGAGCAACAAATGTAACGTCTCGAAACGCACTTTGCACAGAATCGGATACATCATCACCAATAACCCTATGGCGATGGGAACCGAAACTCCCACAAACTCTCCTCGTTGTAAGGCGGGACCTGTGGATGGGACGAGGTTGGCGAGGATGATCCCCAAGGCCATGGCGAGGATAATCCAGAGGACGAGAAACTTGTCGAGGAAGGAGAGCGCTTTGAATGGTGGTGGGGATGCATTCGGATCTGGATTAGGGTTGTCGTCGTCGTCGTTGTCTTCTTCTGCATCATGTCCATAATCTTTGGTTGATGGCGTGTGATTTGATTCGAGATCGCTTTTTTCTTGTGGTCTGCCGAGACCTGCACCTGGTTTCTCATCGTACGCGACACCTCTTTCGATGGTATCCATGGTCGCGAGGATCCTTCCAATCCAGCACCTGCTTGTTGATCGTGCTGGTGGTGGTGGTGGTGGTGGTGATTGTCCTGCTGGTCGTGACATAAACTGTACGACTAGGTAATGTAGGTAGTATGAAGTCGGATCGTAGAAGTAGCGACGACTTCTTAGGGTTACCGGTTGATGTACCGAAGGAATGACCGTGCCCATATCCAGAAACGCAGAGAGCCAATCAGAAAGCGGTGGTGACATTTCTTGCTCAACTACAATGCCAAGCCCTTGGTGAGGGGCCTGTTGTGGTTCATCTCCAGCCAGTATGAGCATTCGGACGACATCTTCCTTGATCCTACATACATGTATTTCCATGTCAATGTCCTTTGGGTTTCCCTGACATCGTAATCATCATCATCATCATATCATTACAGTATGGTCTCGTCGATATGGCTGGGGCGAGACGACATGTACTCGGTTATGAATTCCTAAGCAACATCTTGGCGTACATTCGAATTCTCTCGACAATTCAAGGCGAATCATACACGTTCTGACTTGATGGTGGATACGCTGCGTTTTTGGAGTGATATAGCCAACAATGGAGATCGAGCTTATGTCGCCCGTCAGCGTTGGGCACACGGATTCGCATTGGCCAAGTCGGGATTATTCGAGCCCTGGACTCTTCGGCGCTTGACCGGGCTCCTGGGTTCCATCCCCGAAGGTGTTCCGCTTTTTCTGGAACCCAGGAGCCGGGCATCAGGCTCTTATGATGATTTTTGCGATCTTCGCAGTCTGGCTGTGAAGCAGCTATGGGCCAGATGGACTGTCAGGAGCGAAACCTAGTGCAATATCGAACTTCAACTCAGCTGAGACATAGCTGAACTGAATGGTAGTGGGCATGCTCGCAGATTATACATGATTCTGGCTGCTGACAAGCTGCGATCATCTCAGATGGACGAAGCGGTGTGAATAGGTAGGTCAATGGGTATTCTTTCCGAGCAACAGAGGCTTTCGGGCACGCTGCCTTTGGGAGAGCTAGATGCGTGAACATCTATCGAGAGGTCCGGAGGATGTCGGTTGTCCTGTGCCTGCGTGCTAACCAGCAGAGAAGATGTACGCCTTCGACATCTGGCCTCACGAAAGAAACTCGGTTTGAGAAGCAGAAGCGATCATGTTCGCCCTGTTATAACGGAACCGACGATCTACAAGCGTGCGATCCAGGTCTTACAAATCCGAGGTCCTGGTGTAGATCCTACTTGCGATCTCTACCAGGATGATAAGTGTGTGCGACCAAGTCCGAGATTATCGAACCGCCTATAATAATGAAGAAGTAGCAACCCTCCTGCCTTTGTGGCGTACGCATCGGCTTCCGGGTCCCGAATGGATCGCATCGTGCCTCCTATGTGCGGTCGGCATGCCGTGAAGAACGCTCCACAGCATGTTCTCCGATGCACATAGAACTATGACACCAAAGATACCCTGCAGAACTACCCGACATCGCATATCATGTTATTTATTGCATCAAGCCAATGCAGCGCAGCATCGGTACTAGCGTCAGCATCAATATCCACATAGGAGGTCTCTATATGTATGTGGATGGACGCACCTTCCTGACTGAAGACAGACAAGACAACGACTTATACCATCGAAAGAAATAACGAATTAACATATGACCGAAATCATGTTCCAAACAATCCACGACATTGACCTTAAAGACCGCCTTCGAAGCAAAAAAGCCCGTAATCCATGGGAACACGACCTCAAGCCATATCACCGTCATTACTATCATGCCAGAAGAAGTGCAAAAGAACAACAAGAATCAACGATAGGAATCACAAACCTCTTCATCCTCGCCACAGCAGCCCTCGAAACCAGCCTCCCCAAAAACTCGACCACCACCTCAACAGGCCCAGCAACAGCAACACAAATCATCCACGCCGAAATCGAATCCATATCCTCTCACCTGTCCTCTCTCAACGAGCACATCCACACCTTCAACGGCCCCGCTATCATCCAACATCTCGAACTCTTCAGCGAAAAGCTCATGCACATGGGAAATCACATCGCCTCCGCCGCCGCCTCCGCCGCTGCCGCAGAGCAACAAGATATGACAGCAACAACAACAACAACGATAATAAACGACGCCAAAACATCCTTGACCCTCATCTTCTACATTAAACATGCCCTCCAGCCCTACAATCGCGAAACACTCTCCCAACTGCGCAAAACCAAGGGAAGAATTTCGAGGTTGGGCCTCTTGGACGATGTGACGTTGGCATTGAGAGAAGTGTGTGAGTGGATGAGGGTGTTGGGGACGGTGGTGATGGTGTTGTTATTCTCGTCGTCGTCGGGGGGGAATCATCATCGTCATCGTCATCATCATCATCATCATCAGCATCATCAGCTGACGCACGCGGAAGAGAAGAGGAGGAGGTGGATGGTGCAGGGGAGAGAGGTATGGGAGGGGATTGGGAGGGATTGGGAGGAGATTGTGAGGTATTTTCAGGCGTAGGGTGATGGAATGGGGACTCAGGTTGATAGCAATTAGGCCGAAAAAAAAGATCGGACTTGATACCTTGTATGTGAGGAGAGTAGAAACAGCGAATGAGTGCAACTTGAGGCGCATTCCGGCCCGATACACTTGCCCGTTCGGTTCTAGCGCCTCCGGCTGCTCCTACGACTGCACGTCGGGCACCTGGTCGACATCATCAAATGTCAGTCGGGCGATAATAGATGATGCAATAGGCAGTGAACGAACGGCCTTCGGGGACCATTTGGTTCTCATTTCTCATGCGTGTCGCTCGATATCATCTAGGTAGACTATGCAGCTACGAGGAGCAGAGGCAGTTTGCTGCATGCTGAGAACCATCTGCCACGTGAGACTCATCTGGCAGTCTACCAGCGACGGCGCTCTTCATCACCTTCATAGCCTTGGCCACCTCCATAGCCCCGGTCACCTCCATAGCCGCCAGGCATCTCATCGCGTCGTCCATACTCATCATCGTCACGCCGTCTACCTCCATATTCGCCGCCACCACCGAACTCTTCGCGTTGACCGCCACCATATTCCTCGCGCTGTGGCCGCTGGCCGTACTCTCCACCTCCGTAGGAATCACCGCCGTAGCTGGGCTGCTGACGACCGTACTCACCTCTCCCGAAGCTTGACTCTTGCGACTCGTAGCGCCTCTCAGAGCTGTCTTCTTGGCGAGAGAAGCTGCTTGAGGACTGTTGGTTGTACTCTTCGCGCCGTTGGTATCCATCACCGCTGCGCCTGTTGTACTCGTTTGAGTCGCGCTTGCGGCTTCCAGAGCGTCGACGTTCATCATCCCGGTACCCGTCTTGCTCCTCGCGCTCCTTCTGTTCTTTCTTGCGACGCTTCTCTTCCTTCTTACGTTGTTTCCTCTGCTTCTTCTCCCAATCATCATCGTCATCGTCATCGTCGTCATCGTCATCATCGCTGTCATCCTTCTTGTTGCCGTATCGAGTCTCCTGGTGCTGGTAGGAGCGGCCGTCGCTAGTCACACGCTGGTGCTGGATCTCTTGCTGATAGCCACCACCTGGCTGCTCGAAGCGACGCTCGGTATGCTCTTCATAGCCACCGTCATGAGAAGGTCGCACCTCCCTCCGCTGCTCGTAGCCATATCCAGTCTCACCTTGACGTCCGTCTTGTTCGTAGCGCTGATACTTCTCTTCGTAGCCGCCACTCTGGTACTGCGTCTGCTCGACCGATGCCTGTCCGTAACGCTCTTCCTGTCTACCGCTACCGTAGCCGGCGGAAGGCCGGTGACCAGTCTCGGTGATCCTCGAAGTATATGAGTTGTCGTCGTTGAAGCCACTGCTTTCGTATCTACTGGTCTCCGCCTTCTTATCTGAGCCGAAAGCACCACCAAGCAGGCCAGCTCCGACTGCACCTGCCAGTCCACCAACTACAGATCCGAGCACACCGCCACCGACAGCTTCGCCGACCGAGTCACCGATCTGGTTGGCTTGCTCGTTGGACTGCCTGCCATGGAAGCCAGTTTGACTCTGCTGAGCCGCATCGCCTAATGCACCAAGCATGCCGCTCATCGCCCCCGAGCTCTGAGATGTCTGCATGCTAGGGAAGCCAAGAGGCTTACCACATCCGTGGCCACCATCGTGCACGCCCTCCTTGTGATTACGTCCTTGCTCGACACCATCGCGGGAAAGCTTCTCGCGCAGATCATCCTTCTCGCGCTCGCTCTGCTCGTCCCACCATCGCTGGACAGTCTCGAACATGGCACGCCGACCGTCGACGGCGCCGTCTTCGCCATATTCGCGCAGAGCTGGGTGGTGGAAGATGCCATTCACGATACGATCGTTCGTGCGGCGAACATCAATGTCATCGTCGTCCCAGCAGGCTACCACTTGCGGCACGACCCACCGCAGCACTGCGCTAGCGACCTTTCCAGCAGGCTCGTTGAGCACATTGGAGAAGTGATCTTTGCTCAACATGCTATGGGTGGGGTCAGAGCAGTTGTCGTCCTCGAACACATTCAGCTGCTGGGCTTTGCTAGATTGGATGATCTCGCTGGAACCAGTCTTGAGCTCCTGCTTGATCTGGTTGACCACAGGTACGACAAAGGGGGCCATGAGCGAGAAGACAAAGATGCTGACTTGGTTCTGGACCTGCTCGATGATTTCTGGTAGAACTGGGATCTTGTCGATGGCTTCGGAAATGGACATGACAATCTGGTCATGGAACTCAAAAAGTGGGTAGATCTGCTTGGTGATTTCTTCCATCTGTTGGGTGAATTCCTCTGGATCCTTTGGTGAGATATGCATGTTCTCCAGCTGAGCGGCTTGAGCGTTGGCTTGAAGTGCGTCAGCCTTGCCCTTTTGATCAGCATCACCGAACAGTCCAGGTGGCAGCTTGTCCAGTAGATCTTTCAGAAGGCTCGTATCGGCGGTTTGCGCCTGCTGCATGGTATTCTCCAGCTCGTCCAACTCAAATTGCGTAGATTTGTCTGTGAATTCTCCCATGACACTATGCAAGAAATCGGTACCACCGAATGTGCCTGTGATGATTGGATAGACTGAGCCGCTGCGAGCGCCCTGAAGCTCAATCTGGGTACGACGACCAACGTGAGGGAAGATGTCGCGCTCACCCATCTCGATCAACGCCAATTCGGTATAGTTGCTGTGAGCAGAGTAATCTTCCATGCAATGGCATGCGGTACCTAAGAGTCGAAGCGCTTCGTAAAAGTCTTTCTTGTCATTGCTTCGCTTGTACTCTCGTCCGAGCTCGATGCAACGCGTCAATAGCTGACGAACCATGGCAGAAGAGGTAGTGATGCCCATATCCTCGGAGGCAATGTAATTTTTCAAGCCAGTTCGCTCATCTATGGCCAACTCGCGACGCTCGTCGATCGGGCCACGCAGACGTGGATCGTAGTCTCTGGCATCTAGGTTGTCCGCATAGTCCTTTGGATTGTCAATGTGCTCTTCTGGTCGGTAACAGCCCAGACGGTCTTTCGTGACCTCGAACTCGCCCGTACCAAAGCCAAAGGTCATGAAGCCAAGGATCCAGAGCAGGAGACGGATGGCCTCTGCTGAGACGTACTTGACAGTTCCCACATCGACAGCCTGGCTGTAGTCACGCAACCAATTGCCAAAGTATGTCCGCTTGACGTCGAGCTTGGAGAATTTTTTGCCTCCCATTGCTCGAGCAGTGAGCAAGGTGAGGAGGGTGTCCTCGATGTCGCCATGTCGCCAGTTCTGCCCTTCGATCTTCGACGTGCTGCCAATGTTTCCCGCGCCGAAAGCGTGTGCCTGGCCTGCGTAGAGGATGACAAGCAGAGCCACGACAGGCAGACAGCTGCTGTATGTTCGTGCCATGACGGCGGCAGAGTGGGAAGCGTCGAGTGTGCGTGGGAGGTGGGAGGTGGGAGGTGAGTCGTGTGTGCTTGATCTGGACTAGAAGGTGGGGGAAACGGTGATGTGGCTGTGGTTCAAAAGAAGAGCTACCAGCTACATGTACCTAGGTACCTACAGGTACCTACCCACAATGCCAAGTGACGGAATAAGCTCCAGGTTCCAACAAGTCTTGCAGCATCTTGAAACAGATACCTTGATTGCCAAGTCTACGGGAGAGCAAACTATCCCAACAAACAGCTCATATCATTTGGCCGGCACGAAGACCAGCGGATTCTACCTGCCGACATATGTGGTAGGTTTGGCGCTGAAGTAGAAATAGAACTCAGGTACTGTACAATCTGACTTCTGTCACCTTTTGACGGTGTTTGACCGACCCGCTCGGTCTGTCGGCTAACGGCGCGGCCCGGGGAGTATGGCGCGCGGCTCGCGGCCCGCGCTTGGCATCGTGTCGTGGCCCTGGCAGGCAGTCGAACGATCAGGTAAAGGTACCTGAAATCTTGATTTCTCTGAGAAGTGAGAACTACGGTCAGCTACCTTACCATATATGTAGTTTTGGACAGCGCTGGGCTTATAGCCTGATTCGCAGTCGAGCTCAATATGAACGGTGACACCACTTGGCACCAGTCTGAAGTTCCTATTGTCAATGCATGGAAGTGGACAAGGCCCCCGGCGAAGCAATCTCACAGCAAGCAAGTTGCAAACCATGTTGTTACTTAAACTGTGTTTATCACGCACTGTATCCCTCCTGCCAATCGTCTTCTCACTCTATCTGCACACTCACAATTGAATCGAAATGGCTCCGACTTCCGAATGTACGGTCTGCAGCAAAACGGATGTTCCCCTTTCCAATTGTGCCCGCTGCAAGACGACACTTTACTGCTCCAAAGACTGCCAGACCAAACACTGGCCTACTCACAAGCAAGACTGCAAACGACCCAACTACATCCTCAAGTTCCACATCTACCCGAAAGAGATCACTAATCCACCAGTCTGGCGGACACTCTCCGTGCCATCAGACTGCTCTTTTAGGAAGCTTCATCGCGCTCTCCAAATTGCTTTCAATTGGGCGACCACCCACAGCTATGAGTTCCACGTCCACGATCCATCCTTCGATCCGAATGCTGAAGAGGCACAAAATAGCATGGCAGAAATCCAACGCATGATCATGAAGCAAGCCCTGCCCGATTCGAATGCCCCACGAGAGTACCTGCTCAGAGTCAATGATGATCAGGAGTGGTCCAGCACCAACCGACAACCGGTTGACTGCATGCATCAAGGGATGTGGGCTCACCCGAGGACTCCGCTGAAGGGTGCGAGTAAGACGAGACTGTTTGAGGTATTGGAGAAGCCGGAGTACAAGGGAAAGAAGATGACCTATCTTTATGATTATGGAGATTGCTGGGAGCATGACATTGAGGTACTGGGCACTGCACCAGTCGCAGGGAAGATTCGATGTTTAGATGGAGAAGGGCACTACGTTGCTGAGGACGCAGGCTGTTTCAAAGGATGGAATAAGGTGTTGGAGGCGTATAGGACAGCGTCACCAGACAAGGAGCAGAAGCAGAACAGATTATGGTTTGAGAAGCAGGCCAGTAACCGAGATCCTGCTGGACTCTCAGGAGACAAAGCGAAGAGGTGGGACAAAGATGCGATCAACATGAAGTTGAGCGTGTTGGCATAGGAGCTCGAATCATCCCTCTGGAGCAAGACCTGGCGCACTACACCTGCGTCGCGTACGGTGGTATAGAAAAGCGCAAATGGACTACCCTGGTACAGCGACGCATTGATAGACGTGAAGGAGCTCAATAATGAAAGCATGAGTGTAGAACCCATGCACGTCTTTTATTCTGCAGCGTCGGCCTCGATCGGTGCCTGAGGTGTTACATACAATACTGGTCGCTTCACTTACGGACGTCCGCACATGAAAAGGCTTGGCATTGGGATCTTGCGTGTTTGTCCTGCACCACAACATCCAAACTCCAAACCCAAACACAACGACATCTTCTGTATGCGCATCCGCGCGAACTAATCACTAGTACGACAAGATTCCACCTGAAACACGAGACGATTTTTCGCTGACAGTTTCGCAAGTGATATGACTCGCTATATCACCTGCTGCTGCTGCTGCTGCTTACTATGTACATGTACTCATCCGCCTGCTCGACTATGCTTAATATCTTAATGAAATCAAGGGAATCATTCAAAATAGAGCAAAAAGATTCCCAAATTCCTTTCCTTTTCCTTTCCTTGCCGTGTCTCTGGACTTTGCTTTCCAATTGCATGCATGAATATATGAATGCTATCTGTCTATCATCGTCGTCGGCAGCGACTCCGATTCAGTCTGTACTACTACTACTACCTGGTAACCTAATACTTGAAGAGTGGCTCAGTTGGGGCGAAAAGAAGCGAGTCAGAGAGTTCGACAATGTCTTTGAAGGTGCAATACTTGCTCTTTTCCACCACCATGTCCATCGGCGTTGTTATTATCTCTAGTTCTGACCAGGAGTGGCGTTGTTTGATTGCTTGATAGCTGGGTACCGTGGTTAGCAAATAATCACTCGAAAGCATGAGGTTGCGAGGGTGAGAGTTATGGGAAAATTTCAAGAATTAAAACAAGTATCAACGCGTAATCTTCGCTGTGGCCGCCCCGGCGGCCACAGCCTCCCCCTCCCCCTCCCCTCCCCTCCCCCCGCACGTTTCTCGTGCCTTCATGTACCCTGCCAGGCCCCCGTGCACCCGCCCACTGTCCTAGCGGCGGACAGTGGCCTGCACGAGACCGGAAGCGAGCCTCTCCATCAACTGGACGGCCCTCTTCGTCTTCCGGTACGACATTTCGGCTGCCGTGGCCATCTGCCGAGCAGTCTCGGCATTCAATTGTGCCTCTCTGGCACCCATTTGACCATCACTGAGAATCTACGAGGCACATAATTAGCATAGTCTCGCAGACGCTTATGGGAATGGGGAATGGGTACTTACGCTGGCGAAGTTCAGCAGACGCGCCTTACGCTCTGGCGACGTCTGCATCTTGGCTTTGCTCACCAGCTTCTCAGTGAGCGTGCGCACGCTGTTGAGCGCCGCCTCGTGGTCCTCTGCCAAGATGCTTGACAGAGACTGGTCGCTCGCGTTGGTGGCACGCGAGGACGATCTTGGCTCCCCGAAAGGAGATTGGTGCAAGGCCGGAATGGCCGGCACTGGCGGAGTCGGGGAGGAGCGGTAGAGATGGCTATTGTCAATCTCTACCTCGAGGGTCGCCTCGCTTGTGTATCTCTCCAATTCGAGCGGAGGCAGTGGAGGAGCGGGGATCTGCTGCGATTTCTTCTCGCGCCTGTGGAAAATGCCCGTGAACTTGTCAATCATGGTGCGGCTCTTCGAGCGCGGGCGTGGTCCGCCGATCGTGCTGAAATTTCCCACTGAACGGCCGACCCGTTCATCTGGATGACCCCGTACGGTCCTTGTTCGTGGTGAGTTCATGCCGGCCGACGTAGAACCGCTGTTGCGACCTCGAGAACTTCCTGCCTTGCGGAACTTGTTACTCTCTGAAGCAGGAGTCTTAGCAGTCTTCTTATGAACCGATGCCTTCGTCATGCTTGCATAACCACCCCTCTCACCAATGTTCATGTTCTCGCGCGCGCGGCGAACGCTTCCCGTAGACTTCTTCTCTTCGTAGATCTTACCAGAACCCAGAGTTGGCGATGAGTTGCGCGTGGGGATATCTGGGCCACCGGCTTGTTCGTCCTCCAAGGGCGACTTGGCTGTGATGCTTGGTATGTTCGTTGCTGAAGGAAATCCGATTGAGGAAAGGGCTGCCTTGCGAAGCTCTGTCGAATCGTTGATTGCTGATGGAGTACTATCCGACCACTTACTGATCGCCGGAGTCGAGTTTGCTGTATCCATCGTCGTGTGATGCCCATGTGTCTCCACCAGTGTCTGGACTTCTTGATCTTCGCGGCCACTCATCTCCAGTTGTGTACTGCTGACTGAGCCTCGTTCCACGAACTTGAATGCTGCAGCTACGTTGTCCAAGTATGTGTTGCTCGTTGGTGCATTGCTCGTCGACCGAGTAATTTGTCCAAACATTGCTTGAAGTTGGTCGTAATCAACGAACTCACTGGGCGGTGTGCCCTGTCCTTCCAGCTGGGATAGTGTACGCGTCAGGTGATTCTTAGTCTCGGTGTCAAGTCCTGGGACGCCGTCCTTTTCTCGTTCATCATCCTCAGTCTGAACTGCATTCAGCATCTCCCTGAGCTGCTCTCTGTTGGCACCCCGAAGGTTGTTCGCGTCAGTGGAGGGAAGGTCTTTCGTCTGTGCATGTGACAATTGCTTGGCGACTGTCGAGAATCTACTCTTGGGCAGATGCGGTGGTTCTGGGATCAGCATGGACTGCGATGGGATCGTCTCAAGTGGTCTAGTGAGGCGGCTGTTGGAAGGAGGAAGGCGTCGCAGCCGAGGATTATCAAACGGGCTCGACAGTGGTGACTCAAATCGATCGGTGGCAGCATCTCCGATTGTGAGCTTGGCCATGGATCCTGACCGTGGCAAAGATGGTTGGCTTACTGGGGTAGTGACTTCATCCTCGTCGGAAGAGCTCGCGCCAGTAGTGTTGGCAGGAGAACTACCCCCGCTGTATTTCCCGGCTCGGAACTCGCGACCAGTGTACGCCACGGGTTGTGAACTGTCGCTAGCAAGACTGTTATTCGTGTTCAGGCGCAGAAGGCGACGCTTTCTGCCTTGGTCCAGAAGAGCGAGGGCACTGGGCGAAATCAAGCGACGTTGACCGAACGTGGGACTGTGTTCTTCCGCATCCGATCCGAGATTCTGAGTCTGGAGCTGAACCAGAGTCGCTTTCTTGCTGCCAGGAATGGGGATTCGGGAGGCGGTCCTATCAGTATCACTACCTGTCGTATGCACTGACGAGAGTGATGTTCGGTGCGGGTTCATGGCGCTGCGCAGACGCGAGAAATTTGCTGGAGAAGCATTCTGCTGTCGTGACTCGTATCCTGGTGAGTAGACATCATCCTGCATGCCATCAGGCAAAGTGGACACATCAGGATAGTCTGCAGCGATCGGTGAGGTGATGTCGCTGTAACTATTCAATGCTGCCAGAGAGTGTGTACGAGGAGGGTAGTTGGGAGTACTGAGGTTCGATGCTGTGCCGCGGTCGCCACGTTGAGGAGACGCAGCATCGACAACAGATGCGGTCTGACTCTGAACATCACCACCAACGGACTCTTCTGCACTCACGAACGACGGGTTGGAAGAGCGGCCAGTCAGTCCGGAGGCTCTACTGTTCGTGGCGTCGCGGATGTAGGCAGAGCTGGCATGGCTGGTGAGTCTGTTGCCTTCGGCAGTGAGTATGGTGCCTGAGGTTCTGCGAGGGATACTACTTGCTGAGGTCTTGGCGACAGCGGTGAAGTGGTGCTCTGGCGCACTGATGGAGCGTGGGGTGAGTGACGGCCAACCGTCGCCGACAGAGAGGCGCAATGGTTGCTCACTGGCATCCACGAGGGTGCGGCCATCTTTCGAAGGACTGGCGGTGGTAGCGACCGAAGCGACTGGTCGTGGTGGAAGTGGCTTCTCGACAGACACAGAGCGGCCGCTGTCCGTCACGAGTGCCGACGAGAGTCTTGGAGAGGGATTGCTTGCTTCATTGTCTGCGGCACGCTGGGTGACACGAGCAGCCCACTTGGTATCTCCGGTCAATGCCGTTGGTGCAGACGTGTCGCGGCGCGGGAGTCTTGAAGTTGACGCTGACAGTCGCGCTGCTGATGGGACCGGCTTGCGATGGGTCGAGCTTGACGGAGTGGTTCTTGCTGCGGAGACCTGTGTCGGCGCGAGGATACGGCTGGCTGGAGTCGTCGCTCCGAGAGAGAGCTGGTGAGACGAGGCGGCTGGAGGAGCACTGTGCGGTTCGCCTGTTAGTGATGTGCCGCTGCTCGTCGAGCGGCGGTCTGTGTGGGCAGGCTCTGTGAGCGAGGGCATGGCGTGTGGCGGCAACATGGCAAGTGTTGTCTCCGGGTCACTCAGTGATGCAGCAAGCGATGGGCGGCTGATCAATGATTGATGATGAGTGTTGGAAGTCCACGTCGAAATTGAAGAATTTGTGTGTGCGAATGAGAGTCGGCACAACGGCGGCTTACGCCGAGCTCGCGCCTTCCTCCGCTCACTGTTGTGTTGTTCTGTCTGTGCTGACGCTGGCCGGGCGACTCGAGAGAGATCTGATCTGATTTGATCTGATGGGATCCGATCTCGAGGAAATCTAGATTACAATATCGAGCAAGACGAAGACGAAGATGGAGAAGATGGAAGGGGGAAAGGGGAAGCAGCAAATACCTTAGGTATCGATGGGGTCGAAGAAGGATGTGAGGAAGGCTCGAGGAGCGCTGTTTCCTCCTCCGGCTCGAAAGGGGGGGAGGTGGACGTCGTACATGGCCGTCTCATGGGCCGAACTCGACACGTGCCGTGGCTGCATCTTGCGTTTGCATGCATCCAAGTAAACACGGCAGCTGCGGTTGTGTACACGAGAGACGGCACGGCGCTGCCTACATGTACATGCCATGGCGGTGCAGCTCGTCTTACTGTATCGTCGACTCGGCCTTTCTCTGCGCGTACCAGGTAAGGTAGGTAGGTACTTCTGCTCTCCCACACCGGGGCTTCTGTTCGCCGATCTTCTCTCTGGCAGTCTTCACGTGACTTGTGACATGGACGGGATCGCGCGGAGAAGCTCGATTACGGACGAGAGGGCCTCCCAAAATCAAAATACGCCCACTTTCCTCTTGATGGATAGAGAAAAAAAGGCAGAGATGGATGGGATGGGATGAAAGCAGCGGCGCGTGAAACTGAAGTGAAGTCGGCCGGCAGGGATGGGAACCAGCTAGCTCTATAAGGTACAATGTGGGATTTGTGCCGAAAAGCGGATACCTTACACTAGGTCGATGGAACTAGTCTACCAAATTTGCTCCGTCGGCAACCTACCTCCTACGCACACGGAAGGTCGGTCCCTTTCTTTCATTATTAAATATTCGTCCTCTCCCGCGAGACCTTTCCGTCATCGTCTCGAGTACATGTACAGAGTGCCAGGAAGCGCAGCATGACACCGGAGTACAAGGCGCAGAAGGAGGCTGCCGTGTCCTTCTTGGGCGGCGGCGGGATCTGGGAAATTAACCATGTTGCCCTGGTGGCCCCGGTACGAACGACGTGGTTGCACACATGGGAGTCGCAATAATTTCATTCCTAACAGAAGACGCAGGCCGCCGCCTTTCTGTGGGCAATGCTGCAGACGCGACAGAACTACTTCAAACAGTACACTGTCGCCGCCGCTTTCTCCGATTTCCTGATACAATGTGGAGCCATCCTGTTCGCGACCACGGTCTATGCTGGTGCGCCTCAGATACTGAATGGCTTACTGCTGCTGCCTGCCATCGCTGCGTACCTGCAGCCCAGTCCAGAAGTCAAAAAGTCCGTCAAACCACCTACGAAAGTGGGTGCCAAGGAAAAATCCTCAGCCGACGAGCCCAAGAAGACCGAGGATGACGAGAAGAAGGACGATCTGCCCGTGAAGCCCTTCATCACCGCTTACCGTGGCGCCATGATGGTCATCACGTGTTCGAGCATACTGGCTGTGGACTTTCCGGTCTTCCCACGACGCTTTGCCAAGACAGAATCGTTTGGCACATCACTCATGGACATGGGCGTGGGATCTTTCGTGTTTGCCGCCGGCATTGTCGCAGCTCGTCAGCAGCTCAAGGAGGACCAAGAGGCTTCGCGGTCTCTCGTGAAACGATTCAAAGCTGCGCTCAGGCACTCTTTGCCTCTCGCAGCTCTGGGCCTTGCCCGCCTCTGGAGTGTGAAGAGTCTCGACTATGCCGAGCATGTGAGTGAGTATGGTGTCCACTGGAACTTCTTCTTCACCCTTGCGCTCCTGTCCCCCGCCATTGCGATACTACAGCCGCTGTTGCGCTACACACAATATGTTGGCGGGTACAACATCTTTGCATTTGTGCTTGCCATCTGTTACGAGATCATCCTATACTGCGTGCCCGATATGAAGGCCTATATCATTCTCTCCGAGCGCAAGCCTGGCGACTGGCTGTCGCAGAACAGAGAGGGAGTCTTCTCCTTCATTGGATACCTGGCCATATTCATTTGCGGCATGGGTGCCGGTGTGAACATCCTTCCACGCGAGCCTGAACCCGGCGCGAGGAAACTGCTCCAAAAGGATCCCCTCGAGGCCGACGAAGACTGGCTTGCTTCAGTTCTCGGAGCTGCCGAAAAGGAGGACGAACCGAACAAGGCAGCACCCCCGCCAATGGAGATGCCCAAACTCAAGCCAGAGTGGCCCAAGCCAACTCTTCATCGGCTGGGCGCGTTGACGTTCATGTGGTTCATCTTTTCCACGTGGGCAATGTGGAGATATGGTCCCCGATTGTTCGTGTCGCGGAGAATGGCCAATCTGGCATACGTCTGCTGGGTATGCACGTTCAACTACGCACAGCTCCTCTTATTCAACATCATTGAGAAAATCATGTTTCCGAATGTATACACGGCAAAGACAAAAGAGGCAGAGCGCTCCCGCATCCGCGACGCCACTAGCCCGGTGATGCGCGCGTACAACCGCAATGGTCTGGCCATCTTCTTACTGGCCAACTTGCTCACGGGTCTGGTCAATATGACTCTGCCCACCATCCACATGGGTGATGTTCCTGCCATGACGGTATTGGTCAGCTATATGGGTGTACTCACCGCAGTCGCACTCGCACTCGACCATTACAACATTTCCATCAAGCTATAGGTGGCTGAGGGTTATGACATTCTAGAATCAGCATTATCTGTGTACATTACTATGTATCATACCAAGTTCCGTCTTCGTCCTCGGTTGCGTGCACGTGATGACTTGGCACGGACAATTCATCAGGTGTCTCTGTGACTCTGTCATCCAAAAAAGGAGTTTCATCATTATCGACCACCAAATCTCTGTAGACTAAGGTAGGTACCTAACAGAACATCTATTCGTACAAGATATTATTCTTCTCTCACACACACACTATCGCCGCGAGGCGCAATCATCTTTCTCTCTTGTTCTTCGTTCTTTCCCTTCCTCTAATTTCCCGTCCTTTCCTTTTCCCTTCCATTTCCTCTACTATTTCTTCTCCTCTCTTCTTGTTTTTTATCTTCTCTTCTGTTCTCTTCTCTTCTCTTCTCTTGTCATTCATTAATCATTACGTATTCGAAAAAAAAAATCTCAAGCAAAAAAGGAAAGGCAACAACAAGAACAAAACAAGAACAAGAACATTCACTACCACCCAGCAATAGGTTGACCCCGTCCGGATCGTACACTATTGCTACTACTACTCTCCCCGCTTCTTGATGGTGGTGGTGGGAAAGAAGAAGAAGAAGAAGACTCAGGAGGGAAATACTGCGGAAAATCCCGTCTCAACTGCGTCTGAGTACGATGAATACTCAATGTTCTTGAATCATCGTCATTACTCTTCTTCTTCTTCTTCTTCTCCGACTTGGCGGCAGGAGGGGAAGAAGGTAAAGAAGAAGTGGAAGAAGCCATTATAACAGCATGATGTAACGTCGTCGTCGTCGTCGTCGTGTTCGTATTCCTGTTCGTGTTCATGGTGTTCATCGGCTGCTGTAGCTGCTGCTGCTGTTGTTGTTGCTGTTGCTGGAACTGATAATCCCCCACCAATTGGTGCGGCAAAGACTCCAATAAAAGTTGACTCTGGCGTCCCCGAGGAGTTTTTTGGGGTTGAATCACCAGAGGAGAAAGGGGAGAAGGAGGATCTGGTAGGAGTTTCGAGTTATACCGTTCATCGTCATCAACAGGGCTCGAGACTTTGCCGAATTCGAAACTATGGTGATTGGGATCGGCGAAAGTTTTGTTGTTGTTGGGGGAAGGTACTGCCGTGCTGGCTTGACTCTGAGACCAACGACCACAGTACGAATCTTTGGAGGTGTCTCGAGAGGAGGAGGTGGTGGTTCGGGAAACTTTTGTGATTGCTTTCTTATTCTTTTTCTTCTTCATCATCTTCCTCTGGTAGGGGGGTGTGCCACCGCCAATGGTGTAGCGTGGAAGGCGTTGCGCTTCAGCTTTTTCGAGAGATGGGGCTCGGGTTTTGGAGAAGACGGGTTTGATGACGGCGGAAGATGCGCATAGGATCCCGAGGTTGATTTCGATAAAGGACCAGGTGCTGATGGGAGCGGCGTCTCGCATGGGCTGGGGGGATTCGGTGAAAATCTTGATCGAGAAGAGACGGATGCAGCTGGCGAGGGTTCCAATCCCGGCTACGAGGAAGGCAGCGAGGATGCCGATTTTCTGGCGACGCTCGCGTGGGATTTTCCAGATGAGGGGAATGGGAAGTGCGATCATAATCACATCGGTGATGATGGTGAAGATGCTGGTAGCTGTGCGAACTGGTCAGTAAAAGATTCCATCGTCCAGATATGATTGCCAGGTGCAGAACTCACAATAGTAGAAAGCAGTGATATCGATGCAGTTTCCTGGAGTGCTGGGTGACCAGTACTTCTCAATGGGAATGCATTGAGTCGCAACGACCGTCAAGGTCGTCATGAAGTGCAGCACTAAAATCACCAGTAACGAGACACTGGCGTAATAGAACCATCCTCTCAACTCAGCCGCAAGCCGAAGATACAAGAGGATCAAGGACAACTTCACGAAGAAGATGGTCATGTAATAGAATATCTCATCGGAATAAATCCCCTACTCCCATCATCAGCATCAATCCTCAGCCCCAACACTCAGGAAGCAGGCAAGCAAGCAAAGGAACGACATGATCACATACCTGTACAGCCTTGACAGCCCAATTGACAGGCACATCCGGCAAATCCAATCCCACACCCCACCTCACCGAGACAAAAACCGCCGTCGTGAACGCGAGCGAACACGCATACGCCATGAACATGGCATGATCATCATATCCAATCTTTCTCCGTCGTTGAACAATCGTAAGAATGCGACATGCAATGGCAAATGTTCCGATCAAAGTAAATATGACACCTGATGAATGAAAAAATCATCAGCCAATCGAGGTTCTCTTCTCTCTTCTTCATTCTTGCACACTTGTTGAGTTTCGTAGGTACCAAGGCAGGTAGGTAGGCAAGGTAAGGTAAGATACATACCAATCGCGACAAGAGCAGCTCTTGCAGTGGTGAAATTCGTCGGATGTTGCACAGCCGGAATGGGTTTGATAATGATCCTCGAAGCGAACCGCGTGGGCGAAGTGCTCATATCTTCTCCTTCGGACATGCTATGACTACTACTACTGCTGCTGCTGCTGCTGCTGCTGCTGGTGGTGGTGGTCGAGGACGACGACGACTTGTAGACAGTACAGCGAGCTTGTTTTAGACGTCGACAAGACTCTTCTTTTTCTCTCTCTCAGCCAGGTTCTTTTGTGTTGGCCAAGGCGGTCGGATCGCAGGTCATTGAGCTAGCAGATGAGAAGAAAGTAGAGCAGTAGCGGTAGCAAAGAGGTTTCGACCAGAACGGGTAAGGGTATCCAAGGTCTGGCTAGTCAGAAGGGAGAGGAGGTAGCAGGACCGCGATCAGAACCAGAAGATGAACAAAGATGAGAAGAATGATGGCATATGAGTACTCTGAAGCAGAGAAGGACCCCTTCGTCTCATCAAGGGAAAAAAGAAGGGTCAGTCATACGTATGTATGTATGGGTGAGAGAGGGAAAAGGCTGCGTCAGCATAAGGCATGATAGATATACATTCTCATCAAAAAAAGATGATAAGAGAGCCCCATTTTGACTTTTCCATGTCACAGATATTGACGATCCTCTTTTTGCGAGAAACTCCGCGACTCGAGAACTATATGTGAGAGAGGGTAGCCCGGCGGCTGAACCTACGCCGCTTGGGGTGATGGTTCCTGTCGAGAGAGGGTTTTCTCTTTTTCTTATTTTTTGAATCTTATTACGAGGACCTTTCCAATCGTTGTGAAAGGGTTTTTCGATGGCACTTATGTGGCGACGTCTATAGCCAGGCATCGAGAAGCAGGGAAATTATGGAGGAGAGTTCGAAATTGACATCATTTCGAACGTGAAACACTTGACATCTTTTGCTCATGAGAAGATTTGGGGATCGAAGCGAGGGCAAGGTCTTGTTATTGTTGGAGGTCTAACCTGTGGTAGCGATCGGGTGGAAGGGGTCCCGTAACAGATGCCAGAAGGCCGTCGTCGTTGTAGCGGAGCACAGAAGCCCAGGTTCTTGTTCGGCGCTGATTCTGCAAATAGCTCGCAGTTCCGAGCAATATGAGCAGTCTTCCTGGCAAGGTCCTTTCCACCACTTCCAAATGGCGAACCGCTCGTATAGAGCCAGGTGGTGGATGGTAGAATGGAAGGAGGGCGGTACCCACTCATGTTACAAAGAAAGGGTAACTATCATAAGTCTTCCATAAATCAGCAAGTGAAGTTGTTCGTTCATTGGCTCGATGACGTCCTGAGGTACAGACGAGAGAGGACCAGACGATCGCGACCCGATCTGCAGGGCCGCCCAACATGCCATCACCTCACCAGCCTCTCACGCACCTCGAAATCACCACACAACAACCACATAACCATGCACACGCCATGAAGATCTCCTGCAGAAAACGCGTGTACCCTGCAGATGCAGATGCACACCCTCTTCGCTTGCGCATTTGCGACATCGAGTGTCACTATCATCATCTGGAGGTACCTCCGGACGCAGTTGGGCAGTAAAAGACCGTTTCGTCACTGAGTCGGGGGCACTCGATGTTGTTGCTTTGATACCTTACCTCACCTGACTTGCTGGTGGGGTGAGGGTCGGATGTAATTGTCGGCCTCATGACGATGGCAAAAAGACCCGAATTTGCCGACTCTCTTCAATCGGCACTCGATTCGTACGTGGGTGGTGCCCAAGAAACGTCAGCAGCGTCGGTGGCCAGCGCGGGGCACCGAAAAGGTAGAACTACCTTAGTTCTTAATGGGCATCAGCATCAGACGTGAATGCCAGCTCTGCGGAAACCAAGCGCACTCTGGTGGAAGGCATATCGTGTACGATAGCACTGAAAGCTTCCTGCATCGTAAACACCCGTTCGGGGCTCTTGCTGGAATCGCCCAGGTGTCCTGGTCGGACAAGGACTTTCCGACCAGAAACTTTAAGCTCACGAGTCGCGGCGCAGCTCACGAAGTACCAATCTTCTACCACGGAGAACAGTGTTGCCGATATTGAGAAAAATGCCTCGCGGCACGGAATCGGAAATTCCACCATCTCTCATCACAACTGTGAAAGAAACCAAGCCTATGTCTGGAAATTTTGAATTTGATAGCTTGAAGTCGAGCTGAGAGAATGGGAGGAAACACCAATTCCCGACATGTCCCATAACCGAATTGAAGGTCGCGTCAATCGGTAAGACTGGGCTGGGGGTGTGCTGCTGGAGTATGGGGATATTCATAGCGACATGGTGAGGAGGAGGAGGTCAGGAAGATCCTGGAGATGAGAGGCTGATGATGATGTGCCGTGAGCGGTGGGGTAACCTGTTTGTTCAAATCATGGATGATATCTTAGGCACTGCGATATCAAGATGTGTCCAGGAATGTCCCAAGTATAGATGGGGTATGGTGTTGGCGAAACTTTGCCTAATGAACACCTCAAACATAACTTCACCCTTTGTGATATAGACTTCTCTTCCGGATCGAGGGTCCGTATTGATAGAATGCGAATGGAATAGGTAGCATGGCGAGGCAGATGAATCCCAGCAACGATGTCGCCCAGCTGATGCCCATGCGTTCGTACATTCTGCGCGCAGTCAGCACCATCCACGTCGACGAATCTCCGGAGTGATATAACACTAACGGCAGAACGAAGAGTGGAGCACAGCCTCCCAAAACATTTCGCATGAGACCATTTGCCGCCATTGCGCTGGCTCCATTCCGCGGACCATAGATATCGATCTGGTACATGACAGATGACAAGAACAGCGTCAAATTCCCCATGGCAAAGGGAACGCCGGCTGCCACTGGTACGACCCAGTGGACTCCAGGACGAGCGGTCCAGGCAAACCAAAGTAAGCTATCTCTCATGTCAGGCGGGGTCATCATCACAAAGACATCGGTATAACTGTACCCTACGGGCAAACCGGTGGCACCAACCATGCCTGCGTATAGCCTTTCTTCTGGGGCCAAGATACCCTTCCCTTGCATGACAGCTTGCTTGTGCTTCTTCATGTAGATGAGTTGGTCGCAGAGAATGCCAATGGCCACGCCGCATAACACTCCCAGACCAATCGATATGAACACCAATCCGTTCTCCCAGGTATTGAAGCCGTACACGCTGGTGAAGGTGTACGGGAACGCGGCGAAAAAGGAGAATAGTATGGCGAAGCCGAGAGCGTTGTATATGCCGAAAATCAACACAATTGGCTCAGTGGCCATCATGGAGACTGGTCGAACCAAAGTGGTGGTGAGCAGAACCTCCACGTAGTGCATGCTCAACATGTTCGGACTGGGCAGCACTGGCAGACCCAACTTCTTCGCGCGCGTCTGCAGTATCGTCTTTTTGTACGTCTCATGCATCGGCAAGCAGGTGAGATACGTCAAGCCTGAGATAATGATCATGCACCACACCGTCCATTGCCAGGATCCGGACTGAGCGGCAAATCCGCCAATTATAGGTCCAACTGCTAGGATCAGTATCACGAAGGGTGAGATGCGACCTGCCATGACAACAGGTCAGATGCACGATATACTTACGAGCGGGTCCGAGTAGCGGCATCATCGTGGACAACGCTGACCATAGCGCTCGGTCGTGGGGTGCAAAGAGGTCCGCATTAGTGCCGCTGCCGATTGCCAGGACTGGTGCTCCGGCAGTACCTGCAAGTAGTCGGCAAACACAGAGACTTGCAAAAGACTTTGATAGGCCACAGCCAAGCAAGAAAAGGATGGACACAGGTACCGAGACCTTGTAGACTATAGATCTTCCAAATTGTTCTGAGAGCGGCGCTGCAATGGTGGGTCCGAGACCCAAACCGATCACGTATAGAGTGAGTGGCAAGAATGCCACTGTCCTGGACACCGAAAAGCTTTCTTGTAGCTCTGGGCTCGCCGGAGTGATGAGGGATGCCGCTGTTGTTGTCGAGAAGCTGAGTAAAGCGACAGGCCAAAAGTGTCTCGCTTTCCTGGCGGAGCTCCACTGCGTGAAATCGTGTATAAGTACTGTTGCACCGATCTTACAACTAAGAAATGCTCGCATACATTGAGTGGATTGCCAGGGTCATGAGGCCCGTCCCAGTCCTGTGCAGGTCTGACCCTCGTCGATGATAGTTGATGAGCTTCATGAACGCCACTAGGTCCCTGTGGCTCGGTCTGCTCCAAGATGTATTCCTCGACATCGTGGCTGTTGCCAACTTCAATTGCTTCTAGAATTGATTCCACCTCCGTCTCTCGAGAGCAGTTTTCCAGGTCTCTCTGGGGGTCAGCTACAGCATCTAGCATTGCAGAAATAGGAAGTGCTTCATAGGGATGGTGCTGGCGAACAAAGCGAGAGGGTCGCTATTGTCCGAAGCCTGCGCGTACCTACTTCTCGTCTGATCGCTGCTTCTACACGAGGGCAGGAGACGACTTCCCAAGAATGACCATGTCAGCGTGCTACAGTGTGCTTGCCGAATCGGCTACGTTGCGTGTCCTTCGCTAGCGTATCAATCTGTAGATTCCTGTCGTACTTCATCTCTTCATTGGGATGCTAGGTTGGTATCGTCAATTCTTGCAAGCGGTACTTGCAAGCCTCCAATCAGTCTCTCTACCATATGCCCGAACTTCTTTCTAAGATTCCGCCAGCTCAGCTCCAGTGCTGAAGTCAGTAATCTGCAATACAGGCTGGCACAGAGTTGCCTCTACCATCTCGGGATTACTTGGGCGTAGCTCTGGTCTTGCTACCTTTGCCGACCCGTCAAGAATGTTACATTCGTGCCATCGGCCATCGAACCACGGTAGCGGTGAAAATCATATGCCTTCATATCCGCTTCACGTGAACAGAGTGCTTGGTCGATGGTATTCCCAGGTCGAGAAGCAGAAGCAGAGTGTCTAGGTAGTCAGTGGTAGAGTGTGCAAGCTGACAAGCTGAGTCCAAGGAGGAAGTTGCAGGAAGTATGAAGTCAAAGTGGCAGGAGCTAGTCCACAAGAAGGCTCACGGGGCGGAAGCTGCCGAGAACAAACTCCTAGGACTACGTCACTTGGCGGCTTAGCGTGCAGATCTTCAACAGCGCGTCCTGGAGAGCTGGCCTGGTATTGGAGGACACTACCTCCATCACGATTGGAAGGATGTGCTGGTCGTCCCTTCCACCGACTCTGCTACCTTACTCTGCCGCTTGTCCCTTCCCTCGGCCTCAGCTTCCACAGCCTCGCCTTCCATTCTCGTAGTCCCTCCCAACAGAGGAAATACCGTAGCCATCACCCTCCCGTCGTCTTCTGGCCCTAGCCTCCCCTAGTACAGCGATAGCAACATCAACAAGCGGCAGCAGCAGCAGTAGAGATGGCGGACTGCGGCTTCATCCCTCTCCCTCTGTGTATCCAATGCGGAACGAATGACAATCCATGTCATGTCAAGTCAGTCGCTTTCCACATCATCACATTCGGCGCGATGCTGATATCCACGGATTAGGATCGTGGGTCCGACCTTAGGCTTCATTATTGGGATCTTGATGGCCGTAAGAGCAAGACAGCGGTGAGGGGCACACGTCTGGTGGCTAACCTGAACAGATCGTCTGCTGGCCGGCGGCTATCCTGTGTTGCTGTTGCGCGACAGAAATGGGCAAGAGTAGGTCATGAATTCAACAGACTACAATGTCACACGGGCGCTGACACAGCCTGCAGAGATGCTGGGAGCGCCGGCGGACACATCGGGCGCCATATCAAATGCGATACCTTTTTGATGTGGAAAAGAGAATGCATACACACCGAAACGCGTGGAGCGTCACTTAGGCCGCGAAGAGAACAGTATCGTTGGTTAGGATGCGCGTAGGAAGGGTTAGTCCAGTTCTGTGTCGTTGAAACGACGGCTGTCGAGGGCCAGAGAGAGAGAGGGGGGGGGGAGCTGTTACCTGCGTGAGATAATCTTTAACGACCTTGGGGGCCGCGTAGCGTCAATGGAGAAGAAATCTGTGCCACATGCAGTTTCATGCAACCGCGTGTAGTCAGGCCAATTCCGCGACAGTGACAGAAGAAGAAGAGTGAAGTGAAGCCCCAGGTTCATAGTCCGTGCGACGACGCACAACAACTTATTCGACTTTGCGCAGAGAATGTTGACATGGTAATTGACCTCACACAGCGCACCTCCACGCTTTCGCCGACTATCTTGAGCCCCATGGCGGACATGGTGCAGAAAAACTCTGGTGACTCTGGGCATCCTCCACTCAAACACGAAGATCTGAGCCACGAAGATGGAATCCAAGTGATTGATGGTTTCTACCCATCACCTGACCCACCAGCAGCGCATCATCTAAGTCCAACTTCCCAACTTGACGAGCCCTCTGACCTTCCGACAGTCACAGATGAGCACTCTGGAACCCCAATGGCAGACATCGGAGCCAAAGAGAGTATCGGAAGCGTGATCGACTTCCAGGCGCAGCCAGAGGACGCGCCCACCCGCCCGGATTCACTCGAGGCGAATAGATTGACCTTGCGCCCTTGCAAGACTGCTGCACCACCCATCAACAGCTCAGCACAACATCTTCGACACTTCGACCCGCCCGAACTGCCAATGAAGTCCAGCAGCAGCAAAAGTGAGCTTCAGGCCGAGATGCGACATGAGGAACTCGTCGCAAGCTCACCTTTGTTCTCGATGCCGGCGCCTGTGCCGTTTTCGCTCTCCAAAGTTAGACATGGTGCCCTCGCCAAACGACGAGCTGCCTCTTCTTCATCTCCACTCGCCGCTAGACAGCCAATTCCTAAGAAGAGCAAGCGCGCGCCTCAGACTGCTTCGTCGCCCTTGGTGCTGTTTGAGGATCTTCCTTCGTTCTCCGAATCTTCCGCGGCCAGCAGGCACTCTAGCACCTCGAACACTACGAGAGCGGCTGTCGCGAAGTCGCGTCCAAGATACATCAGCAGCAGCAGAAATCGTGGCGATCATCTCGTCGCGGGCGGCGGTGGCGGCGGTGATATTATTGGGAACGTACAGTCTGTGTCTGGATCCGAAGAAGAAGACGACGAGAACGAAGACGAGGAGAAGGAAGACGACGAGAACGAAGACGACGAGAAGGAAGACGACGAGAAGGAAGACGACGAGAAGGAAGACGACGAGAAGGAAGACGACGAGAAGGAAGACGACGAGAACGAAGACGACGAGGAAGAGGAAGAAGAGGAAAAACCACCAGAAATCAAACGGAAACGAAAGCACAAGGTAATCACCAGTCCTACTACTACAACAGCAGCAGAAGAAGAAGAAGAAGACAGCGCAGCACCACCTCCCAAACCAGCTCCCGCGCGCCGTCACAGACCACCCACGGTAGGTTCGCACGAATTGAAGAATTTGGCCATGGATACTTTTCATAATAATCATCATCATGATAATGTGCTGCTGGAGAACGAGAAGGCTGCTACAGCTGCTTCTGGCTCACGTGGACGACAAAAACGACAAAAGCAACAACAACATGTTGCGAGCCCAGCGCAGCGTGTGACGACGAGGTTGCAGAGAAGGGAGAGAATGGCTTCGTTGCCGGGAGTTTCTACCAAGGAGGCGGTGCAGAGAAGGAGGAACAAGAGAGGAAGAGGGAGAGGGCGAGGGCGAGGGGGTGGAGGGGAGGTGTGAGTGTTTTCTGTTCTGTTGGTTTGTTTTGGTGAGTTGGTGCGTTGGCGCGGTTAATGGGTTGGGGTATTGTAAGAGGAGAAAGAGAGAGGGAAGGGGGATTGAAGAGAAGAAAAAAGTGTTGAGAATAGGGACGGGATTTTTCTATTAGGCTTTTCCCTTTTTTTTGTTTCAGGTCGCAATGGAGGGAGGGAGGAAGCGCAGACGGGGCGGGCAGTACTGTTTTTTCTTTTTCTTTTTCTTCCTTTCTTGGTCTCGCTACCTACCTTACCTTGCCTTACTTAGCCTTTGAGGAGGAGACTCCAAATATGTACACTGTTGGCCAGTAGCATGACCACACTGCTCGTCCACACGTCTGATCGATGCAAAGGTCGTGCTCGCAGCACATCCCAGACAGGAGCATTATCGCAATACCACATTGTAATGAGAAGCAACAACACTCGGAGGATACCATCACCCAGTGAGATGAGAAGTGGTATGCCCATGGCGAATCGCTCGGCGAGGAATAATCTCACGAGGATTCTTCGGTATGTTTCTCGATGATGGGTATGTTGCACGTAATGGTCCATTTCGGAGAAGTGGAACGAGCGGATGTCGTGGACTTTGTACTGCTGCTGCTGCTGCTGCTCAGAAGCTCTTCGGGGACGTTCTGAATAGCTCGCTACAGCGGGTGGACATCGCAGTCTTCGGAGGAGGAATTTCCAGCGGAGACGTTCCACTGCACTCATGTCGTTGGGAGTTGTGGTTGCGATTCGAGAGGTGTGTGCCATGGCGTGGAACAGATCGGGTAGAGCTTGAGTTCCATCGATGGTCAGAGTGCGATTCTTCTCATCAGTGAAGAGGCATTCGCGATCGAAAGCCTCTTTCGCGTGAGCATAATGCACGAACCGGCTGTAGAAAGCTGGTGAGAGAATTTTTAGTGTGAGCGTGCTCGCATGATCTTCTTTGTAGGTGAAGTTGGACGAGTAAAGCACAATCTCGTCGTGTTGGTGGTGAGCGGGCTCATAGATGACTCGCAGCGGACGCTCGGCATGCTCGACAGCTTGCGTCAGGAAGTCTCGGAAGATTTCCTCCAGAGCTGCCTCCTCGGTGGTGTATGTGCGTCCGATACTGGTGGGGACGACTTCTGGCCTATACCAGACGTGTAGTTTCCGGCGGAAGTATAGCTTCTGTGCTTCCCATACGATGCGAGGAGATGTGGCCAGACCAACCCACCACCAGGCAGATATGAACTTCACCAGTTGCAGAGTCGTGATGTTTTCTGGTTCTTTGGGCGTGCCCTCTGAGAAGACGCGCGCTACTATTTTGGTATGTTCCTTGGAAGACTTTAGCACAATGGTGTTGTCTATCCTGACGTGACCTGTTTGTTCGTAACCAGCCAAAGGATCTATCGCTCGGAGGGAATAGGATCCTTTCCGACTGTTGAACGGCGATACATGGAAGTCCTTCTCCCAAGAGTCCGTGAAGACCATCGCGTTACCAGATTCACCGTTTCGGTCCTTGTCGGCCATGGTAGCATCTGACTTGAGTAGGTACATTCTTCGCTCGTCGAATGTATTGTTGACTTCAAGAATCATATACTTCAAGCTGGCGTTGGAGTCATATATGTACCAAAAGGACACTGGATTAAAGCTATAGCCCAAAAAGCGTGGTGCCGTCACCAGATATGCGAATGCATAATCGCGACTGGTAACGCCTCTGGTATGCAGATATCGACGCAGCTTACTCTCGAGAGTATGTTGATCGTCGCTCCGATTCAGATAGTCGGCCGCACAAATGTCAAACCACCCACGAAGCTCACTATCCACCGAGAAGACCTTGCCAATCCGACCTTGCATGCCAACTGGTACACCCACGAAAAGGTAACTGTACGAAAAAGAATGCTTCTTGGGGAACGTCCGGGAGTGATTGGTACGACTTGGGATAATTAGAGGCGGCAGAAGTGCCTCTTCAATCTTTTGCTCGCGGAGAGGTGGACGAGCAGGATTCTCCGTCAACTGGTTTCCCCGAAAGACAATCGATCCCGCAGCGACACCACATATTCCCAGTAGCGAGAAGACTGCAATGTAGACCTGAATTTCCGGCGCGCTGAAGTCTATTGATGAGAGGTCTTGGAGAGTGATCAAGCTCCAGGAGCGTGTCCATAACAGACCATACACATTATGCAATGCGAGCAAGAGAGTGAGGTCCTGCCTCCACTTGGCATCGTTGGTCCATATCCGGAAGATCCAGAGAGGCTGGAACAGGAGGACACGCACTGCCAATGTCTTCGCTGGCTCGGTGAAGATGCTCCAGACAAGAGTCGAGAATGTCCAAGCTGCAAGAAGAATCTCTCTCGCTGTGCTGCCCCCAACGCCTTCTGCAGCCATCTTTGCCGCACGGAACTCCTGCCCTTGAGGCACTGTGAATTATATCACGAGCATGATGGTGGAATGAATAAGAATGAATGCATCGAAATTGGAATGTTGCGGCGTGAACGATGATGATGATGTCGTCGAGCTGCCCATCATGCCAAGGTATGATCGGACTCCTTTCCGCTCTAGATTTACAACAAGCCCTCCCACACTCCACTAAGGTACTCAACCACAAACAAAAACTACGGTACCTACACAAACAGGACGAGGACGAGAGCAGGACATCTCTCACCTGAAAAACGAAAACCAGAAGAAACCTCTTTCGGCCACCTGAGGACATCAACTTTTGTCAAACTTTTCAAAATATGTTTTGAAAGAGCACCTGGAGCCGAGAATCACATGAAACGCGTTTGGTATAATCGCGTACTGGTGTTCTTTCTTCGGAAGCTCCACCGCAACCATGTATCGGACATGCCTCCAAGCTCTGCTATGTCTTTTCTATCCGTGGTCTCGTCTACTCGCGCCGGTTTCCATATGCATCATACAGCTCTGTGAATTCCAACCAGCTCGTAGCCCCCTTCCCTCATCGCTACCGCGAGGAAATTTCTGCCTGGCCTTGTCGAAGCTGTCGGCTGCTGCGCGAATCAACTGCGCTGAGAAAGTATAGTCAGGTCCAACTCGAGGTCCTGGGCTATCGTCTCAGCGTGACGCTGTCTCAAACTACTCTCAGTGGTGTTGCGTTGTCCGCCGGAAGACCGCCCTTGTAAAGTGCTTCTGGCGGAGAAGACTCTGCAACGCTCACGGCTGTTGCAAACCAACACGACCCGTGGACTGACCTCCCTGAGATGCTCACGGAGTAATCATCATCCTTTCTTGCCATTCACAGCCCGACCAAAGTTCCCGTAATCGAGATGCTGCCCTCTCCCGATGGCTCAAAGTCATCCACCTTGCAAATCACCTCTTTCTCCACCTCTCCCTGCGCATTCACCCATTGGTCTCCCTGCCAGCTCCAATCCTTTGGCATGTTCTCACTGGGTATCGAAACCGTAAAGTAGTTCATGAAAATCAAGCCAAAGATGCCCTCGTTCTGTAGATTGACCTCGCCTTTGAGGTATGTGCCTGGCGCAGGCCTGAAGATCAAGAAGTCGGCTGTGACCCAGACAAACTCGACGCCATACTCGTTGATGCTGCGCGCCAGCACAGTGGAGGGACCAGGTGCTTGCAGGCCGTCGTTCGAGCTTTCTGACAAACGTGCATTCTCATACGCAAGCACAACCCCGTCGAACGGAGGGTAGTACTGCAGCAACAGCGTCGAGAGATGTTCGGCGCATGCTCCCTCGAGTGGGTAGTTATTCGCGACGGGCGACAAAGCGAGGAACAGCGTGGCTGTGATGCGTTCGAGCGGGCTGTGGGAGTCCAGTTTATCTTCGATGCTCTTCTGCGTTGATGCACCCGCATTCAGGTTCGCCCTGCTCTTTTCTGCTTTTCGCCCAGCCTTTGCCGCCGCTTCTTCAGCCGTTCGTTCCTTTTTCGCCATGGTCGATGTGAGTGTTTGAAATGGCAAGAGCGCAATTGCATGTGAACCTTTGGGCAAATAAATTTGGCGGAAGCTTCCGTGATGCGAATGCGATGATGTGCCACAATATGTGGCATGTGTGATTAAGCAGTGGGACGACCAATCTAGCCCGATTGTGGCATTTGTGCCGTGCGGGCAGCCTCAAGTGTAATACACGCCGCATTCATTACCCGCTCAGGTTTACAGAACTCCGGCTTTTAGACGTGTCTACTATGTATACCACATGTTCAATCTTCTCCACAACTCAATAATATCAAAATCAACCACAGGCCTACTTCGAACTACACTCCAAAGTGTCAAGATCATAACATGAGCGACGACAAGCAATAACCCATCAAACCATGGCCAGCAATCAACTCCTCGCTCTGGCCAGCTGGTACTTTCTCCCCAGACTCGTCACCGGCTACATCCAAACGACTCTCTACTCCATCTTCATCCGCGCCGGCGACCCCAAACCCACTCCAGGAAGCGCTCGGTACACGCGAGACAGGCGAGCAATCCACATCGCCGTCATCGTCGCCTACCTCCTCTATACTCTCTATGAAGCCGACTATCAAATCCAATCCGCACCAGATTTCTACCGCCTTCTCAACGTCCCACACGATGCCTCGGAGAAAGCGATCCAGTCTCGCTTTCGTCGTCTGACGATTCAATTCCATCCTGACAAAGCCGCTCCCGGATCTGATAAGGCCATGATCGAGAATCTCTATGTCCAACTTACTCTTGCAAAGGATACTCTTGTGCATCCTGCGAAACGGTTCGCGTATGATCGGTGTGGACCGGATGTGCTGCAATGGAGTCCACAACATCATAAGGTGACCAAGGATTTCGTGTTGACGGGTTTACAGCACATTCTGGGCTACTACGGCGTCTCGAGTGGAGTTTTGGTCCTGCTCAGTACAGTGGGATATCTTCGACAGGGGATGTTTTGGCGATATCTAGTTTTGGCTTCTCTCTTCGCGATTGAGATGCAAACGATGACACGGCCGCATTTTCCCATATTGTTGACCAAGATTGTGAATCCGTTCATGCTCATGACGGGTCTTCGACCGGCATATTTACCTTTTCAGATGATTACTCTGTTGCGCAAATTTGCCGTGACGGTGTTCATTGCCATGAGTCAGTTGGGGCCGTTGCTGCAGGATCCTAAACAGACGGCGTTAGAAGAGGGAGACGCGAGTGGTGGTGTTCCTGGTCCGCTGCTCGATCGAGTCGATGAGTTGACGAATGCGACCAACTCGGAGCTTTCGAGATTGATGCAAATGGAGTTGATCCCGTTTGCGAGCGAGCCGAGTGCTGGAAGGCAATTGAGGGAAACTTTGAAGAATTGGCTGGTGCAGAACAACTTGAGAAATGACCCAGAAGTGAACATGGCTATTCAGCAGGTTCTGGAGCGACGGCGAGCGGAAGGACGAGGTCACAGTACTGATGTGAGGGTGGAAGGAAGAAGATAGACGAAAGTGAATACTGCAAATGTTCATTTTTGACTGTTGTTCTCGCTCGTTTATCTGGTGTATCCCATGCCTAGTCCTCTCACGAAACGCACTTCGTCCGCGTTGCGTTCCAAGGCTCTCCGCATGGCCATCCCATATTGCCTTTCGGCATCCTGACGAGCTTTCTCTGCTGCGGAGAGTGCTTGTTCCTCAAGTGCATCATGCCATTCGTCGCTGCCAAGTGGATCGTGCTGACCCATCCCGAGCACCCCCAGTCGACCATCACCGGTCCAGAGTAATAATTTATGCTGATTCACATCTAGACTTCCAACCTCAGCGCTTGCTTCGCCAAAACCTTTGCCAAGTGGCAGAATCTTCTGGACAATGTCCCCTTGCCCTGGCATTTCGGTGCCACTGGTAGCGAATATTCCTTGTGGCGTGGCGTCCTGTGATACAGTGTCCGACTCATCTGGCAAGCTATCGTTGATGTTGTAAGTCCGCACGTACGTAAAACCGTCACGTTCCATCCACTTGAGTTGGCCGTCGCCATCACTAAAGACTACGCGGCCTCCATGAGACGCCACCGAGAGGAGCTTCGAAGCAGAAGCAGTCTGACGATTCTGATATGGTTCCACCACTGCAGGCAATGGATAGAACTCGAGTGAGCCTTTGCCTTTGTACTCTGCCGCAGCAATCATAGTCACCCCCGTGCCTTCCCTCCTCGCTTGATACGCCGACAGCGAGATACCGGGATGGCGCAGAAGATCGAGACTGCGTGGCCGCCAAGGATGAGGCAGGGTCGAGAGACAGGCAATTCGGGCTCCGCTGAAGACAGTGCCACGCAGACGGGGAAAGAAGCGGCGATCATAGTTGAGAAGTGAAGTGAACCGACCTCCTACCCAGATGGAGCTGTCATCTGAGCCATTGGGATGCACAATGGAGAGTGGGCCCGGCTGGGCCAGCGTTGCATGAGGGGAGTACACCGAGCCAGCAATCAGCTCTCCACGCGGCGATGCCTCTCCAGCTGCAAATACATGATCTCTGGGGTCATGAAGATGAATAGTCATATTCGTGCCTACAGTGAGCGGCGCGCGATTCTGCATTTCAGAAAGTGCTGTGATGGGGAATGGGTACTGCTTAGTGGAGACCAGCTGGAGGGTGTTCAGGTCAAGCGCATGCAACTGCTTCTGCACCGCAAAATATGCTTTTCGGGCAGTGCTATCCACACAGACGCATTCTACTGCACCTGTTTCGGTCATGATGGCATGACTCTCTGATGAGGCCTGCGGTTGCTGTCCAGAGAGTAGACCGGGTTTAGATTGGGCGAGCAATCTGCCTCCGCCACCATTGTGGCTTTGAGAGCGCCCAGACAGATCCCAGATGCATATACTGCCATCGTCGAGAGCAGCCACGGCATGTTCTCTTGTCTGGTCTTGCTGATCCACCAAGAGTCCAACGCCAGTAGCTTCTCGATACTCGTCTCGATCGGTCGTGTGAGACTTGGGTAGATTAAGCCAACCTGTCTTTATATCTGCATGGCGTTGAATATATTCCTCGTAGTAGTCAATGCTCTCTCCGGGATAACCAGGCTCCCAGTTCGCCAAAGCTCGGATTCGCTGCGAACGCGCTTGCGCAACAGGATCACTTGAAGCCGGTTCCGCGGGCCCGCCTACAACATGGACCACATCGTGTGTCGTATGATTCCCACTGGGCAGCGCAGACACAGCATTTCGGATCTGAGCAAGACGAGGATCTTGACTATGTAGCAGTTCTCTTCGCCGTCGTAGTCGTTCTGCTTGGGAGTGGGCGAAGCATTCAATCCTCCACAGAGCATTGTCCCGACCTAGGGCGCGGTATCTATTCGATACCAGCTGCACGTGTACCAGGTCACTGATGTCCAGATCTAGTGCGTGTCAGCTCCGAGGGCACATTACTTACGCTTCAAGCGGTGGCCGTACAGGAGAAGATGTGGAGGACGACTTCCTCGGGCAGGCGATCCATATTGTCGCGGCCTGCCGCCGGGAGTGTGACGTACAGCCCCAGCAATGGCCTGCGATGTAGCATGAAATGTGTGAAGGTACATGTACTGATTCTACCTGCGCGGGCCTTGTCTCAAGACATGGCACGCGGCGAAGTCTGGTCAGCACGTTATCGGCGACTCAGGGAGGGGCGCGAAGCAAGGTCAAGGCGTGGCGAGGCGAGGCGAGGATGCGGCTGGGTGGATAGGATCATAGGATGCGTGGATTGGCACACGAAGCACGACGGGATCCTGGATGTTTGGTACAAGTACAAGTCAGGTCAGGTATGTACAGGTAGGTAGGCAGTTTTATTAGTAGTCAGCCCCGAGCAACCTGGCAGGACAGACAGACACACTGACAGTCTGACACAGTCTGGCACTTTGGCTCCCTCTGTACGGTACCTCCTACGCGTACCTAACGCAGGGAGGAAGACGGAGTGACGGACGATACCAATATCCGTTATAGGTAGGTAGGTCACCGTAGACGTGCATTATTGAGGATTTCAAATGCTGTTCCGATTCCCGACCTGGGATTGGGGAGTTCCAAATACATTATACACCTGTATCCATTGTCGCGTTCGTTCTCGGCGCGTGCCTGATTACAGTTCTATAAGCGGCGCGCGGTAATCTAGTCACATGAGCCGGCACAGGCCGCGCACAACAGCAGCGCACCTCTCAATCCCGATGATGGATCGGTTTGGGAGAGGAACTCTGCGCCTAACAAGGCTTTTGGTGTCGAGCGAAATGGCCCATCACGAGCCAGAGCCGTTGCCATGCTCATCAGCCAACACCCATCACCTTCACCACACCTTCACCACCACCTTCTACACCGGCTCGCTCTTCGCTCTCCCCCTACTGCTATGCATCCCTCCCCAGCACCATCCACCCATACCACCCCGTCGTGATGCGACGAGAGACTGCCAAATAAGGAGACCAACCTAAACAAAGGTACCCGCAACGTGGTTGTTGGCTTGCTGCGAAAGAAGCGCTCTCCGGTCGCAAGCTCCTGATCACTCGCACCATCCATCCATCCATCCATCACCTCCACAACCATCACCACCGAGATCACCCATTCACTGCCGCCGCCGCCGCCGCCATCACTCATCATGTCCATCACCACCAAGTCGACGCCCAAGGCAGGCAAGAAGAGCCGGATCGTGTCGCTACGCATACCATCGAGCCAACTTTCCAACTGGCCATCAGACACTGCTTCGCCGCTCGCTCAGGCCTCAGCGGTACCATCAATCAAGAACGAGCCCTCGCCATCGGCACAACCGTCAGAACACGCCGACAAGTCGTCAGATTCGAACGCGACACCTGTGCCGAATGGCACTGATGTCGCCGATGCCGACACCTTAGCACCTCCCGGCAAGGCAGACGCAAAACGTAAGAGAGGAGGTGCATCTGGGACAGGACGCAAACGGGCACCACCGTCCATCGATCCCAACGCCCCGCCTAGAGAGCGAGGTCGACCGGGTCCCAAGAAGAAGCCACGACTGTAGGTACTCATTCCACGCCCATCTCGCTCACGCGAGTTCTGCGCTATGAGCGGTGTCATCGGCGTGAGAGCATACGCTGACCACTATCAATTACAGACCCGATGGCACTATCGACCGCACAACAGACAACCCGACTGGGGCACGACCGGCGAATGCCATACCCGCACACAAGCTAGGTCCCAAAGCGAACACAGGCGCGATCAATGCCTGCCTGCGTGCGCTTGACCGCACCGGAAAGCCATGTCGACGCTGGGGCAAGAAGACGCTCGAACTCAAGTCATTTACGGGGATGACATGGAATCTGTCGTCCTGGAAGGCTCCACCCAAAGACCAAGGCTTTCCGGGCGACGTCAAGAGTGACAGCGCAAGCTCAAGCGAACTCAAGCCTAATCAGAGCAGCGCCTTGCAAAGCGAGCGTAGTCACAGTCACGTCGGCGAGGACACCGTGATGACTGGTATGCAAAGCTCACCTGCACCAGTCGCTGCCACCTAGCCACACCCTGTCGTCGAGCACAGCCAGCACTGTCACGAACGCGGATTCTCGAGTAAACGGACTCTCTGTATCAGTATTCATCAAAATCTTCCATTGGTTTCGTAGTTTGCCTTGAGCTCTTTAGCGTGGCGTTGAGGAATGGGTCTGGATTACCATCGGCATGACAGCGTGCAGAGTGGTGCATGGGCTTTGGGATTGATGTCGATATCGCCACGGGACAATGCAGGATTTGACTCTGCGAACTGCGGTGATCGATTGCATGTGGAATGGAGAGGAAATGGAAAAAAGTCCACCTAAGAACATACCGCTGTCTTCCAAGCTCTCATCGTCTTTCCTGTGCACTTTCCTGTTTTTCCCATGTCCCTCAAAGGACTGCAGCGGCAGTGAGCTCGTTTACTTCAATTACATACACACGCACACATCAGATGTCGAACAGCCTCTATAAAATGATATACCTGATTCTGCCGTGTCCTTATCTGCTATGGCTGCGAGCAGATGTCCGCGTGTGTCCCCGCATGTGATCACAGCGAGCGGAGCTACATTAGCTACCGCGCATTAGTAGTAAGGTAGCATACATTCAGATAGGTACATTAGTCCTACAGTAGCAGACTGGATCCCGTGCTGCACAAACACATCACCCTCTCACTTTCTCATCTCGTCTGTAATTTCGAACTCTTCTATAGATCATGTGGGCGATGTCAACAGTGAGACCCGACGTAGTGGGTCCGTGAGTACCTTTACGAGTCGAAAGCCTTCGACACTAGGACTTCGGCGGCGGTCTTCTCCAGTGACTTCGTCCCGTCGCGGCGATAAGACGGTGAGATTCTGCAACCTCGCATTGAACACGAATCTCAGGCAGGAAGTGGTTGGTGGGCATTACTTGCCGGGCGACGACTGCCCTCGCTAGCTGAAGACCATAATGAGCAATTCCAACTCGGATCGAGGCAACACTACACGACCAGATCCCGACTACTACTCGCCCATCGATCGACGAGCATCTTATGCTACAATTGCTGCTGGAAGGAGCACTGAGAGCGGAGCAAACACCCATAGCAGGCAGCCCTCAGGTGCTTCTTTGCCACCTCACGACGAGGACCGTGACCGAGACCGGGCACTTCACCAGACCACGTTGACGCCGTCGAGTTGGGACATGGCTAGTATGAGCAGATACGATCAGGAGAGCGGGAGGAGACCAGGTACGAGCAATGGAGGGGCGATGGGGGACACAGGCGGTAACGCGTACGGCGGCGATGCAATTCGATATGATGGGCTGGGCTGTAACGAACACGAAGACCACCCTCCATTCTTCACGCCATCGTATCTGGAACACTCGCGGCACGTGCAAAGGCTACGTCGGGCATACGAAGAGCATGTCTCCGAGCTGAAGGCGCGAGCGAGCAGCAATCCCAGAGCATATCAGCCGAGTCTGAGTACAAGTCCAAGCGTAACGAGTCTCAACAAGATGTCTTCACAACACATGTACCGAGGTGTGATGCAGGATGTCATAGAAAGACTGCCCCCCTCTGCTGCAGAGGAAGAGAGAGCGCAGCCATTGCCGAGCAGATGGAGCGAGGAGGACAAATGGACTGGCTTGGAGCTTCTAGCGGATGGCACCGAAGTTCGCTTTAATGGAGTGACAAAGACTACAGATGAAGCTGCGACAGTGCGGAGTGACTGGCCGATGCCAAAAGAGGTCGGCATATATTACTTCGAGGTGACGATACTGTCAAGGGTCAAGGACGCTCAGATAGGTATCGGCTTTTCCACCACAAAGGCAAACCTGAACAGGCTACCGGGCTGGGAGGGGGAGTCTTGGGCGTATCACGGTGACGATGGTTTTGTGTTCGCGTGCACAGCCAGTGGCAAGGCATACGGCCCAAAATTCATGAGTCAAGATGTGATAGGGTGTGGTGTTAACTACAGGACGGGGAGTGCGTTCTTTACCAAGAATGGGACACACTTGGGAACAGCGTTCCGCAACGTGAAGCTGGACAGATTATATCCTTCTGTGGGCATGAAGAAGCCAGGCGAACATCTGCGCACCAACTTTGGAAGAACTCCTTTTGTGTTTGACATTGATGGCCTGGTGGAGCAGGAACGGATGCACATTTTGGCAGACATCGATCAAACGGATGTGTCACACCTCCACTCTCCCGACGACGAGCACGCCCTGATACACAACCTCATCGGCCAATACCTCGCCCACGAGGGCTATGTGGAGACCGCAAAGGCATTCGCGGAAGATATTGAACAGCAACAGCAAGAATTCGAAGGTCGTACCCAACCACTACGATTATCGACTGAGGATGACCAGCATGCCATTCATCGCCAGCGAATACGGAAAAGCATACTGGATGGCGACATTGATCGAGCACTGAAGTATCTTTCGGCTTACTATCAGAACCTATTCGACGATGAGAAAAATCGAGACATTTATTTCCGCCTACGATGTCGAAAGTACGTGGAGATGACAAGAAGACACGCAGAGCTTGCAAATGCCGTGTCATCGCCTACGACCGTGACAAAGAGCGTAGATTCGCTGGGCAGCAATGGCCATGCACACACTGAGAGTGCCGCCCAGCACGACGAAGATCAGCCCTCAGACACTCAAATGGAGCTTGACGACCAGTTACGGAGGGAAACTTCCAGGGGCCATGAGTCTTCAGCGAATGATGACATTGACATGGACGTTTCTCAAGAACTGCCACCGAAGACGTCTTACATGAAAGCCGACCAAATTCTAACAGCGCTGGTTCAATACGGACAGGAACTGCAGCAGGAGTGGAAGACGGACCGGAGACCGCATATTCAAAAGCATCTCATGGACATCTCGGCCAGCTTCGCGTACACCAACATCTACGAAAGTCCGATCAGTCACCTGTTTGCTTTACAAGGCCGATGTGAGATTGCAGAGGAGGTCAATGGCGCTATACTGGGTAAGTTGTCGCCCAAATCCCCACCTTTTCTCCTCACGCTGACATGATCGGTACCTGTAGTCTCACTCGGCAAGCCTTCTTCTGCAGCCATAGAAAAGGTCTGCGCACAAACAGAAGCACTTCTAGATGAAGCTGCCAGCCGTCTTGGTGGGACCGCAGCTGCATTTGTCAATGTCAGAGAAGACTTTTTGAGGGAGTAGTATCCTGGCCACCCTGCTTCTCGAATAAGCCTTGGTATTACATACTCGGCGTAGAAAGGCGAGGACGAAGGTGCAGTTGAGAAGTGGTCACCGATGGATGACCTGGCTGCCTTGTTGCAGGCCCTCAATGAGTATGATCCAAACGGACCAGAGACCGAGGGAGATGCTACCTTGATCATAGTGCTTCCTCATAGGATACTCTGGTAATGCAGTATGCTTCAGCTGATAGGGTTACCACGTGGAAAGAGGCTCAGATCGTCTCCACGAGGTGTGCGTACCGGTGATGCAAAGACGTGCTGAAAGCGAATGCACAGCATGCTGTTGTCCTGTGGAAGTTTGCACGTGCCGATATGCAAGCCACCACTCTGCAGGCGCTAGTGTCAAGCAATTCCGCTCCGAGGAGGGATTGAGACATGGTTGACGATCCTGCCGGCTGTTTGCACGGATTGCCTTCGCATGAGTTTGCGCAACCGAGGGGCCATCACCATCTAATATTAGTTAGTATTGATCGAAGTGTGTGACTTGGCAGACTGTGATTCCAGCAAAAAGGCGGGTACATACAGGTACATACATTAGATGTAGTCGAACGACGACTTGAAGTAAATATCTGTACTGTACGTGTACATGTACCTGTAGTGATGCTGGTCTTTGACGTAGTAGGAGGTAGGAGTAGGTTGGGTACATGTAGGTCAGGTCAGGTAATGTACCTAGGTAAGGTAGTTCTCATCACATGCAAGGTAGAATCTCACCTGTGCTTGCCGCTCCATTGACACACCTTCAAAGCCCCGCTCTTCACCCACAGCAGAAACATCCGCCTCCACCACCTCCAGCTTTCGCTTTCGTCTCAACACACCGACTGGCTTCCACACAGGTCCCGCCGTTCCTTACGTCCGTGACGACGACAGCTCGGATCCACTGCAGTATCAAAATCCCACTCCGCGACGTACTCGACCATCGCGCCAAGGCAGACTGTGGTGACTCTTTCCCCACTAGGTAGTCCGCCAGTGTGCAACTTCACCAATTGACGACTGTCATCGCTGGGCTGAAGTTCCTTCGGGCGCCGGGCAATCCGGCTTTTCTCCATGTCCGCCATGAATTCCACGCTGGACGACGAGGACCTGGCACTGTCGATAGCACCCACACCCGCCGAGAAACGTCGCAACTCGCGAGATGAACGACCGCAGCAGCCCCAGCAGCCCCATCTGCAGAGTGGCCCGCCTGTCATGCGCGCACCTTCAAGCCACCAACAGACAAAGGCAATGACGAGACTGGGACAGTACAATGTGGTCAAGACGCTGGGCGAGGGCTCATTCGGCAAGGTCAAGCTCGCGACCCACGCCGTGACTGGGCAGAAAGTGGCATTGAAGATCATATCACGCCGGAAATTGGTGACGCGAGACATGGCTGGACGCATCGAGCGCGAAATCCAATACCTCCAGCTGTTGCGGCATCCACACATCATCAAGCTCTACACTGTCATCACGACGCCCACTGATATCATCATGGTGCTGGAATATGCTGGTGGTGAGCTGTTTGATTACATTGTACAGAACGGCAAGATGCAAGAGCGGAAGGCGAGGACATTCTTCCAACAGATAATATGTGCGGTGGAGTACTGCCATCGCCACAAGATTGTACATCGCGACTTGAAACCCGAGAATCTGCTTCTGGACGAGCAGCTCAATGTCAAGATTGCTGACTTTGGTTTGAGCAATATCATGACTGACGGCAACTTTCTCAAGACGAGTTGCGGGAGCCCAAACTACGCTGCTCCTGAAGTCATCAGCGGTAAGCTGTATGCAGGACCTGAGGTCGATGTCTGGAGTTGTGGTGTGATCTTGTATGTCCTTCTTGTTGGACGCTTGCCGTTCGACGACGAATACATACCAGCACTGTTCAAGAAGATCGCTCAAGGTCAATATCACATACCGCCGTTCATATCGCCTGGTGCTGCTCGTCTCATCAAATCCATGCTGCAAGTCAATCCAGTGAACAGGATCGGCATTGCAGAGATTCGGATGGATCCGTGGTTCCAAGAAGATCTTGCCGAGTACCTATCTGTTCCCCCAGAGGACTTCTTCGACACTGGGGTCGACCCCAACAAGTCCATCGACCCATCCGCACTGGGCAAGGGCAAACCTGCCGTCGTTCAGGAAAAGATTCACCAGAGTGTCGTCGGGAAACTCGGCAAAACTATGGGATATGCCGCGGACGATGTTCAAGAGGCTCTGCAGAAAGACGAGCCCAGTGCCATCAAGGATGCGTATCTGATCGTGCGCGAGAATGTTATTCAAGCGTCCAACCCTGCTCTGCAGAGGGCGATTCCAGACTATCCTAACTCGCCGCCCGTTAACGCCGGGAGCCTTCTCACAATGACGCCGCCGCCTAAGAGGCAGCCTGGTCCTAGTGCGCAACGCAAGAATGCACATTCACCTCTCGACCATCCACGGCACGGTTCGACGGGGTCTGGATCCATCATGGAGGCACGGTCACCGGCATCGACCATTGCTATTCTCCCATCTTCATTGCCAGACTACCACGCAGCTTATATGCGTGGTCACATCAACAAGTCGCACTCGCCGACTGCTGGCGACGATGATCCACAGGACAAGCCGAGGACGAAGGAGGAGCAAGAAGCCACGGCGAGGCGCCTCAAACCACACAGCAGAAGTTCGACCAACCTGACACGCAGCGACAAGGCTGATCTTGAGATGACCAAGATACCGGAGGGTAAGCCAAAGAAGCAGCGACCTACCAAATGGCAGTTTGGCATCAGGAGCCGCAATTCGCCTGCAGAAGCAATGCTCGCCATTTACCGGGCCCTGCACAAGATGGGCGCAGTGTGGGAGGTGCAGAGGCCCAAGGATCCCGAAGCCGGCAGTAGTGATGCCAGTCCGAACAGAACCCGTAGCAACAGCCCGGAGTATAGTGATTCGGATCCAGGCTCCGGGACGGACCCCGAATATGCCACACACGAGGAGCAGGAACGCCGGCGAGCCAAGCGCAAGCAGAATGGAGAGGGCAGTCGGGGCCGAGAGAGATTTGGACGCTGGAATGATTATGGCTACGAGAACATTCCCGAGGATCCGTGGTGCATCAATGCTCGATTCAAGAAAGAGGACATGTTCCCGCCTGGCTTCTCCCATCCCGCGTCGGCACATAGCTCGCAGGTCAACCTGCATCATGAGCAGCGGAAGAGCAGTAATTCCACGGCAGTTTCTGGCACTGAGATTGGAAGCAATCCCAGTGCCGCTGGCAGTGCCGAGAATGTGGGGGCGACGGGGCCTCGGTCAGGCAGTCGAGCGGGCTCGGTGTACAGCTACATTGCGGGAGGCGAGGTGCCGATACCAGATGAGAGTGTGTGGGTGTATGTGACGATCCAGCTCTATTCGATCGAAAAGGACTTTTACCTGGTCGACTTCAAGTGCGCAGGGTACGAGAGACTGAAGGCGCGATATACGCGGGAGGCGAGTGGCAGTAACGAGAGCGATGTGATACGAGTGGACAATGCGCCAGAGGGCTATGACTCTGACGATGTCGAAGTCGATGCGGCAGGCGAGGAATTGGTGGGGGCTGGTCGCAATGCAGACGAGAAGGAGATTACTAGTCCCTTTCCCTTTCTGGACGTGGCCAGCAGACTGATTATACAATTGGCGGAGGCTAACGATTAGATGGAAAACACGACTGGCAACAGGACAACGATGATGAGCATTTGGAGGGGTGGGGGACAGGGTACACTGGACACGATGCTATGACACGTGGGGCATGGAGAGGCGCAGGTTCGATATGGGTGGGTAAGGTACCTTTGGCAGGCAGTGAGTGAGTGAAGAAGCACCGGTCGCGCACGGTCAGGCAGCACCGTGATGGGCGGCGCGCGTATGAGAGGAAAAAAAGTAGTTTTTAGTAGGTGAGGTATGTAGGTAGTCGGTCAATATGAGCTCGCCTCCGGGGTGCTGGACGTTTCCCGGCGAGTCACCACTACACGACATGCATGTACAAGTTGATACAAGCTGGTAGACATGGATGATGTGTGTGTGGAGCGGCGGTGGTGTGTGGGAACAGCCGACTCGCTCGTCAAGCCACATGATGCACACACGGGAACACGGGCTACCGACTGGACATGCATGACCTGATGGGGGAATACGGGAGACGGGAGGTGGTGACGGTATAGATATGCCGGGAAAAACAAGAGTGCAACAAGAAGACATTGATGAAGGTGGCTGGCTGGGTAGGTCACCTCCTACAGCACATGTAACTACTTACTAGTGTCGACGCCACAAATGGAGTGAGGCTTTAAGGTTATTTTGGAGGAGCTCTGACCAGGTTCTCGAGTCTTTAGGACGTTCACTACTTTGTTACTAGTAAGGTTGTAGGTGTGGCTTTGAGCTGTCTGGATGCGTGATGTATTTTTTATTGTTATGAGTGTAGGTACTGTATACTACTGTATACTCCTTGTAGATAATGTATAGTGGAGGAACGCATGCGTCTATCCATTTATCGATGGATTCGGATCGAGGAATGTGAATGAGGTAAGGAATGTGTGTGAGCTGAGGTGATGCAGAATAGAAAAGATGAGGTGGGCCCAGGTGGCCTCGTCAGCGATCAGACCACTGACTGGCACGGACTACTTGACCTGACCTAAGAGGCACATTAACAAGTAACATCCATGTCCTGGCCCAGTAGATCGGAGTCGGAGTCGGGGGCAACATCGAAAACATCCCCAAACGTGTATCCTTGTTGCTGTATTGCTGTATTGCTGCAGTCAGGTCGGTAAGGTAGGTAGGTATTATTCAGTGCACATGGAACATCAGCTGGATTGGGCAGAATAGACGAACCTCCCTTTTAATTTTGTATAATTCACATGATCATTGTCATCGATGAAAAAGGCGATTAGTATAGACAGCATCATCATTGACTGCAGAGGAGAGCCCAGGTCCAGTGAGAGGATGGCCTGAGTTAAAGTTTGGGCATGACGTCGCAAACGGCGACTTGCTGACGTTCCGCGTGCTGAGAGGTGCGCTTAGCTTCAGCGTCTCTGCCATACATCTACCCGTCGACCACTCCATCCATCCATCTACACCTCTTCCATCGCCTTCCTCTCCATCGTCTCTCACGCCCCGCCTCACCCTTCCTCCGTCCGTCCATCAAAACTCACCAACCCTTGTGTTCCTCCTACGACCTCACCACATCAGACACTACGCGCGACACTCCACCACCGACGACAATGGGCATGGCACAGATTCTCGGCCTGGGCCTTCGTGGCTTCCAGGTATGCGCTCCACCGCCAACGTCGAGTACCGCTCCGCATCACACTAACGGCCCTCGCAGTTCCTCATGTCCCTGTTCATCATGGCCATCATCGGAAACGCCATCGCCATGGGAGCCGACTCATCCATCAACAACTACACCATGTTTTGCGCCGCATTCGCCATGCTATGTCTCTTCTTCCTGATACCCGCCACTTTTAACGAGCGCTTTGCCGTCCATGGCGCCCTGCCGCTGGCTCTCGATGTCTTGATTACTCTCTTCTGGTTCTGCGCCGCTGTCGCACTCGCTGCCAAGCTGGGAGTACACAGCTGCAGCAACGACGTAAGTCCAATAGTGCAATGGCACAGATGAATAAGAAAGGCTGACAGCACCGTGTAGCGCTACGTGAGGAGCAACAGCGTGATCCGAGGCGCAAGTGATCAATCCGCTGCATGCCGTGAGGCGCAAGCCTCGTGCGCATTCCTCTGGTTCGGTTTCGCCGCATTCGTGGTAACAACTGCCTTGAGCGCAACTGGAATGAGCGGCAGCTCAGCGCCCAAGGGTGGTGTTCGTCGTGGTCCAGCCATGTCTCAGGTCTAGAATGGTACCGCACACACCCATTCTTTCCTGCCCATTCAGGAAACTTTGGGGATCCCTTCTTCCCGTCACCAAAAATAAGACGAATTGACGGGGAAAAACTGATGGACATGGGTGGTCACACGGAACGACATGATGTATCAATGGATTTTTATACCTTTTAACGACTCTCGTACGATGGTGGTGTTTTTCGCGAATACGCGTTGGTGCGACAGTCATCAACCACCAGGCGTGATAGGATGTGAAAGATGGCACTTTCGACTAATGTTTACCTCTCGTACAAACAAATGAAGACGACATGATCAAGTGCTCTCTCTCTCTCTCTCTTTCTCTCTCCTCTATTCGCCATTCCATTACTACCTTGCCACCTTTACCTATGCAATTGTACCTGGTCATGTGGAAACGAACAGTCTACAGGAGGGTGATGAGCACATATCATCATCATCGAACCACCAGACGCCTACATGTTCCCGAGTACCGACCGTAATGATCTGCAACGCGGATCGAACGCGCGAAAGTTCCGGCACGAGCCACAACACCACAACACCACAACATGCAGCAGCAGCAGCTAAACTCGCTTGAGAGAAGGATGAAGAAAAGCTTCGACTGCGGGATGGCATCTTTTTGTGTATTTTTACTCTACCTGTGCATCGTAAAAGGGAAAAACTGACGACAGGCTGTTATTAGTTACCGAGTAAGAGGTTCAGGTTGTAGGAGGTATTTTCTCGAACTTTCTTGTCAGGTCAGGTACTGTTGTTGTTTTGTACCCAAGGTAAGGTAAACACGTGCTAGGTATGTGCGCATGTGCGGGCATGTACAGCATGCGCCGGCCGATAAGTTCCGAAAGCTCGATTTACCTTGTAGTCTATACTCTATAGAACTAGTTCTACGGCTCTGACCGTTCCACGTTCGTTCTATAGAAAATTTAGGATTCAAATTTCTCCCGATTCCCGATTCCCGCGGATGGAAAAAAGGTTATGACATCAGTGCTGTATACCTACCTTACCTACCTTACCTACCTACAGAGGTGCTTGATGGTGATTTTCATTATACCATGTTTAAAAAAGGCGTACTGCTAACGAGATTACGAATAGAGCTACAGACTCGTAGTGCGGAAGTTTGAAAGGTATAGTGTGACCTGCTGCTAGACGGCACAAGTGTCGGTACATGTCATGTACAGCAGGAGGTACGATGTACTTGTCACGATGGTAACAAAGAGATCGTATTGGACCGTCTTTTCGACGCGCTTTCCTATACACGAATACGATTGCCTACATATCATCATCCGTATGTCTTACCAGCAGCAGCATCATCATCATCACCAGCTTTTTCTTCTCCTTTTCTTTTTATTCTTGTTGATCCTCATCATCATTATCTGCATCATCAGCATCAGCATCAGCATCATACGCACAGTCCATACCTCCCTATCCGTGCTGTTCCGTTCTGCTGATGTGTGGAGGATCGCGGCATTATCCTCAGGTACCTACTGCTGCCCTTGCGGAATGAACAGATCGACCGCCTTGGTCGAGTCACTGGAGTGTGATTCATTTCTATCAGGCGACATCGCGTCGGCGCCGTAATGTCCAGGTTGGAAGTGCCTCGGGGCCCGTCCGAGCCAGTACGACTAACGGAGGACGATGGGACGACCATATTGCCGACTTCGCGACTGCCGGGCGTGGACTTTGGAGCCCACCTCCATGGCGACCGTGAGACTGGACAGGCCGTGGAGGAGGTCGAGGCACCGCTCGAAGAAGGACAATCCGACGTTGCAGAAGATGCGAGACATGTCGACGCTGCGAGATACAGGAACAACGTCGTGAAGAGCAGTAGCAACACCGAATCGAGCCAGCGAGCAGATACCGGTACAATTGGCTCAGACTTGAAAAGAGCAAGCACCGCACCAGCACACAGACCGAGAGCTCCGGATCGAAGCGCTACACTCCTGAGGGCTATGCGTAGGCGGCAACAGCCCTATCAATACCAATTCGATCCCATGTCTTCCGACTCCGATTCCAGCTCGAGCGACGAAGAAGCGGAACGATTGGCTGCGAGAAATAAGAAAACGAAGCACGTCCAGAGCAAAGAGGAGGAAGAAGAGCAGAAGCGGCTGAAGAAGGATGAGAAACGAGGGCACTCATTCGGAAAGTTCAATTTGGGTAACGAACACTTCAAGTCCAAGGGCAAAGTCTCGAAAAAGGACGGACGTCTGAACATCTCTGTCAATGAGGCGAGCCGCGGCTACATCGCGAAAGCCCTGGGTCACAGTCTCACGCACCATCTGGATATTCCGAATCGGTCAGGAGGGGGGCACAAACAGCGACGGTATGATGCACAGCATCCAGAGAATGATGCCAAATCCATTGCTTCCACCGTCCCTCCCGAGGCATACAAAGTGCGAATGAACATCGTCATCATTATCATTGGGAGTCGCGGCGACATTCAACCTTTTATGAAGATTGGCAGGATCTTGAAGGAGGAATATGGCCATCGAGTGAGGCTCGCGACACATGCTGTATTTCGCGAGTTTGTGGAGAAGGAGAGCGGGTTGGAGTTCTTCAGCATTGGCGGCAATCCATCCGAGCTGATGGCTTTCATGGTGAAGAATCCTGGTATTATACCCAGTTTTCAGACCATCCGCGAAGGTGAGGTCAAGAGGAGACGCGATGGCATGGCGGAGATGTTTGATGGCATGTATCGTGCTTGTGTCAACGCGACGGACGACGAGAAAGACAAGCTGAATATGAAGCTCTTGGGTAATAAGGCTCCTTTCATCGCAGACGCCATCATCGCCAACCCCCCTTCGATGGCGCACGTACACATTGCTGAACGTCTGGGCATACCACTGCATATCACGTTCACATTTCCCTACACGCCAACGCAGGCGTTCCCTAGTCCGCTCGCCAACGTCAAGCCTGGCAAGTCCAATGTGGACCCGAAATATAGCAATTTCATGAGCTATCCACTGGTGGAAATGATGACATGGCAAGGACTGGGTGATATCATCAACAAGTTTCGAGTGAAGACGATGGGTCTGGAGCCAGTCAGTTCGCTTTGGGCACCAGGAGCTCTCTACCGTATGCATGTACCCTATACCTACATGTGGAGTCCATCGCTGGTGCCGAAGCCGTCGGATTGGGGGCCAGAGATTGACATTTCCGGCTTCGTTTTTCTGGACATGGCCAAGAATTTCAAGCCACCAAAAGACCTCGAGGACTTTCTGAACGCTGGGCCGCCTCCGATATACATCGGATTCGGTTCGATCGTGGTTGATGATCCTAATAAGTTCACCGACATGATCTTCGAGGCGACCAAGATCGCAGGAGTACGTGCTCTGGTCAATAAAGGCTGGGGTGGGATCGGTGCAAGCAACGATAACACTCCCGACAACATCTTCATGCTGGAGAACACGCCACACGACTGGCTCTTTCCACGAGTCAAGGCGGTGGTTCATCATGGTGGTGCTGGTACGACAGCTATCGGACTCAAGTGTGCCAAGCCCACGATGATTGTGCCATTCTTCGGAGACCAACCCTTCTGGGCAGCGAGAGTGGCTGCGGCAAAGGCTGGTGCAACGGAAGTCATCCCATGGAAGAAACTGACTGCGCAGAAGCTAGCGGATGGAATCAAGCAATTGCTGACCGAAGAAGCGCAGCGTAATGTGCAGAAGTTGGCTGAAGGCATCGAACGGGAAGGAAACGGCGCTGCCAATGCAGTGGCATCTTTCCATCATTCACTCCCATTGGCAGGCTCGCGAACCATTCGGTGCTCGATTCTGGAAGATCGAGTGGCGCAATGGAGAATCAAGGGCTCTGCTGTGCGGTTGTCCGCCCTCGCCGCCGAGATCTTGATGGAGAAGGGCAAGATCAAGGCGAGCGACCTTAAATTATTGCACAAGGTCGTCTGGAACGACTTCGATGGTCCTGGTGAACCAGTGACTGGTGTCGCCGGTGCTTTGACGGATTCGTTGGTCGGAATTAGTTCTGGCGTGGGCATGGTTCCGGTCCGGATGGCGGATCACATGCGTAAGCGTGCAGAGCACGAGCGAAGGAAGGCTGCGCGTCAGAAACGTAAAGAGGAACGCAAGCAAGCAAAGTCCGACTCATCGACTACTCCAGCCAATGATACCAAAGAGCAGGACTCCCACCGGCCGGGTGCCACACGAATGGAGACGAACAACACCGTAGCAACAGACTTTTCGGCGGATCCGACTCAGCCTGTGACTCGAGAGCTGGCAGGCGACGTGCACCAAGGCTTGAAGCAATCAGCCTGGGCGTTCATCACGATGCCTAATGACATCCACATGGCTATTGCACAGGGCTTTCACAACGCGCCGCGTCTCTGGGGCGATTCCACGGTCCGTAAACCAATTCGAATCACCGGCATCAAAACCGGTGCCACAGCTGCCCGAAAAGAATTCCTATATGGCATCTATGATGCATGGACTGGCCTGGTCACGCAGCCCGTAGGAGGCTTCAAGGACGGCGACACCATTCCTGCCAAGCTCGGCGGCATGTCCACGGGAGTCTGCAAAGGTTTGGGTGGCTTTGTCATGAAGAATGTCTCTGCGATCGTCTCGCCCCCAGCATATTTAGGCAAAGGCTTTCTCGTATACTGCAAGAAACGGAGCACTGACAACGGTCCTGGCTCGAAGGTGTTCATTCGCAGGGCACATTTAGTGCAGGGAGCGAGAGACTTCCAAGCTTTACGGACACAAAATGACCCTGGCAAAGAGGAGCAGCTCGAGAGAGTCGTTAACCAAGTCCTGGAAGGTTGGAAAGTGTACGAGGACGTATGGCAGACAGCATATGACCAGTATGGTCCAGTGGGAGGCAGTGTCGTGAACAGATACAAGCTCGGCAGACAAAAGCAAAAGTGGAAGAAAGCCGGCGCTCTGGAGAACATCAACACTGCGAATCGAGCTCTGGATCACGCCAAGAGAGGCGATAACCTCGATGAACACTTTGAGAAGCGCAAGAAGGAGATGGAGAGGGCCGAACAACCCAAGGCGGGTGTCATGACTGGTGAAGACGACCCTGCTGTCAATGTGCCTCCTGGCGGAGGACAAGTCCAGACCACGTTTGCAAACGATGAAGCCGAAGAGAAGAAATTCCTGGCCGTGGATGACGAAGGCCATGATCATCGCAAGTCGGAATCTTCGACGTTTGTTGCGACGAGTGACGAGGATGATAAGAGAGGCCGAAGTGGTTACATGTCTGCCACACGTCCGGATGGTGATCACGATGAGATGCTGAAGAAGAAGTTTGCCAGTGGTGGTGGACGTAAGCCTCAGATGGGACGTTTGACGACAGCCTGATGAAACGGGGGTTTTTTGCAGCATATGTGCATGTGGGCCTTTTCTTGTTTCTCTGATGAGCGTGGCGTTGCATGATCATAATCTGAACCATAGAGGTGTTTGGTTGGTTGGCTTTGTTGCTTTGCTTTGCTGTGCTTCTTCTGATGACGATACTGCATGATACCATTAGATTTTTTAAATTGCTGATTGTAGAATATATAAATGTACATACACCAACAACTACTGCAATTGTTCTTTCCGTGCCATTCGATGGGTGGGGGTTGTTGATGCTACCTACGTAGCGCGGAGGTACATGAAGTGAGTCAAAAGATGAGAGTTGGGTGTAATCTACCTAGGTATGATTTGACACGATTCAAACTCCGTCCGGACACCGATTATATATACCTCCCTCTTTCCCTTTCAAACGCAAAAACTAGCACAAAATGTAGGTAGGTATATGATGTAGAGTGGTGAATTTTCTCTCGGTAGAAGGAGAAGAAATGGAACTTTCCGAAGATTCTGCTGACCGAGTACATAGGCATACCTAGGTTCCTCCTTACCGGAGGTAGGTACATGAACTCAATGTGAGGTGTAAAGTGCGCTTTTACACCGTGGCGGACGTGCATATTCATCATGTTTCATTACCTTAGGTAAAAGACATCCAAAGGGGGCTGGTATTCTAAGTTCTTCTGCAACTCTGGCATTTCGACACAGCTATCCAGACGGTATGTTACAAAAGCTGGCTCTACTGCTCCTCTGCTCAGCATCTGCAAACAACAACATATATGTCCCTCTCCCCAAAAAGAGATCGCACCATCATGTGGTACTCTATCTGTAAGCTGGCTTGACAAAATCGGCCATGGTCTTGGGCTCCTCATAGACGTGTTCATCATGAGCACCGTGGCCGTGGTCGTGTCCGTGGCCATCATCCTGTGGGCCGACATATTCCATCTGATAGTTGCTTCCGCACTCGGGGCAGCGCTGAGCAGGGCGTTCGCGGGAAGTCACCAACCAGATGACAACATGAGAGTCTGCCGGGCAACCGGTGCAGCCAATGTACTGCTCATCACCGAACGACTTGACAATAATCGGGTCCTCGAGCGTGCCTTTTTGTTTTGTTATTTTCCCCAAAGTTAGCAAATCCCCAAGCCGGTTTCCTTGCTGCCTCGAATGGTATAGGATGTGGGTTTTGGAATTACCTTTCCGGCTCGCATCCAATGGACGCATATCGAAGATATCCACGCCCTGCATCTTTCCCAAGATTTCCAATCGTTCCAGACCAGTCGACTGTTCGAGATCGGTAGGGATGGTACCAGGCTGGGCTCCCGGTGGAAGAAGATCGTGTTCATCCTTGATTTCTGTATTTCCACCGTCCCATCAGCCCAATTTTCCGCTTCCGACACCTCTCTCTCCCTCCCTCTCCCTCTCTAGTTCTCTACACCATTTTCCTCACCTTCAAACTTCTTCAGCTGACCACTGGGCTGCCCAACATGAGGATCACGTTCGCTTCCTGCAGTCTCTGTCAGCGACATGTGCGCGCGCGCGTTTTGGGCGGTCGGCATTTTTCGGGAAAAAGCCCCATTTGAGAGAGATCCGTACTTTGGCGGGCGGAGAGGGCAAATGAGCGCGTGACGGTGGGACGGATCACAGCGCGCTTGGTGAGCGCTGGGACAGCGCGGCGGAGAAACATGATCGAGGGGCGGCGGAGTGGAGTGGTGGTAGATGGGGTGGTGGTGGTGCTTCTGGTTGGGGCCAAACGTCTTGAGGTGAAGCTCAGTTCCGGGAAGGAGCAACGGCGGATTCTTCCGTTCTGTTGCTTCTTGGCACTTGTCATCAGCGCTACCTCCTACCTCCTATCTCACGCAGGCTGTATGTTTTATTGAGATGGCATTATGAGGTGGGACTCAATAAATATCTACGAACCAAATCACCTTTCAAGACAGCTCGAGGAGGTTCCAGTCTTGCTATAGCACCAAGAATAACACTAAGAAGAGATGTTGCAGCAGTATACTTTTTCTTAATCTCATCGACATCTTCAATGCTAGGTATATAGTTAACTGACCAAATACTTGAAAAAAAGTAACAGTTGACACATCAAGAGGCGCATTCATGAGGGAACCATTGACTAGCATTAATCTTAGCTGTAAATCTATAGTCACGACCGACCCATACCCACCACCCTCGACCTCCTCCTCAGGGCAGCGCCGAATTTCTAACCAAAACGGCAAAAGCGCTTTTTTCTTTTCGATCTGTGTTCAAAGGATCTCATATTCCACACATCATATCGGGGTGGCGGGCGAGCGCTGTTGTTCATCGAAAAGGCCTGCCCTGTCAAAAAAACAATATCCCCATCAGAATACATCAGAAGGTTGTCGTCGTCTTTGCTTGTGGAAAGACGATGAACAACCAACGTGTGACATGCCAAACATGCCGAAAAATTTCCGGGTGCGCCCAGCAATGCTGTGAAATGCTGTACAAGAACGCCCACAAGGAGAAAAAAAAAGAAAAAAAAAAAGTAGAACAGCCAAACGAACAAACAAACAAACACCGCCCATATGAGCTCGATACTGTCACATATGCACAAAACCAGCACTCCAGCTGATTGCAAGCAGCTCCTGTTATGAGTCTTCGGGCGCGTTTTCGTGCTTGATCGGATGATGCAATGTCCCTTGCAGACACATTCTCCCCGTGCCCTCCTCCTCTTGCTTACGTCCGCCTTCCCCGTTCTCGTGCTGTCCCAGCCATCTTCGCCACAGCGCGCCCGAGAAGCCGGAATTGTAGTAGAAGCTGCTTCCCAGCATATTGTGCTCTCCCCAGCCAAAGGGCGAGTCCCACGTGTTCGTCGGATAGTTGAAGACCTGGACCATGTGTTCCAAATCCCAGTCTCGATCGAAATACACGGGATGAGGCACATACACTGCTTTGAGGCCGTGGTGGAGTGCAACAGAAGGGGGCCACATCTCGGGAAACATGGTATGTCTCATTCGCCACGTCTCTTCGTGCATGATTTTGAGAAGTCGTTTGGACAGACGTGAAACAGTGACAATAGCAGATCGTCGCGGTGGCGGTGGCATGTCTCTTCTGTAGCCCGTGACGTCCCAGCTAAAGACCCAATTCGTTTGCGAGGGGTCAAATATGGGGTTGAAAGTCAGCAGGTCAGCGTCCTCACCGATCCCCCAGTCATACTTGTCCATATCGTAGGTGATGAGCGGGGTCACGTTGTCAGGAGGATCGAGCATGCCTCCATTGGGGAAGTCGCGGACCGGTCCCCATACCGGGATAGGACCACTTTGCTCGACGTTGTTCTTCGGCTTGTCCACGTGCTCAATCTCCGCCTCTACAAACTCCGTAAAGTTTTGCCACGATCCATGGTACTGAGGGACGTAGAAACGCATGTTGCGCTCCCATAGACCTTTGCGAGGCTGTTTCTTCGCCCACTCTGCAACCTTCTCGTTGAACTGGTAGTAATGGCCGGAATATCTCATGTCCATCTCCCAGTTCCAAAAGTGGTCGTACTCTGGGTGCTGCTGGCTAAACCATTGCAGCGCAAAGTGAGCGCTTCGGTACACACCATGTATGCTGCTACCCGCCATGTTCGCAAAGTTGTCGGGAAATGGCTCGGGATAGTACATTTCCATCTGCTTCTCTGACCACAGTGTTGCCAACCCCCAAAACTCTTTGGGAACATTCGCCTCCAGTGTCGCCTGATACACGAGCGGATCGGCCCAGATGGGGATGCCGTTATCTTTGACGTGCACCAAAAAGTGGACGTCATACTCGCCGCCTGACTTGAGGTTCAGCTCCGAGATCATTGCTCTCAGTGCGTACATCTGGTTGGGGCCATATTCGAATCCCGTCCAGGTGCGAAGCACATAGGCCTGTCGTCCACTCTTTCTTGTGAGAGTCGTCGGGTTGACCGCGAAGCGATCTGCGTTCTTCTTGACGCATCTCTCCTGCGCCTTTCCCCAGTCCACATTCGTGTAGTTGACGAAACCCATCTTTTGCCAGACTTTGTCGCTGCCCGCGTGTTCTGCATTCACGCCTGGTCCCAGACCCCCCATGGTCTCGTTGTAGCCCATGCCGTAGGGTCCATACCGTCCGTAACGCTCGAAACACACTCCATCGTCCAAGCCCAGAGTTTCGTAGTCGCCATAGAATGGCTTCGCCATGTGCTGCGGGATGCCGGGGTAGGCGTATACGTCGGGTACCTGTGTCCTCTCCTCCTCGTCTAGGAAGCACGTCTGGATCTGGTGCTCACGGTAAGGGTCGAACTTGACCGGATCCATGGGTGGCTCAGCGGAAAGCCGCTGTCTCCCCAAGTCTTCGGGGCTGACATATGTGTTGGGTGCGCTCTTGTTCCACGAGTTCTCCGGGATCCATTCCGAGTAGGGCACGAGGGTCCGTACGCCATTGTAAAAACCATTGAGGCGTGAATAGTGCATCCACTCAAACGGCACATCCGGGTTTCGTTCCCGGTCCAGCTGCCACTTTCTTCTCTGGTGGTAGCCTCCACCGCCCAACAGCACTATTGCGAACAGGGCAGCGACTGCCAGAAATAGAGTGCGAGTGAAGGAGATTCGCCCGACACCGCATCTCCTCCGCTTCCCATCCCTCCACGGGATTCCGCCCTGCGGCCATTCCCGCGCGACAGCATTGAGACTGTCGGCGGAGAGAGAGGGTATCTGTTGGTATACGAAGCTGTTTTTGGAGAGCAGGCGGAAAGGATTCCACGTTCGTAGCCTCGGTGCCGGTCGCATAGCTTTCGGGTGTGGATATGCGTGGGCGTCCGTCTCCTCGGCATCAGAAGAGCGACTGCTCTCTGAATGCCAGTCCTTCGTTTCCTCCAGGTTGAAAGCGACCGTCGGTGGACCGGATTCGACTTGGGAAGCGGTATTGCTCCTCTGGCGGAGGGACGTCGACGCCACAATGAAGGACGAGGGTGGGTGGTGGTGGTGGTGGGTGGGTGGGTTAGGCAAACAATGGACACCTCCCTCTCCGGTACACCTCTCTGTGAAGATATAACTGGACGTCGTCACACCTCTCTGTTAATTACAGCGCTCTATGGGTCAGGGACAAAAGAGCGGGAGATGTGCGAGGAAAGAGCAGCCGTAGAGATGTGATCGACGACGACGACGACGACAGAGCGGGCGTGTGCCTCTTCCTGTCCAGGTATATGCGGCGTACGCCTCCGAGCGCGGCAGATGCTGGTGAGGGACTTCGGTTAAATGCAACTCCGTTGGTACACAGGCCAGCGGAGTGGGTCTGCTTGGTCCAGGGCGATAGCGACAGTCGTCTTGGCGGCGGCGGCGGCGGAGACGGCGGAAGTGGTAGTAGGAGTAGTAGCAGTAGTAGTAGTAGTAGTAGTGGGAGGAGGAGGAGGAGTGAGTGGTGGCGACGATAGCATACCCTGCCCGTACAGTAAGGTAAGGTCAGGTAGGTAGTGATTATTAGAAGAAGAGCATAGGTAGGTAGACAGCGAATAGTGCGGCGACCAGGAGAAGACATGGAGCAGGTTTGTTTGAGAGGCCAGACTCTAAACAACCCAGACAACCCCTTCCGACACGAATCTCCAAAGCCAGTGCAGAAGCATCTGCGCTCCGCACATGGCCAGGAAGCCGTCGTCAAAAACTGCACTCGAAACCTAGTCGTTTTTCTGCCGCTCGCTTACGCCTAACGTGCTGCGCGTACGGCTGCACGCCGCCCGAAACTCACACACACATATTACCCACCAGCGCTGGAGCAATGGGGCAATGGAGTAATGGAGAAAGGGGAGAGAGAGAGAGAGACAGCCCACAAGGCTCAAGCCCTGTCCTATTGCCCTATTTCGCCGCCCCTGTGCCCACGCCGAGTCGACCACAGCGGCCAAGCCACACCAGCGGCGGAGATGCTTCCACCTCAAGCAGTGGTCTATCCCATGACATGTGCGCTAGAGCATGCCGGGTCCCAGTTATTGTGATGATGATGATTGTGTCTCTCTTGCGCGAGGGTACAGTACATGTATGCACCTCGTGCAGGAGGCAATCGATGGAAGTGAGGTAGAAGTGTGTAAGGTACATTAGATACACATACAGTAGATGCTCTACTGTAAGCACGAACGCGCGTCGTCGTCACACCATCAATCAATAGTAGCTCTGGGTCCTGGGAGGTACCTCCTACCAGGGGAGGTGGACGGTACCGTACCACTAAGCCACCTGTACCTAGGTCGTTCTGAAGAGGTGCTAAATGCCAATTCAACAACACCTAATTCTATCCATGCATGATGCATCCACCCACCAAGCGACTCTCAAACTGCCGAAAATTCAACTTTGGGACGCATTTCCATTGGGTCGTCCCGTCTCCACCCCACGCCTCCGACTGGCCCTCCCACTGACTCTACCCAGTAGTAGCGGTATCCTAACCCCATCCATCCTCCCATCCATTCAATTCATCATTGCCGCACGTGAGCGGTCACGGCGGCCCGCTTCGAGCAGGAGGAGTCGCATCGTGTTTAATTCCTCTCAGCCTTACGATTCGTCAGTGGGCCAAACAAGCAAATCCGCTGATCTGCACTAGCGCAGACTTCTTCCTCAACGACCAGCCTATCGATGTAGGCGACATGTTCGAGGGAGATTGCCATATATGCTCAGGCGATCACGGTCCACGGATACCATCGGTTCTGAGAGTTCTCGTGTTGTGCCTCGAACAAAGTAGAAAAGTGATGAGATGCGCGGGTCGAAAAGCTGTTGCTGCTGCTGCTGCTCGCAGTTTGATCAAAGCTATTGTTCATCGCAAACACTTCGGGCGCACAAATGTGAAACCACCTAGTCGCCCGCGCCCGGGCACGCTGATCACTGCCGGACCGCTGTTGAGAAACCGTCAGTGGGAAGTGGGTCTTCCCAAAAAGGGATGTGTGGGTGCGGCTTTCTTTTGGTCTTGCATCATGTCCGCTGCAGAACAGATGCAATCGCCCCTCCCTCCCTTTTCACCTGTCCTATGGTGTCGCTGGAACGGGACTTATCGTAGTCTATTGGATGTGCATATCGCAAGCTGCACAGGGGCAGACCACTCTTGTCTCAGCGTTGCGATAGTATTTTAGTGGCGTATCAGAAATAGTCAATGTGAAGTCGATTGCACTTCCAGCAGCAGAGTTGAGCAAATCATGAAGCTCCAGGAGTACCAGGTAAACAGGTAGTACAGGTGCATTGGGTGCAAATGTGTGAACTGAATCGTGCCAGGCTCTTGTCATGTTCAGCCCGTCTCATCGTGATGGTGTGAGCCCCTTCTCAGACATTGTCAACAAATAAATTGACATGCGCCCCTCATAAGAACCCGATAGAGGTGGAGGTGGACTTCTTGGTCGTGAACGCACAGCCTGCACCTGTACGAACCTACCAGGTATCTACCTCAACATCTCATCCCGATGTTGTCAATACTGGAAAGACTACGGTAGGTATGCTTTCAGGATCGCCTAAATCGCTTACACGCGTGTCGACCCACGACACGGTCCTCACAATGCTCATCCCGCTGAGATCTGCCAGCACGGAGCGACTAGCAGGCCACGCTACAAGCATTTGTAACTAGACCACGACGAGTCGCCGACATGACTTGTCCATTTGCATTGGCATTGAAAATTTCTGGCGCTGCTCGGGCAGCCAATAGCAGACAGCTGCTTCTCATCATTCATCTGTGGTAAAAGTTCCCACGTCAAGGAGACAGATCGCTCAGCTTATGGTTCCGACGAAATGGAGACTTCGACAGACAAAACAAGTGTGATGACTTGTGCATCACAACTCTCGCATTCCACTCCGATATCACGAGAGCTACGACGACATGGCTTTTTCGTCAAAACAGCACACGTAGGCTACCTCACCACCATAGCGGGACCCGAGGTCCTCAAGATACGCCTTCCACAAGAGACTGTGCAGTGACCCGAAGCCAGTAAGCAGGTTGCGAACATGGAGTCACGAGCGACGATGTTCCGTAGTCAGTCTGTTCGTCAGTCGGTCATTGGCGACTGCGACTGCTTGCGCGATATTGTCCACCTGCTCCAAAGCGCGAACGATTGAACTCGCGTAGTGTCTTCTAGCCAAAATGCTGCTCTTTCTATAGTCCGCGGTGACAAGGGGTGCGCGATGTTTGATCAGGCAAGTAGCCCATGCTGATGTTTCCTCTGTCGTGGTACCTTAGGCTGTTGCCTTTCTTACCTTGCCTCATTGTCATGCGGTATACCGGATGGCACTACCAAGACAACTATCTCATTCCATGGATCCTCGTGGGAAAGATTGCATCCAATACTGCCCAGGCCGATCGGTAGCATCCACAGCAGCGGATGTCAGGACTGCTGCACGCCGCAGAATATCGTGTAGGTAGCTCGTGGGATGCCGTGAGCAGGATTGCCATCGTGGCAGAGAAATGCCGTGGGAAATCAGCTCGTCCACTCAACCAAACGACCAGGTGGAATGGTCTCAAGAGCACCATGATGGGCCGTTGGAAAGGAAACATAGGACGAGTCCAGACAGATCTGCTGATACTTACTGCCATTAGTCGACAACAGAACGGACGACGACGTTGGAGAAGACGAGAACGAAGACGAATTATTTTGGCCACGTGATTGCGCGTCGCGTGTGGGCCTCGGCACTCTAGAAGTATGCTATGTACTAGTGCACTAGCGTTGTATCTCGCAGTAGTATGGTCGTCCAGGAAACAGCTCCCACCACCGATTTCTAGAAGGACCCTCATATTGCTTGTACCACTCTTCCATGTCAGTGTCGAGGCGGCCTCGAGTAGTACTGTAGTTCTACGGCCGGCAGGATCGAAATGCTCCCATTGAACGCAGATTCCCGGGCCCGCCAACAGGTGTAATCTCCAACGGCATCAACAAGAGGTACCTTACATACCAGGTACCTACCTGTACTTCTCCAGGCCCTCCAGACGCGACCTCCAATGTGACCACAACAACAGCTCAATTGGTATTTTGTGCCACTATGGCGACACCCCTGCATACTTCCGCCGCAGAGCATGACAGCATGTCTTTGCAGCAATCGCCCGCGCAGAGATTGGACTCTGCCCGCACACGCAGGTTGCAGTTGCGAAGTGCTGGCTTCCGGGGACCTCCTACTGTGAGACAAGTGACCCCAAAGTCCCTGCCATCCACCTCCACCACCACCTCCAATGCCTCCTCTACGTGGTTGGGACAGCAATCGCCATCATCGGATGCCGAAAACATATCGCCATCGGGAGACAGAGCACGCGACAACAGCTTCACAGCACCCACTCACGAGCAGAACCCAGTATTGCGCGAGATTGATCATGCAGCGGGCGCTCTTGGCACCTTACGAGCAAGACGCGTGAGGCCACGCGCGGCTTCTGGCAAGTTCTTGACTGCAGAGGGCAAGCTCGACTCATCTGGAGAATGTCTGGAATCCCCTCCTGCGCCAACAAAACAGCACTCCAGACCGAATACTGCACGAGCACGAGTGTCGAAGATGTCGAGCAGGCCACGGCGTTCCATTAGTGCAGAAACCCGGAAATATGTCGATCATCTAGAGGAAGAGCTCAGCGCTGCACAAGCACAGTTGCAAGCGGTCAACTCGCCAAGTGTGACTCGCGAGCAGTCTTCGAATATGCGCCATATGAAGGCGGAAGTGTCGCGCCTCCAAGATGAGATTGAGGACTGGGAGACCCAGTTCGCCAGCCGTGTGCGAGATGAGGTCGATAAGTGTTATGTGGTTGAACAGGCCTTGCGAGCGCAGCTACGCGCCCTCGAAGAAGCGGTGGAAGAGTCTCAGTATCGCATCCAAGAATTAGAAAGTCAACTCAGCACCACCACCGAAGCCCTCGATGCTACCGAGACTGCGAACGTCAACATGGAGAAGAGGATCGAGTTCTTCTCCGATCTGCTCGCGGCATCGCCCACGAAGCTCGACTTACATGCACACCCTGCAGGACGCCCACGACACACGAGGCCGCAGTCTCTTTTGCCTCGTGTACCCACTGCAAACTCCTTGGCCAGATCTCCGGAGCGTCATGCAATGACCATGCCGACATCTCCAGTTCAGTTCAGGTTTGGCACGAGCCAGCCCATTTCACCCTTGAATGTGTCATTCTCGCCGGATCTCACGTCTTCGGAGGAAGAGATGACCCAGTCCGAGACGTGTGGTTTCTCTGTAAATGGAATGCATCAGTCCAATGCAAAGAAACCTGTGCGAAGGATGCGGCGTTTTGGCGCTGGTAGCATAGGGCCAAAATCACTGATACTCCCGTCAACAACGCACTGCGAGCCAGCTTCAGCTCCTCCTTTCGGGCGAGGCGAATTCGGCTTTGAGGCGTCTTTTCCCATGTCTCCAGACCAAGCTATGGTGGCCCAGGGCAGTCCGCCAGCACACCGTCGCCGAGCTTCCAGCAAGATCAGCGCCGACGGTTCGCCTGTACCACTCCGTGGCTCTTCGTTTCCAGACTTTCAAGCACTGGCTGACGCGGACGAGATGAGGAACGAAGACAATGTACCGAGTGCCCGTCAGCATGGTGCGAACTTCTCCAGCGAGTACGACGCGCTATTGGATTGCAACCTCGATGAGCAGATATCACCAGCGCGGTCGCAAGTGATGACCAGAAACTTCGACTCCCTTGGCTCGTCGATTGCAGGGCCTATTGGCCGAAACTTGATGGATGAGTTGGAGGCAGCCCAATCATGTTCGGGTGTGAGTGTCCGACCATCGCATGTTTTCGAATATTCTGAAGACGCTGCCACAGTCATACATCCTAGCTCGAGTCCTTCTGCGCTAGAGGCTGGCGACAATCATCTCAGCGGCTCGGGGTCCCCACCGAAAGCGGCAACAGAAGTGCGCTTCCCCTCAAACTCATCTACAGCAATCACCACGATGCCCCGACACATGTTTCCTCCAAAGTTGCAGCCCAGTGCCAGCAGTAAGACTCTTGGTGTACAGTCAACCACATCGATGTCCACACTCGATTCCCTCCGCGACTTCTTTGGTGACATCGCTGCTTCGCCTTTGAATATGGCTAAGTACTTAATTGAGAGAGCACAGGCACGATTGCACATTCCGAGACCACTGCTGTCCATACAATGGTGGCTCGTGGGGATATTACTGGGTCCAATGGCAAAGCGTCGATATTATGCCAGATTGTCTTGCTGCAAGGACGACGACGACGCCGAGCAGCATCTTCTCGAAAATACACCTCTCAGGCTCCGAAGCACTGACGAAGGATTGGAGTATGGCCAGCTATATCAGACACCTCCCCCTTCGTCGTCGACCGGGGCCAACGCGCTTCGCAGCCGCGGTCTGGTCGCTGGCAAGGGCAAGAAGCGAGCATCATCTAAGGGACTAGCTAAGCACTGCCCGCACAATCAGCGCCGCTGGAAGCACTCGCCTCTACTATGGCTGAAGTTTAGCATGACTTTGGCTATTGCAGTGGGCATCGCCTTCAAGGATGGACCTAGTACTTTGCTCAAGGAGGCACTGTGCAACTGCAAACCCACAAGTGCCAATTGGAGGCAGACGAGAAGAGACGCGATAGTGTCGCCGAATGACGACGACTGAGTATTGCTTGGCGATAGAGATCACAGGCAGAAACAGAAACTGAGAACAGGGGCGGCCTTTTTGCACATTGGCCGCTGCCACGATGTATGATATCATGACCGATACCCGACGAAGACTGCAGCCCCCAGGCGCCGTGAAGTGAATGTCGCAGCAGGATGGTACCTGGTTCAATTCCGGGGCTGCATGTTCTGTGTATTTTGTTGCCGTCTTTCCAATTCTTCGAGCACGTTCGTGTCGTGTCAAAGAAGTCCGGGTATTGAGTATGTACTTCCTTAGTAACTACTACTACTTAGGAGCTACATGTACTTCTACTGCATTTTTTATTTGGTCAGTGCCTTCTCCGTCGCGAGCCGATGCTTCTGCTCGCGGTATATGCTTTGTTTCCGTCATTCCGAGTCAGCCAAAGGACATAAGGTACCTCCTACATACCTAGGTAGGTACCTGTAGTAGTTCTGTAGAACCTCAGGCGGAAAAGGTGGCTTGGCATCCCGTGGATGGACGGAGAGTCGGCATAGGAGCTGAACCAATCGACGCGCTTCGTTCGCGACTTCGATGTTTCTGGAGCCTCTGCACTCCACTGTCACCTACCTGTACCTACATACATACAGGTGCATTACCTGGTCTGACAAACACATCACCCACATTCACCAGAATGTCTTTCTTTGGGCCGCCAAGCACGCCAGGACGATCGGTACACACACACCAATCCACGACACCAGCCGGGCAGCCTCCCACATGGCTGGAACACACGGGCAAATCAACTACGCCCGCTGGTGAGCCTCCGCGAAGCTCGCGCTTTGGCAGAAGCTCGTACAACCCGACCAAGAGTCCCAACAGATTTGCGCGAAAGAAGCCTGGCTTTTCAGTGCCGGAAGACGATGATGATGACTTCTCCGACGACGACGATGACGATGCGATGGATGCAGGTGACAGCAAATACGATTTCCGAGAGTCAGCTCAGTCTGGCTTCCACCCACGACCCGCAGCGCCCACTCCGCCTCGAGGGCTCAAACGCGATGCATACGGCACAGTACGCGAGAATAGTGGTATCGCGGAGGTGGCACGAAGCACGATGAGCAACAGTAGACCCGCAGCTTTGGCGGAACCAGACATTGTGATTCTGCAGAGCGAGCACATCGTGTCGGAAATCGATGCGAAAATACAGCGAAGAGTCATCGAAGGAGAGGCCGCGCTGGTGGAGAGCGTGACAGAGTTGACCAAGACGTGGAGGCAACACAGTGATGTGCAGACTAAAGCGGGCGCCATAGGGCCTAAGGCGAAGGACAGCTTCACGCAAGCCAATTACCTGGCTTCTCTACTCTTGCAACTGCATCATCCACACACGAACACTCGCCAGCCGCAGCCCGGTGGTCGTCTGCGGAATGGCTCGGTGCCTCCCCCTTCCCACAACGCAACAGTCCCGCGGGCCCTGCTCGAGTGGCTGGAGACCTACCACCAGCCATTCCCGGACGACTACGACGCGGTCCATCTGAACGAACCCGCGCCTTCTGCGCACGAGTCGTTCTGGGACATTGTCTACGCGAACCTTCTGCGTGGACACATTGGGAGAGTCATCAGATTGTTGGCAGATGCCAAATGGGATTACGCAGATACCGCACTTGACGATGGGGCCGATCACCCAGGTTATCATGGCAGACAGTACGATAACGTTGTGGAGGTGGTACAGGACTGTATTAACGTGCTGGGCGAATGCCCCGGGCATCGTTATAGCAACTGGGATGTGAAGAGCACTGAGTGGGCTGTGTTCCGTGGCCGCGTGAAAGCAGTGTCGGACGAGCTAGAAGCGTTTGCTGAAGGTGACGATCTGGGCGAGTCTTTGAATGGAGAGAATGTTTTCCAACGCAGTCTGGGAGCAAGCATGAACATGTCCACGGCTAGTCGGAGAGCATCGAGTCGAGTCCCGTGGACGATATACGAGAACCTGAGGCTGATTTATGGACTCGTTCTTGGCCAACCGGATCAAATACTGATGACCTCGCAAGAATGGCTAGAGGCTGCTCTCTATCTGACCATCTGGTGGGACGGTTCAGATGAATCAGACCTGAATGCAAGCGCCAACCCAAATCCCATCAAGAGAGGACGAGATAGAACGCGCGAAGTCGATGTAGCACCGCTGGCCGCTTATCGGAGGAGATTGGCCGACGCATACCTCAGAGTGCAGGACCAGACAATTGAGGATGACAAGACTGGTCGCCAGATCCTTGACACCGTGTTTCGACCTGACACAACTGACACAGTGCAAGTTGGTCTGGGCTGTATCATGGAAGACCAGGTCAGTAGCGTCATTGGCATCTTGCGGACCATGAGCATGCCCGTCGCAGTCTCTGTAGTGGAGGTGGCTGCTTTAGGAGGCTGGCTTCCTCTTGCACGCCCCAGCAGCAGAGGTGGAGCGTTAAGTCAAGAAGGGCTTTCTCAGGAAGACCTTCTTGTGCTGTCGTATGGAGCGCCTCAGGAGAATAAAGATGAGGTCAGTCGCGACGAGATTCTGATCGAGTATGCCGACCTGCTGGCCGGCAAAGAAACAGTAAGATATCCTTCTCCACTCATAAATTGTATGACTCTGACAGCAGTTCAGATCAGCGACAAGGATGGCTGGGAAATGGCCGTGGCAGTCCTGAACCGACTCGATCAGACTGCTACCGCAAACACGAAAATTGGCGACTTGTTGGATCGTTTGCCATTGACCAATGATACCACGGTCGATAAAGTACTTGATGTGTGCGATCGGCTTGAACAGCACGAACAACGACGAAGTATAGCAGAGCGCTACGCGGACCATCTGGCCGAGAATACGAAGTCGTATGGGCTTGCATTAATATACTATGCGCGGGCGCAAGCGAAAGAGAAGTTGAAAGACACAGTATCGCTGCTGACATCGCTGTGCCTTCTGCATTCGGTGTCAATGCCCGCGGCGCGCAACATCGACCCCAAGCTCCAATCACTCATAAGTCACGAACGCGTGGCACTCACCGATCTTGGACACGTTGATTTAGAGGCCGCCCAGCTACTGGCCTCACATCTCAGCGGCTATGCTATGCTTCGCAAATTCTACGATCTTCGCGATCAGGACATGCTGGCTAACTCGGCGTCACCTCTCAAGCCTCTCGAGCGCCGCCGTCAAGCTGCCGCATCTTTGTCTGCTGTCATGAAGAGTGCAGCAGATTGTATCCCAGGCGGACTCTTTGATCCAGAAGCAGAAACTGTCATTCCAGCCGAAGGCATACTAGCTTTGTTCGGCGAGTGTCTACCCTTTCTTGGCCAAGACAAACGAATCTTCACGCAACAGCACGTCTTCGGCTTGCTTGCAATTCTAGAGGACTTCATCGCCGCTCCGCCACGAATACGCGAAAACGCCGAATCACTACTTTCCGCGAGCTTGGGCGCCTACCGAGACGAGATCAACACTGGTACGGGACCGTTTGGCCAGAAGGGGCGAGGGAAGCAAAATAGCCAGGAAGACCTGAGCAAGAGCGTTGGCTCCAGCTGGGAATTGATGGCCGAGAGTGTTGCGATAGATGCTCAAAAGGGAGAACGCATTCAACGTGCTTGGGACTGGAGACAAGGGCTTGTTGATGGCGGGATCGGAGGGAGCGAGGAAGAGGTGGTGAGTCTGGTGAGAGAAGCGCTGGTGCGAGAGGTTGCTCGTGGATGGGGAGGACGGATCAACTGGTAGTAGTGGCAGCTCATACATCCTGGTGACAGACCGTTACTTTCCGTAGCGGAGACAGAAGATCAAGTAAAATGCTCGGCAGCCTACCTCCGAGCGGTGTCTTTCAGTCGAAAAAGGATTGGCTGACGAGAAGATAATTTTCCTGAAGTCTGGTACGAATAGAGGAGTTCCGCGGACATGCAGTAGTGCCGCTCATATCTCACCCAATCATTAATGACCTACGTAACATTGTTCATGATCCTCTGAATTTTGTCTCGGCCGTGATTCCTCGCGAGTTTGACGAGGCCAATCGCGATGTTTTTGATGATGTTGGGTGTTCAGAAAAGGTATTCGGCGTGAAGCTGGATTTTCAGGCGCTTTGACCACACCAAGAATTTGGTATAGAAAAACTTGAGCTTCAAACATGAGCTAGCGTGCTTGTAAGCGAGCCAATCAGATCCATCCAACTATCATTGGCCCAAAACACTCTGATTAACTCCGCTCAACTTTCACACTGGACTCTTGACCGCACGCCGAACATGGCATCTCTCGCGCGCCCACTCACCAACCGCGCAGTGCATCTTCGCATCACACCGAGACCGTCCAATCTGGGCGAGTCTCGTGAGATCCTGCGCTTGATCTCTGCATTTGGAGAGGTCGAGTACTTCAAAAATCTGAAATACGATGCCCTGTCTGCGCCCACTACCGCGCTGGTCATCTTCAAGCACGAGGAGGCGGCGATGCAGTGCATGAAGAGGAGCCCGATCCGATTCCGGATGGGCAAAGCAGCTGTTGGCGAAGAAATTGCTGGGCCAGCGCCATCGCCATCGCCATCGCCAGCGCCTACCACAGCGCCGCCCGTACCAGCCTCAGAAGCCTCGGCGGTTCCCGCACAGCATATACCGTCGCGATCAGGCGGTGCTTGGGGCCTTGGAGGACAGACGAGGGCCATGTCTACTACCTCCAGCTATGCGCCCATGGACACTCTTCCCAATCCCCCAGCACGTCCTGTACGGACGCCGTTCCAGGCACCACCATTACCTCTCTTGGAGTCGCGCATCTTTCAGGTCCAGACCAACCCCGCACATGCACACTTTAGAGATCAGATCAATATGGGCTATTACCATGGCAGGTTCGCAATTGATTCCAAAAGTGTGCCGCAGACAGATCTTGCCCAGACTGTGCCGCTTCCAGGGCTGAGTTGTGTGAACTGGAAGGCAAAGGAGAGACCGTGGAGATTGATGAATCAGGAGAAAGAACGGGATCGCACTGGACCGCATAGACGGAAGAGTCTCAGAGAGCTGTACGACACTCATCATGAAACTGCAGGCACTGCCGACTTTCGAAATGAGGCATTGTCTCGTTGAAAGGAGTGAGTCGTACTTGTGCTTTGAGCGGCACGAAACCTATTTCGGCCAGCCCTTCGCAACTTCGCACGTGTACCGATGGATGTGGGTTCATTTGGCAGTTCCGAATCTCTTTCCTGTTATATGGTATATTCTGAACCGCACACCTTCGACGCCGACCCCTCGAAGACCTCTTACATCTTTTCTGTCATATACACTCGCAATAACACGCCTTCGACATCGAATTCTTGAAGACCTCTATGGATACGAAAGCGCAAAGTGGAGTCGGCATTTCCATCCTTCCCGGCAAGAAGGGAAACAAGAAGAAGCCCACGGGAGAGAATCCATGGGCAGCGCAGGCTCTGTATCACTCTCAACGAGAGCAAGCCTGGAAACAGTGCGGCTTAGTGATTCTTCGTGCCTTATTGCGAGGCTGTGCTTGTCCAGACTGTGAGCCTCGTGCTCGACTGTACAGCCATCACGTCGTGACAATTTCCAGCATTGCGGGATTGTCTTATCGGGCACACGATGCCTTTGCGATAGCAGAGTGGGCAGTGTCATCTTTCCACAGCGCAAATCTGCTGCCGACGCAGAAGCTAGCTCTGACTAAATGGTCGGCACTGAGAACGAGCTGCACCATCAAAACTGAACCTCCGACGCACGCTGTCTTGCAAGATGTTGCTGATGTATTTAACGAGCTTTTCTTCTGTGGCCACTTGCCGCGGTCCAAATTACGCTTGGTTCTGACAGGCGCGACTTCAACTTCGTTGGCCACGACGTGGCCATCTCCCACGCAAGACCATCCTGAAACTATCGCCATCAACATCATGAGCCACTGTCTGTGGGCAAGGCCTATCAAAGTACTGCAGGTCCTGCTGCACGAGATGAGTCACTGCTATCTCGGTCGGTATACTTGCTACCCCTGGAGCCTTACCCGCCTTGCATGTGCCACAGGCAGCTGCGGAGCCTCATACCAGACGAACCTAAGAGAAGGAGGGCACGGACGCGCATGGCAATATCTCACCCGGGCCATCGAGGACTGCATGCCGCGGTATCTGAATCTGCCTGGCAACCTGGGACGAGATCTCGGCATTGCGAATAAAATTACTTGTGGGAGTCATCTGCCTTGTGGCAAAGAGGTAGATCGGATATATAAATGCGACTATGGTCACCAAGAGTTCTGGAGTCACGTGAGGCGGTCAAGGGACGACAACTTTGCGGAGCACACCGTTCTATTGGTCGGCAAGAGGATCAAGACACAATGTGGCCGACGTGCTTCAGATTCTGCATATGAACTTGTGAACAATCGGAGGCCATTGGGAGGATCGTTCGAATGACACAGAACGCTAATGATCGGTGAAGCTCAGTCAGCGGCCATCACGGCGGTGGTTGGCCGGCCATGCGCGCATTGCATTGATGGAGGCCATTGTTGGGCACAGCATTCTCGACATCGTCTTCGCACCGGGCAGAGTTATGTCCGCGCACGTCGCGTGAAGAGTTTCCCGCACACTTCGCGATCCGGGACTTGGGAAACGATCGCTATGATATGTCGATTGTCGAGTAGGAAGACGCAACTCACTCAATATGAAGTGTCAAATGCATTTTGGAAAGCAACGGGAGTTTTCATGTTACGAGATTCGATACTGCTGTGTGAACAAAAGGATGATCTCCTTCCATTCGAGATGTCAAGGCTCGTACCCAACATGAAGTAGCCGGCAGGAAGAAGTCTACGTTATAGTGTTCTTGCACGGTTGCACCTTGAGCTGATATTTCCTTTCTCGGGGATAAAGTTTCAGGTGCTATATGATATAGAGGCAGGTTGGTAAATGGTTGTCTCTATTCCCCTATCCCGTGCGCGAGCCTTTTACGGAGAATACTCTGAGCCCATCACTCACACGCACATGCATCGCGTATATTGTCAACTGACAGCTCGCATTGTGCATTACTGCGATGAGATTGAGGGAGTTCGCGTACTGTTATGTCACAGGGGTGCATACCACGGCCGATCGATGACGCCTGGTCTCTTCCATGGACCGTACCATGCCCAGACTGGATACCAACACAGGTACAAAGGGTGGTGTGACTTCGGTAGCACACTTTTCTGATACTAACCACTCATGTCAGGCTCTCTCCTGACCTGAATGCCCGGACAAAGTTTACTTCCGCTCACACGGCGCACAGCGCACGCGACATGACAGAAGCCTCTCATCAGAAGGACAGTCCGCCAGTTCGTCTTGTTTTTATTACTCCTGACTGTCGGGTCTGCACAATTTGAACCACTGTACCGGTATTAGTTTTTTGGCATTTTCCATGCAAATCAACAATATATATAGATATTATAGCCCATGGAATTGGGCAGCTCCCAGCATGCCATGACTGCTGTAGGTGCTGGATCCTGGTGAACCTAAGAACCACTGCGGTCAGGATAGTCCTCGCACAGCATACTGTAGAGAGCTGACCAAAGTATATCATCAACAAACCACACGCTTACATGTATATGGCTGCTCCTGGAACTATGTACCAGCAACTACATGGTATGTAAGGGGCACTTGTATTTGGGACATTGCGCAGGCTCTGCTTGTGAGCTTTTCGCTGGTACTTTGCTGAGACAGACAGCCTGAAAGCATTATTAACCCGCCTGGGTGACGGCTCGCACCAACAACACTGTCCTTTACAGCCGCTCGAAACAAATGCAGCATGGGTCTCATTCACCTTCGTTTGATGCAGCGAGATGATGGGCAAGGCCACGACGATGGCAGCAGAGGCAGCTTCGCCACCACCACTCAAATCGCTATTGGAGTAATAGTGCCTGTCGTTGTGCTTCTTGGAGGGCTCGTCTGCTTCATCTGGAGCACAGAAAAACGGCGACGAAAGGCCAACATTGCAACAGACAGAGCAGCACAGCTTTCCAGAGGGCACCATTTTCTACCGAAAGATTCCATGCGAGGCTCTCGCTTCATCGATTCGCCACATCGAGCCTACTCGCACACGGGCCTGGACCACCACCACCACCACCACCACAAGGACCGACATGAGCGGGGGAATACGAGTTTCGGACATGAGCTGGAAGATTCCTTCAGTCCCGCCTATGGAATCAACAAGCCGTTACCGATGCACCTGCCACCTCGGAAAGACAGTGCTATGACTATGCCTCATGATCACGCAGCGACGTTGCCACAACATGTGCACAACAGTCTTCTGGGAGCACCTACAAGATCACAACGACACTCGGTCGTTGAGCTGCCCGCGAAATCACCCGTCGACGTGCGACGACACTCAGTAATAGACACCGTTTGCTATTCCACAGCACCGCCTGACTCAAGAAGTGGTTGGCGAGCATCACTTCAGTCTGTCTTCCTCCCGAGTGATTTCGCCAGTAAGCGAGATCGCCGAGGAAGCAAAGCCTCTTGGTCCCCATACAAGACTTGCACCTTCGACATGATCGAGCCTCCCTCTCGACGACGGCGCAGCAACAGCGATGTCGACGACGAGCCCGAAGGGAAACGAAGCCATGATTCGGCCAGCAGCACTCCTACCGTAGCAACCTCGGAGCTCGACTTGACAAGACAGCCGTCGCAGAATCTGCTTTCTGCTGCTCGCCCTGGATCTTCGTAGTCCGGCTTGGGCAAGAGAGAAAGAGAGAGAGAGAGATTCAATTTCCACACGCTACAATCAAGTGCCAACCAAGATGTTGTCCCAGGGTGAAAGAGCCTGGAAACCCATTTAGGTATTTGTACATGGCCGCGCGATGCATCACTCGTCGTCAGCTGCGATATAGAGTACAAAGATGATTCTCCAAAACCGGTCGCGAATGTGGGAAGTGTCATGAGATGATGAGAATGAAGGAAGGAGAAGTACAAGCTATTCACTCGTTCACATTGAGCTTTTTCAGCTTCAGAAAAACTTTTGGGAATGAATGCGGCAAATGAAATCTTGCCCAGTGTTGTCATTTCATCTCTCACTATGCGGCGCCAGATAAGATTTTTTTTCTTTTTGTTCACGCTGGCGAAAGGCCGCCATGGCTCGAGAGGGAGGGATGAGGAGGATGAAGATGAAGATGAAGATGAAGATGACATGACAAAGAAGACCAAAAAAAAAGAAGAGAACCGGATCTCATGTATCCGCCAAGTATAGATATCTTTTTTACAAGGCTGTACACTTGTGAGATATTAGTATGATACGCAAAAGTTACAAGAGGGCACGGCCCCATATAGACCAGTTTTCTTCTCTTTTCTTCTTTTCTTCTTTCCATCTCATCCTAGCCCAATCAGTATCTATACCCACCTCTACACTCGAAGAAGTCAGAGACGGAGAGAGAGAGAGAGAGAGAGAGAGAGAGAGAGAGAGAGAGAGAAGTGGAAGTGGGAGGT